GAACAGTGAAGAAGAAATTTTTATTTTATAGCTAAAAAAAAGTAAAAGTTGGTTTAAAAAACATGGAAAAATATCAAAAAATGATTGTTTAAAAACAAAAGAACTGCAGCTGTCCATTTCAGAGGTGATTAAAATCATTTTTTTAATCGTTAAAAATTTGACACAATTTAGATCTCTCCTTCATAAAAAACATTCAGAGATGTTTAGCCGTGGAGGAAGAGCTAAAGGAACGAGGCTCAAGACTATTCAACTCATTAAAGGGGGATGGATGCTTGTTTCCAAATCTACTATTACGATCTTAATATCAAAGGTAAAAACGCTGGAGTTGACTAGTCTTAGGTAGATACGATTGAACATCATCAGCATAACAATGATAAAAAAAAAACATGTACAATCAAAATGTAGGTCCGAGAACTTTCCCCTGAGGTACACCCCACCATAAACAGATGAGAATCTCAATGAAATTTTCACTTCCAAATTTAAGTTCTCAAAAGTGATCTCCTGACTGAGCGGATCTCCAGAATGGGAAAAATAATTTGTCATGTTTCACTATTTAAGTAGTTTGACATGAATTCTAATATGAAATCTGTACTTCACTAGTAATACTAGAGGACGTCTCAGTTATTTTATGGATTTGATGCTAGGTTTAACTTAAACAACACAAAATGAAACACAGCCGAGTAAACTGAAAGTTAGAAAAGCTCAGTGACAAAATTAAGAACGAATACCAGACACGTCTGAATGAAATTACACAATAACACAACGTAAGAAAACAAAACCATTTGTTCTTTGAAGGTTTTATTTGTTTTTCAAATACAGGAGAGTTAATGTACAGAAGGACAAAGAATTTCATCAAGAACTGTACAATATTTACACATCTTTTTTTTCCCTTTTTTATGGAAAATTGGATTGTTTTCAAAATAAGTCATAGTATGCACAGACATCAAAATGATAAAAATGAAATGACTATTTCCTCTTTAAATATTACTTATTTATACTCCTGCTTCCCACACGGGAAAGGGATAGTTATTTTTCTTTGCACCTGCATGAATGATGATTGAACTGAAGCACAACAATGTTAAGTTTCAAATAAATTTCGCCATTCTTTTTGTCTTTTTTTATTTTACACCCACTGTATTTAATACAATATTTCTGCCTCAACGTCTGTTCTTTTGTACAGAGGGGAAGACGACTTGGATATGTGGGTTATGATTGTATACTGATCCTGTGGAAAATAAAAAGCTATTTAAAATGTTAGGGCAGCAAACCAGCGCTTTGTGAGAGTTTAAGTTAAAAACCTCCTCATATAAATAATAAAAATGTGTCTATATATTATTACACAGCCGACTGGTGCTGCCCTTCGCGCGACAACAGAGCAAGGGAGCGTTTAACACTTTTTTTTCTCTTTTCTTTTCCTGACGGAGTCCATGACCACGCTGCTCACGGCACACGCCACGTTAAAAAGCACTCTCACCTCCTTCCACTCTTCAAAAGCAGACAGCTGATGTTAGTCTTTTCAAAAAAATAATTTATGTAAAAACTAAGCAGTAATAGTTTTTATTCTCCTCTGAACTACTGTCTTTATGACACACATTTAACAAGACGTCAGTGGCTCCTCCCTCCTTTGACTTGGTGTAACAGCTCCTCCTTGTTGTCCAACTTGTCTCTCTCCCTTTTCCTCAATGATCAGTTCCCTCTTGAGCCTCTGGTAACCCGAGATCTGCTGGGGTCACATTCTCACAAAGTAAGATGCTTCTTTAGTGATTGATCAACAACAATAAAAGAAGAAAAAAAAAAAGCAAAGGAAAAAGGCCAGTGTCCGAGGTCACATCAACAGACCCTCCAGCATTCAGCGAGGGCCTGAAAAACTTCTTCCTCTCATCTGGAGAGATTTGAACGGGATCTGAGGGGCTGTACAGTGGGATCCATTCCTCTTTTTTAAAATTCTCTGTTTTAAATCTGCTGATTCCAGCCCACTATATGTCTCTTTATGAGGCTAACTCAGGCTTTGGTGCTGAGTGAGAGCAGCTCAATAAAGGAGCTAAAGAGGGTGTCCAGCCAGCTCTGGTTGGCCATGCACTGCTGCACCACTTCCTCTTGGCCCGGGTCCTCGGCCGCCTGCTCAATGGTGTTGGTCTGCAGAAGAGGGACGAAAAAACACAGGAAACTTTGACCAAAAGGGGGCACCACGCCAGAACAGAGAGAAAGATCCAAAATGATAAAACAAGAGACTTATTAAAGGTGTGGACCACTCATTTAAACAAGAAGTGCCAGTGTCAGCACAGAGAAGTCAACTGGAGGAGAGTGTGGCAGAACATGGCAGGATTTGGAGCCTTGTTTCCTCGTATTTGGACATCTTGCCTCTGATTGGAGAACAGCAACTTGACTCAACCACTGACTCTGTTTGCTCTGCAAGGCTGGTGTTTTATCTCTCCAAATAACACAAGCCTAGAGGACTTCTGCTCTGTGGTGGGATAGTGTAGTGCTTACTAGTCGAGACGTTCTCTGCTGTTTCCTGGACGTTAACAACAGCCTTCCCCGTCGTCAGCCAAGATGAGCGAGTGCTTGAATGTTAAGTGTCAGTGTGACGTAGGTCTGTCAGGATTTTCAAATCACCGTCTACTTTCTACCAGATGTTAATGCAGGAGATAGGTGTAGGAGACTATTTTCATGTTCATGAAAAACTCAAGAGGGACCAATTATAATCATTAAAAATAATGATTAAAGTGATCCACACCTACAGCAAACCTGTGTCGAGTGCTGGCAGGAAGGAAGACTTGCATTCTTACCTCTTTCTTGCACTGTAAGAAGGTGTGGTATTTATAGTGATGCAGAGAGTGGTAGAGGCCGTATATCCGATATGCCTCAGGTGACAGTTTTAAATCCTGCAGGGGAAAAAAAAGATCATTACCGGGCCATTTAGGATGGACTTGTTTATGAAAAACAAGCCATTTTTATCTGGGTTATAAAGAAAAAAGTAGCAGGTGAGGAAAATGGCAGCAGGTGCTACCAGCCTTTCACTGTAATAGTTAATTTTATCAAACCACAGTTTCACTTTCCATTTGGTCAAACATCCAAACCCCATTTAGGGACTTTTATTTTTATTTATTTGCTTTCTCTGCCAAAATAAAAACTTCAGTAACGTAAGTGAAGTAGTCACCACGTTGGCAGAAGAACCTTTTTTCCTCCGTAAACAGAAGATCTCGCACATGATGAACCTAGTTGTTACAGGAGTGCTCACTGATCTGAAGGCTTGGGTCCTCCCTTCCAATATCATTCCCTGACATAAATTAGGAAGAGACATCCTCTGCAGGGAGCCGGTGGCTTATCACAACCTTACCCTTCTACGGGAAATGGCCTCCCACCTGCCTACCTTTACGACTCCCAGGACATTACAGACTGAAATGGAGCTCATTCAGCTCAAAAATATAGAAGTAAATAAAGTACCGTCTCATAGGGGTGTGTGTTGGCGTGAGTGTGACAATACAATATGTCACAATACAAGGGAGACGATATTTTGTGATGCTAAAACCCAGGTGATGTTTACATTGTTTAAGACTGATTTTATAAATTTATTTAAATTATAAAAAAAAAATAAATAAAATTAAATAAAAACAACAGACACATCCAGTGTTATGAGATCACATTGTAACATCTGAATAATGGTAATAAAAAATGCTGCCACCTAGTGGTCAAAGTTTAAATTGCACCACACAAAAGTAAGGTTTTCATGTAAATTCTCAATTAAAAAAATCAAGTTCACTGCTTTTAAATACTGATTCAGTATCTAAACATGAAATATTACAATATTTCAGTGCATCAATGTTCTCTTACATGCCTACTATCTCACAGTTAAATCTATTTCCCATCAGAGGTACAGGAGTACACATAATTAAAACTCAGCTAATTAGGTCTGCAGGGCATGTTCACTCAAACTGAGCTCCACACAGGTTTAAATTCATGTTCATTTTGATCATTTGGTTTCAGATTGGTGCTCGTTTATTACTGTCTGTTCAGGCTGGAAGTTAAAATGGCCGTTTCTCAATAACCACACCTTTAATAGACAACCATTGCTAGGGTGACCAGATGTCCTGCTTTGTGCGGGACGGTCCCGCATTTTCATAACTTTTCACGTGTCTCACAAATTGAGACTCATGTCCCGCATTATTGACAGTTTCCCGTTTCGAGTTTCAATCTTATAGAAGAAAGTGTGGAGAAATCTGCCTGTTGCTGCCATTCAAATGGAGGTGGGACTTTAACGCAGATCTGGAGCGTGTGTGGAGCACGCCCAAACCACCAAAACAAGCGTGAGCGAGCATGGAGGAGAAAATGCTGTAAACGTGTGAATTAAACGTGATCAGAGACACTCGACAGAGTCTTTGTTGTTTCCGAGTCATGTTTTCATGTCTCGGTGTGGAGTCTTATATGAAGAGGTCAAAAGCAGGTTTTCCAGTAATTAGTCAGGTCCATGATAAACACAATGGAGGTTTTAACACAGACAAGGTGCTGCGGTTTCAGATACCTGCGTACATGCTGAGCCCCTTAAAGCACAGTGAAGAAATAATGAGAATCAATGGAAGCTTTGATCACTTATTCTCAGAATAAAGTAACCCTAAGAAACTATTATTAGATTAAATATGAATTTTTTAGAGATTAATCTGATGTTTATTCTCTCACCTAAAATCTAGAAGAGATTTGTTGTCATGTTTAACAAAATCATTTTGTTTCTGAATTATGAAAAAAATAGCAAAAAAGTATGGATATTTTTTCTATGAGATGCTGAATTTAGTGGAAAATTAATTAAAAACAAACATAAATAGATCTAAAAAACATTACTGGTACTTTTACTGTGATTCTGTGGTGGAAAGCATTCAATGAAAACTCTGAAAAGCTGCTTAAACCCGCATTTGTTTTATTATTGTGGGCCCATCTATATTATTAAAATGATCAGAGCCACTACAGAGTTATGTTGTGGTAACTTGAGAGGAACTGTGGAATAGTAAAGCTTTTGCTATGCTTCTTCATGTTGAATTCAAATAAAATATATACAAAAAATATATGATGATAATAAGAATAATCATTTTACCTATATGTAACAGTGATGTTAGGGCTAAAAGGCAGAATATACGTTTTGTTTGTTTGTTTGTTTTCTCATTTAATTGGAACTTCACGTTGTCCCACACTGAGTATGTCCCACATTTGGCAGGCTGGGATCTGGTCACCCTAACCATCGCTGGTACAATCTAGTGTACTTGACAAGAATCATCTTGAAAAGGTCACCAGAAACTCCGTTCTACCGAGTACGGGAGGATGATGACGGCATTTGGAGCAGAACCATACTCTGTAGCATCATGGCAACAGTTAAAAAAACACCTGACATAGAAATAAAAGTCTAGTTTGTTCCTTCATAATAACATTAATAACATTGAATGCATATTATTTTTATAATATTTGGTCCACTTTTGATTAAAATTGTTAAAATACCAGCAGTGTGGATTTTCCTGAAAACAGCTGTTTAGGGCATAAGGAAACACCAAGGAAGGCAAAAGGTGCAGGGAAGGAATTAGGTCTCCTTTTGGGACTAAACGTGATTTTCTTCTTTTAAATTACCTTTGTAGTGAACTTTCCATTAAATCTGTTCATTTATTTTATTTTATACCTGTTATGGAAAAACTTGTGTTTATTAATTCTTGATCATGGACTCAGTCAACTGAATGTTAATGTATTGCTCTGTGCCTCTCTGCATGCTCACACACACACACACACACACACACACACACACACACACACACACACACACACACACACACACACACACACACACACACACACACACATACACACATACACATACACACACACACACCTACCTGTGGTTTAGGCAGGGTCTTCTTGACTCTGTTGAGAGTCTTTCGGTTGTAAGCGTCACCGGTTAGTCGCACCCTCACCACTCCTGTGTCCAGTGGGTCTGCAATTATTTGGGGGTAAGCGTGCAGAACATCCTGTGAAGGAAAAAAGCAAAACACACACTTATTTTTAACAAAACGCTAATATGAAATAAGAAAAAAGGCTCTAAATGCTGAACAACAAAAGCCATTAAACACGTGATGGTTGCAACGACATCCTGAGAAGCACATTCGCGGCTGATTACCTGATGTTGAGAACTCATGCTGACTTTCCGCAACAACCTCCTCTTCTGTTCGCTCAGGATGCTGTCAATCTTCCTCATTGGGGGGAGGTAGAGCTCATCTGAGGGCCAATCAAAACAGAGGTTTTCATTAGTCATCATTCTTGCAGCTGCCAATCATTTTAATATCAAGGGCAAAAGCCAAAGCAGCTTTTCTTGGCTGCAGGTGCATCTGCATTCCCAGAGCTTCTCACCCAGCCATCACACCTCCTTCATGTGGTTTCTGAAACACTCATCAAGAGATTGATGCTGAATATGCATGTCAGTAAATCCTCTCCTGCTCTGAAGGAAGTTCGTCCAGCTGGTCTAGAGTCCAGCAGCCGACTAGTGTGTGTTACTTCAGAGCTTAAGCTGCAGGAAGCATGCCAACAGACGGGCATGTCTGGTTAAGTTGAAGAGATGTTCTCATACGTGTAATAGCTGAGAAGGGAGTGTGTGTGCTGTTCTCACCGTCGGTGTCTTCCAGGGCTTGGATCATGTCTGGGTCCAGGGCCGTGCTCACCAGCATCTCCACGTAGCTCCTGAACATCTCCCTCATTGCACGGTTGTTCACCCCACCCTTCACTGGCACTGGGAGGGACCAAAGACCATTCAAACATTGCAGAAGACCTTCTGTCACTGTGTCTCATCACTGAAATGTGGGGTGGGTGGTGGAGAATAAGCAGAACCTTACTTTCATTCTCACTGGCCACCTCTTCAGACGAGTCAGAGTCAGACGAAGAAGGCACTGATGAAGGTACGTTCAGCCACTTCTTCCTCTTCTTGGGCGGGGGCTCGGCTTTCACCTTTGCTGGCTTGGACTTGGGAGGCCGATTGGCCTTCTCCCTCTCCTTCCTCTCTGAGGCTTTCTTGTCTTCCTTTGCTCTACCGCGTTCTGCAGCGCCCACACGTTTCTCCACCTTCTCCTGCTGCTGCTGAAGTCTCTTCTCTGCTTTCTCCTGTTGCAGCTGAACTCGCCGCTCCGCTTTCTCCTGCTGCAGCTGCACTCGCTTCTCTGCCTTCTCCTGATTGGACTGCGCACGCTTCACCTTCTCCTTTTCCTTCTCCTGGTCCGTATCCTTCTGCTTGGCTTTTGGCACAGCTGCTGCTGCCTCTTTCTTCTCATCGTGCTCCTTCGGTGTCAAGGCTGCAGCTTTTGGTTTCTCCCTCTGTTCACGCTGGACTGGTGGAGGAGCCACACGCTCCTCTTTTTCCACGGCTTTCTGAGGTAGCTGGGAAGCAGGAGGGGATGCCATTCTGGAGAGGGACTGTCGCCTGTTGGACAAACGGAGCCTTCACTTAGAGAGATTCACAGTCAGTAGCAGTTCAACCATCAATTTTCAGATCTACATCCCAGGCCTTGTTCTGATAAGGAGTTTCTGTACCTGAGACCAGGTGCAGCTCTGCGCCACGGTCTTCTAGAGCAAACTCTGACATAGTCCTTCTTGTTGACATTCTCCAGAAACTTCACATATATCCGCTGGTACCGCCGCTTAGCATCTCCAAAGTAGCCAAGGTACTAATAAAAGAGTTAATAAAAAAAGTTTAGCAGGATGATAAAGCTTTGTGATGAACACAAACCAGTAGACGATAGTTTTCGTTTGTAGCATTAGAGGCAAAACTTTAACCAGGATTGTTTGCAGGTGTGGTTAACCGCTGACGGCTTGAGCAGAAACTCACGTTGCTTGTGGCACAGAACTGTCGCTGCCCATCTTTGATCTCTGGGCTGAACTTCTGCAGCAGGGCTTTCTGCACCCTCCATATGGGCGGAGGCTCACGGCCTGTCTGCAGGGCAAGCTGTGCACAAGCACCCCGGATTAAGATTTTTTTTTAAATGATGCACATTTATTCATTCAAAGACATGTGCATCTAAACTTTATGTTATTCTCTGTGCATGTCTGTGTATAAAACTCAAAATACCTTTAGAGTCCGGATATCTTCCACCCGCACAACAAACTCGTCCCTCTCTCTGAAGATGCCCTCTCCTCCGCTCTCGCTCTCATCTTCCTCACTTTCTCCAACAATAGCTGCGTCTTCTTGCTTCTGGGCGAGGTGCAGCGAGGTGATCTTAGGAGCTGGAGGCTCCTCGGGAGAGGTGGGAGACTCCGGGGTTGGCACAGGAGACTCCTTTTGAGTGGAGGGTGGGGGAGGGGAGGAAGCAGGGGGAGGAGTGGCAGGCTGAGGGATGGCAGTGGGTTGAAGAGGAGGAGGAGGGGATGGTGGAGATGGAGATGTGGCAGCAACGGGACTCAGAGGCTGAGAATTCTCCTGATGCTCCTCTTGTGTTGGTAAAGGTGAGGGGAGAGAGAGAGAAAGGGGAGGGAGGGGGGAGTGGGAGGGAGAGGAAGATGAGGAAGGAGATGGAGGAACAGAGGGGGGCTCGGGAGTCGATGGTTCTGGTGGAATCTCAGGAAGAGCAGCTGGAAAGAAGAGGAGCAGGTTTAGATTTAGCTCCGGGTCACTTTTCACTGTGGCGCGTCCTGGATGAGACACCACCCGAAACACCAGCCTGATGCTCACCAGACTTTCATTTTGCATCAGTGCATTAATGCTGACACGTTCCAACAGTTTGGGCAAATCCGAGGCCGCTCACACACCGACAAGTTTATTCACGGGAAGGTTTCAGACATAAGAGGCAACATGGAGGAGATTGTTAGACAATTAGGTCCACCATAGATCAGTAACCTGTTTACCAGAGGCAGGAGCCTTTAATAATAATAATAATAATAACAATAATAACAATAACTAGAACTGCAAGCAGTTATCAACGGGTTCCAAGCCACCAGCGCCAGTCGCCCACCCGCCCCGCCCTCAACTTCGCCAGTCCTCACGCGGTCCCGCCCCAAAAACACGTTCTCCCGCGCGGCGTCCCGTCAGCTCACTTCAACCGGCGCAATGAAAGTAACACTCAGGATACGTCATTAAACCCGCAAAGCCTATACACATATCTTTCAGAGGCATGGCTGACTTCTCAATCGTGATTACAATGGAATTCCACTGTTTCCTTATTAAAGAAAGTGAAGATTTAATGAGTGAGATTATCAAACAATAATCTATACATGAACAGAATATTACAAATAACATAAATACTTGATAATGTCTTTAGATTTAAAAGATTTTCAACAAAAACTATGAGTTTCATTTTGTGACTTACTGACCAAATGTTTTAAAAAATCATGAAAAATACATAAATCATCCTAAAATTACCAAAATATTCTCACATGGCAGTGTTAACATGCGGAATAATATGATGTTGTTTTTAAATCAGTAGACTCAAAGCTTTTTTGAAGAAAAATTGGGAAATATAACTATAAAGGTCACAACAAAAATTAAAATATTCATAAAAAAATAGTGCTACTTTCTAAAATTAGGAGAAAAATCTCAGATCACCATAGGTACATGTGGAATGTTGTAAATGGCTTATATTTACTGTATACCTAAAAAGCTTTCTAACAAAAATTAATTACGTTGTTGTCCAACTATACAGAAAAACTGGTAAAAAGTTAAAAATTCATTAAAAATCTATGCTTTTGTACAGAAATCTCAAAATATTCCCAGGTTGCCTCTGTGATGTGGGAATTCTTCTTATATTTTTGTTGGGGTCATAAATGTAAAACTGTACTTACAATAAAATAATATTTGCATTAGTGGCTGTAGACAAAAATATGTCCTATAATTAAACACTAGGGGGAGCTCAAATCAAGACAACATTTTTTTTATTTCATAAACCACCTAAGAGTGAACTTTGTGGCAAATTACAAGAAGATTGTGAGAACAGAATTTGCGCTACAATTGCTAGCCTAAAAATGTATTTTCGTAAATATAAAGCGCAAACCTCTTCGTGGAGCTGCGGCTTTCATGACATAAGCTCTAGCCTATCCAGTTAACACAATCTGGAAATCTTAGCCTCCTACATGCAAAAAGTGATTTTTAGGAAATTTTTCAAATTTGAAATTTTAAATGATCATAAACCACGCCCACTTTGATCAATCATTACCATATTGATAATGTAGTCTTAAGACTCTATACTGATGACAACCACTAAGTTTCGTGCAGATCCATTTAGCCAGTTCAGCAGTATGATTTCGTCCTAGTTATAGCGCCCCCTAATGCTGAATCAAGCTGAAAATCAAGATATACACTTGAATTGACCTTAGGTATAGTGGTTATGAACAGCTTTGAAAAATGTCCAAATATTTTGAAGTTATGCTAAAAAAAACTTTTTCATTCCCAAGAAATTATTTTAAAAAATCATATTTAAAAAAGTAAGCAAATTATCCAAAATCTCTTCAGACCGTTTGGTCAGCCGCTCCTCCTCTCTTGTCAGGCAAAGTTGTGATGTGATTGAGTTTGACGGCCGGGAGAAGTTAACGAAAGTACGTTTGACTTACTATGCAAATTTCTACTAATTAGCATAAGTTTAAAATATTTTTTTAAATACTCATCTTAATTTGACTGACTCAATGAACATACTGGATGAGACCATTTGTTTTTTAATGAAAGAAATGGGGAGAAACACGCCATAAACATTTTTGGGGTACAACAGCGCCACCTATTGGGAAAAATTCAATTTTTTTTCTGTGATTGTAGATGTCACTATGACTGATATGAATTCTAACTTTCTGTATAGAATATGTATTTTTCATGAGGAAAAGGGCGAAAATTTTTAAAGCCTATAAGCCACGCCCACTTTTTAATTATTTTCAAAATATAGCTTAAGGGTCCGATGATTAACATATGTGCCAAGCTCTGTGGAAATCCATCAAGCCGTTTTGCTCAAACAAACTTTTTGACTCTTTAGCGCCCCCTCTAGGTGAATCCAAACCAAATTGGGTCGATGGGGCTCTCCGCTCATACTTTATAAGGGTCTAGAGGCTCATCACTTTATCTTGAAAAATGGTGAAGATATCATCAATTATCACATGTGCTAGCTAGCGCATTGAATTTGACATGGCGCCATTAGCCCAATTTTCAATATTTCTGCATTTTTCTTCATCACAAGATCTTACCTTAGTCCACAGATCACATGTACGAAGGTTGAAGTTGATTCGACAAAAAATGACGAACAGGTGATTAAAATTAAGTTTTGCGTATTTTGCAATCTAGCAAAAAATCTAGTTAGGCGGAAATGGGCGTGGCCAATACAAAAAAGATGCAGAATCATCCAAGGATTAAGTACATATAAAGTTTTTGACTGTGAGACCTACGGTTTGGGAGCTAGTAGCTGAAACGTGTTTACCTCCGCAATAGCGCACCTAGGTAACGCGGGGTCCAAATTTTCGAATCTGAGTAGCGGTCAGGATTTTCTATCAGACTGCCATGTCAGATTTTCCCTGGCAATTTCAGGCTCTTGCGCCCATACATTTCAAGCGGAGAAGAATAATAATAAATAATAATAAATAATAATGAAAAATCCGTAGAAAAACAATAGGGTTCCCTGCCCTTTGGGCTTGGAACCCTAATAATAGCACATCAAAGTTATATAGTGCTGTTAAAGACACTCAAAGACGCTCATCAGTGGAACCGGAGGTCAACCAGAGTGGCTGCAAAGTCAGCCACCGATGAACAGAGATCCTCATTGTGGCTAAAATATTAAACATGGATGCATTAGATGAACCAAAGAGGATGATGTCCATCTCCATTAATATCCAGCTGCAAAAACAACTCAGTAGGGTTGGGTGATTTGTATCATTTCTCCCACCGCCAATCGTCAGACCAAAAAAGTCGATGGACGATTTATTCGTACATGTGACGTCACGACGCACGGACTGATTTGCGAACACAGAAGAAGCCCAAAACAGTGATTTTTTTTAGACAAGCGCAGCACATAAGTTTGCTGGAAGAGAAATTTATATTTTTCTTTTGTTGAATTTTGTATTTGTAGTTTGGTAGAGTGACGTATAAACGCCCGTATTAAACACGGTTAAAATGTTAAACAGAAGCCTCGTCTTTGCTTCCCCGCGGTGCCCACTGGTGTGGTTTTTATTTAAGCAAAACGTTTCTTTCTGAACAAAAACTTCTGGGTTCTTTCTTTTATAAGTGGGGGATGGAAGGCTGCTGCGTTTGGACGCACTCTGAGGAGGCAGCTCGCTGTCAGAGGTCACATGATCCATTTATCCCGTCACTTTCACTTTTTAAATAATGAATACTCATTCGTTAAATTTCCATTCATTTTAATTAATATTTAGTCCAACCAGGCTGATCAGAATGCCCCAGTAACACGAACAATGCAATTAAACCATTTCACTGAAATTAGGAACATTTCACCCGCTGCGGCTCGAACGCACGTTCCTCCGGCGCCGCGTGAACCTGAACTGGTCACCTGCAGCTTGTGTGTGATCAGATGTCTCTAGGGAGCTTGCTGAGGAGGTTATGAGCTTACAGACTTTTGCCTCAGACAGACCCACGGCTGTTTAAATAATGTTCTGGATGGATCCGTGCTCTGATGACACACTCGAAGCAGGTGCTGAATAACGACGAGCGCCACTTCAGCCAAAGTTTTAAATCAGGAAACGTTTCTCCAAATGAAATAACCAGAAGTCTTCCAGACTCTGAAAGATAGAAGGGTTTCCACTCAACGCCGCGCTGCAGTGCACGATGTCGAGTGCGTCACAGACGCTCTCCACACCACTCCTCAGCGCGTCGCCTGCGCGTGCACTGTCGGCAGCGAGAGCAGGAGGAGGTGAGAAAAGGCTCAGATGTGCTGATGGAGATCTTTTCTTAACTGTTACCTCCGCGATGTTCTCTGTGCGTAACGTATAAAATATTCATCAATAACAAACAAATAAATAAATAAACACATGGCCTCCTGTAAAAAACAACCGTAACGGCTCAGCCCATCGCCGATGGTCGATTCATTCGTCCCATCGCCCAGCCTTACAACTAAACAGCAAATTTCACATTTTTTAAAAATGCGTTTGATTCCAGTGAAGACTAAGCATCTGAGTCACTGGCTAGGAAACATTTAAAATACTCTACAGCTGTTTGATGTGTAGCAGGAATAACAGAGGAGCTTTGCCTCTAACCGATGGTGCACTCACATCTGGCTCAGCCCCGGTAGGTATATATTCTGTTCACATCTGGATAATCTGTGCTTTTTTCGTGTTCAGCCGACAGTTTATCTTGGACATCTCTCCAGCAGTCAGCTTGGTGCTGAGCTGACCCAACACACCCACTACTGGCTGATTGGCCGGCTGAAATTAAGGCCTAGTAGAGAGAACCCCTGATTGGCTGGTAGAATCAGCCAGCGGCAGCTTCCCACATGCACGATTTATTATCAGTCTGGATGCAGTGGAGTAAACATCTTCCCTGACTGCTTCAGCCGAGGGAGCACGAGAACAGACTGATGTGGAAGGAGCCCACGACAGCACCGCTGCTCAGTGAAACTGTAGGAAGCTCTGTGCTTCATGTCAGTCTCCAAAAGCCACATAGCTCATGGCCGCCTTTGTTTACTAAATTAAGGAGGACACCACTTCTTCATGTGCCTTTTACCCCACCCACGTGCTCTGAGAAATCAGCGTTCATGAGATGGCTATGCAGACAAAACCTGGCCACGGGAGAGCGGGCCGGCCTAACTAAGATCAGACTGGGCCAACCCAGATGTGAATATGCCATTACCCACCACACAGAACTGGTTCCCCCAATGATAAAACACCATAGGGAGCCCAATGCTGTGGGACGGTTACATGAGTGAAGCTAAACAACTTCACAATCACAGAGCTAGCTCCTTAAATATACATTTGCAGTGGTCTCTAGTATAAATGAATGCCTTGTGAGTCGTTCTTTGTGGAGAAAAGCTCTAGCACTCCTGTTTCAGGAACTTAACAGTTTTGTGGAGTGGGTTGGTGTCCTTCCAACTGTACATCTCCTTTAAGCCCCATGAGATGTCTAAGCTGCAGCTGTTACACACCTGCTTAGACTCTATCAAAGCCTGGATGGCTGGGAGCTTTCTTCAGCTGAATGAAGATAAGACTGAGATCCTCATCTGTGCCCCAGACAAGCTGGTTCCCAAAGTCAGAGACTTTCTTGGTCAGCTTGCTTCTCACACCAAACCTTCAGTCAGGAATCTTGATGTGACCTTTGACCCAGTTCTCACCCTGGATCAGGGGTGGGCAACTCCAGTCCTCGAGGGTCGATATCCTCCATCTTTTTGTTATTTCCCAGTTCCAACACAGTTGATTCAGCAGCTCATCAAGCTGCAGAAGCCAGCTAATCTCCTGCTGATTGAAATCAGGTGTGTTGAAACAGGGAAAACAGTAAAGCATGTGGGATAGTGACCCTAGAGGACCAGGATTGCCCGCCCCTGCGGGCCTGGATTCTCATGTCAGTTCTCTTGTTCGCTCTTCCTTCTTCCATCTCAGGAACATTGCTAAGTTGAGTCTAGAGCTGAAACGATTCCTCGAGTACCTTGAATAATTCGAGTACAAAAAATCCTCGAGTCAAATTCTCTGCCTCGAGGATTCGTTTAATTCATATTTAATTAATTCGTGGCTTTGCAATCGCCCGGGGTCATGTTTCACCCGGACCGAAATAAGTGACGCACATGCCCACTGGACTGAATGCACACGCGAGTAGCGAATATAACTTAACTTTCTCTTAACAACGTGGACCCCGGTGGAGTGCGAAAAAGACAGAAAAAGTCAAAGTTGTGGGACCATCTTTCACGTCGTAAGACGGAAAACGTAGTCCAGTATAAATACTGTAAAATGGATTAAGCCTACCACAACACCACATCCTCCGTGCTGCAGCACCTGTAAATGTCACTTCTGCAAGCGGACTCAGAGCCTCTACAAGATAATGCATTTTAGCCTGTTTTTCTATATATTCTGCGGACACTGCGACTTTTTCATTTGTAGCACTCAGTTTCAGCTCACACCGTACATCTGGTGGCAACACGTCGGACTTAAAATGTGCTAAAAATAGCAGTTTTTACACAATATGTCGGACTTTCTATTGTGTTATTGATGTCTGTTGTCCCTCGGGGTTTCTGCAGGAGGACACGGGTATTTATGAGTGGCGGAGGAAAACGAAAGAAAGTAAATACATGTTTTGTGATCAGTATAATTTGACAAAACCACAGCAAACATGCTTTTGGCAATCCTTGTTAGTGTGAGAAAAAAAAGTGTAGAAATTAAAACGGACGTGTGTTAATAGGGAAACAGCCGGCGAGCTGTTTGCGCCGTGAGCGGTTCTGGTTCTGTTTGGGCCGCAGCCGCTCGCAGCGTTATCCTCCTAGTTTTTGTCTGGCTTGCAGGCTAGCAGATTCTCACACGAGGGGAAAATCGGCTCAGGTTGTTTACTTATTTTTTGCACAGGCATTTGTTTACTGTGAAGTAAAGTTGAAGTGCTGAAGTTATGCAAACTAATTTTGAATAAAACTTGAAGAACAACTGGCAATTGCTTGCTCATTTTAAGAGGTCTTTCATAATTATAACATGCTATTTGATATCATCACTTTTATTGTCACGTCACATGTGCAGGTACACTGGTACAGTACATGCGAGTGAAATTCTTGTGTGCGAGCTTCACAGCAACAGAGTTGTGCAAAAATACAGTAATGTAAAAACAAGTAAAATATAAAAATGGCTAATCTAAGTATACAAATGAATAAAGTAAACAATAAGATAAGAGATATAAAATGTACAGAGGTTGGTATGTGCAAAACAGTGGCATTAATGTACAGTATGGAGCGTGTAATGTTGGAACTTGGTGGAGCTCGCGACGAGGCAGCCATACTCGGCGCCATCTTGGCTCATCAATATATGATATAATGGTTTACAAACACAAAAGGGTAATTTATTAGAGTACTCGATTAATCGAAAAAAATATTCGATAGAGTACTCGATTACAAAAATATTCGATAGCTGCAGCCCTAGTTGAGTCCCATTCTGTCTCGCTCTGAACTTGAGACAGTTCTCCACACCTTCATCTCCTCACGCTTAGACTACTGTAACTCTTTTCACGTGTCTGAGCAGAACCTCCCTGAACCGTCTACAGGTGGTTCAGAACGCCTGTGCTCGGCTTCTGACCAAGTCCTCCAAACGCACCCACATCACCCCGCTTCTCCTCCAGCTTCACTGGCTGCCAGTCAACTTCAGGGTTCATTTCAAGATCCTGGTTTTGGTCTATAGGGCCTTACATGGACAAGCACCATCTTACATTGGTGATCTTCTTAGTCCCCACACCCCCAGCAGGTCCCTGAGGTCCAGCGATCAAAGCCTACTGGTTGTGCAACGCACCAGGCTAAAGACCAAAGGTGACAGATCATTTGCTGCTGTGGCCCCCAGACTCTGGACCTCTCTCCCCCTGAGCCTGAGATCAGTGGACTCAGTGGACTCCTTCAAAAAGCAGCTGAAGACTCACTTGTTCAAGCTGGCTTTTGTATGACCTTCTTCACCACTCTCTCTTTATTCTGCTCTCCCCACCTATTCAACCTTCCTCATGATCCACTGATTTCCCTCTTTCCTATTCACTCTCTCTCTTTCTTAACATTTTTTAATCACAATTGTTTATTTTTGCTCATTTTAAATATATTTTTAAACATTTTCTAAATGCTTTTTTATATTTTTACATTTTTTGCTTTTGTGAAGCGCCTCATGATTTTTATCTTGAGAGGCGCTGTAGAAATGATATTTTCTTCTTCTTCTTCTTCTATACGTGGAGCTCATTATCTGCTTTATAGCTGTTATGCTAGCAGTTAGCTTTTGCAGTTCAATCGTCAATAAAAAGCACAAGAAGAAGAACAAGAAGTTTGCTTTATTTGTTGACATCATAGAGTCTGAAAAAAGTAAGAGTAATGTCTTTGAAGACAAAGCCAATCTACAATCTGAGCGAAATTGGGCACGGCCTACACTAGTTTGAGGAATCTAAAGGAGGCTACAAAATCACAGACTCAGGGTTTCCCCCAGTGCTTGCCCACCCGCCAGGCTAAGCGTCATGCCCCGCCCCCCTCACCGACTCTACCATGTCCGCTGACTCGAACGGCGCACCGGAACTAGAGCCCTCCATCAGCTGATACTGGCGAGAAACAGCAGCAGAAGGTGTGCAACCACCACACCCCCACCCCCGCTCTCACGGAGGAGCGCTGTGGGACGGGTTTTTATTTAATGATCATGTTTTTCTTTTTAAAACACAGATTTCAAACACGATTTTTATGGAAATTTTTTTATAAAGCCTGGCTCTTCCTTAAACTCTCAGCTGCTTGTCTTCTGAACATTTAAACACTCAGATGTTGAGTATAAAGAGGCAAATATAGAAAAGCTGCAAAATAATTATCGCTTAAACTCAAACAACAAACAGCTGAACATCTCCCAGATGGTCCTCGACCGTCTCAAGCAGCATTCCTACCGCTGAAACTACTCACGCATTATTGGAACAGGAAAGGCTAAAACACAATATGCTAGCTGCTACTCAAACACCCGGTACGGTCTTCTAACTGAAACTTAAAAACATTTCTCAGACATTAAAATCTTAACAGGAGTTGAAGAATAAAATGACAGAGGACATTTCAAACTCACCGTCAAGCTTCGGAGCACAGAGGGTTTCCAGCTGCGGTTCCCTCTCCTCTGTTATATCCCGCTCTTCTTCCTCCTCCTCCTCCTCCTCAGTGCTCCTTTCCTCCTCATTCTCCTCTTCATTCTCCTCTTCCTTGTTCTCCTCCATGTCTCCATCCTCTGGAGGAAGGATGTCTGGTTCATTAGACTCGGGCTGGGAGTGGGGCGTTTGCACCATTGGCTGCGGACTGAGTGTGGGAGGCTGCAGCGTGGGGGTAAGAGGAGCCTGAATAGGCTGAGTTTGAGTGGGGGGAGGAGGAGGTGGAGGAGGCAGGGGGGGCTGGATGTTGGATGTTAGCTGGGGAGTGTCATACAGAGCCGAAATGGCAGAGGAGATGCTCTTCTGAAGGTCCTGGTTCTTCCCAACCGAATCCTCTTCATCGGAGGAGAACGACGGCAAAGTCTCCAGGTTCCTCTTCAGCTCATCTTCTAAGCGCTTGGGGCTGGGGCAGTTTCCCAGAGCCAGACCGCCATTCCCCTCACTGTCCCCAAATGGAGGCGGCGGAGGTGGAGGAGGTGGTGCAGGAGACAGTGGCCGCAGCCCTCCTGACTTACAAGGAGAAGTCTCACCGTTGTCAGCTTCCATCCCTGGTGAGATGTCCAACCCCGGAGGTCTCTTCCCCGACTTCAGGAAGTCCAAGAATGAAGCAACAAATCCAGCTTTGGACTCTGAATCCTTCTCATCCCCCTGGAAAAAAAAACACACACACACACACAACAACTATGAGTAAGCTACAGAAGTGGTGACACTATGGCGTTATGAACCATATCAGCTGAATTCCAGCTTTGTGAAAGTTTAAGCAAAGACGTTTTATCCTCCAGCTCTCACCCTTTCCTCTAATCCCTCCTCATCCACTCCTTCACTCATCAGCTGGCTTTTCTGTTTGTTCTTCTCCTGGCTTCTACTCTCAGCGCTGCAGGGGGGTCCGGGACTTAAACCAAGCGAGGGAGCTGAGCCAACCGAGCCGTCTGACAAAGCAGGGTCGGTGCCAGACAAAGAGTCTGTCCTCAGCAAGGCGTCAGAGGAGGACAGGGTACCAACTGGCAACTTGATCTGAGAGGAAACAAAGTGATGCATCACATTAGAAGCTAACAAGTTACCGACTTCAAGATGATAGAATAATGTGACTGAATCTAACGTTAACTCAGATTAATGTCTAACCAAAATGAGAGAGAGGAAGAGCAACAAAAAGGCTAGACTGGCTCACAGCTGACAGCTACTCTCCATCATTCTGTGTTCCTGTAACTCTGCTTTGATCTCATCCACAAACAGACTCATGCCTGACCTTGAGAGGAGGGATGGGCTCGTGCTGCTGCTGCTGTTGGGACTGATGGAGCTGCTGCGCATGCTGCTGATGGAGGTGATGAGAGTGCATCTGGTCCTGCTCCTTCCCACTCATCTCCATGTACATATCCTCCCTCCGACCTCCTCTTCCTCGGCTTCCGCGACCCCTGCCCCTGCCTCGCCCTTCCACGCTGAATCCCGCTCCGACTGCTGACCCACCCATATCCCCCATCATGCCTCGCGGGGTGTAGGGCTCAGGCATAGGGCGGATACGAGGTCTGCCTCTTGGCCTGGGGGGACCCTCTCTTTTTGGCCTAGTGGGCTTCCGACCCCTCTTCTTGGGTCCATCTGGGGGCAGGATCGTGTGAGAGCCCATTGAGGAGTAGCCCGAGGTATGGTAAAAATCAATGTCGCCCATTAAAGGGCTGAGAGACCCTCCTCCTCCCTTTCTGCAGCTGGACACCAGATCTGGTAAAAGGTCAGGCAGCCTGCGGCTGTTCAACCGGATGTCAGCGGGCTGGTCCGCTTTGTCCTCGTCATCTTCAAACTCGTATTCTTGAGCATAACTTTTCTTCGGCAGTGTGTTGGGATCCCTTCGCTCTTTCAGCAGATGGAAAGAGCTGGATTTGAGCAGCTTCTTGGGACGAGATGAGCAGAAAATTGGAGACTGGAGGCCTCCAGAACCTGTTCCCGAGCCAGTTCCCCCTGGATCTGAGGAGAGTTTAGCTCCGGAGTTGTTAGGACCGGCGGTGTTGGAGCCCATTCCCATGGCCGGAGCCTGGGACTGTATCAATCCCAACTGTTCGGTGTTGACAGTGGAAGGAAGCTCGTGTGTTTTTAGAGAGTCCAGATCCAGGGTCATGGTGTTGTTGTTGGGTTCCTCCAGGCCGTGACAGTATGGTTCATAAGCCTGATCTCCACCGTGGTGACCCATGAGGTCATAGCCAGCTCCACCGCTCCCCCCGGCGCCTCCTGCACTCTGCCCAGCTTTCATCGAATTCATTCCTTCTTGGCCTTCATTCATCTCCTCCTGCCCGGGCCCGGCACCACCAGCACAGCTCGATTTGTAGTCTTCAGCACAAAACATGTCCTCCATTCCTGGGAAGAAGGAGCGGTCCTCGTCCTGAAGGAGGGAGTCTGGGAAGCAGATGGAGGTTAAGGGGACAAAGCGGTTACTTTGTTGGTTCTGGTCGGCTTTCTCGACCGGGCTGACCGTGTCAAACTGGTGCTGTTCTGAGCGCTGCTGGTCCAGCTGGCTCTGCTGATTTGGGAGCTGACTGGAGAGTGGCTGCTGTGGGTCGGGCTGTGCCTGGGAGTGGACAGAAGCAGGAGGGGGTGGTATGTGATGAGGGTGAGGAGGCTGCTGTTGAGGGTGAGACTGGGCATGAGGGTGATGGGGGTGAGAGGCTGGGTGCTGCTGTTGCTGCTGCGCGTGATGTTGCGACAGGTGGTGCATGTGGGACTGGGTGGACAGACCGATGTCGGGCTCGGAGAGGAAGGAGTGGAGCTCGGAAGCCGGGTGTTGCTGCGAGTGGTGGGGTTGTGGCGGCTGATGGTGAGGTTGGTGCTGCCTCTGGGGCTCCTGCTGTGACTGCCTGTGGCGCTCGCTGCTGCCGCTGCTTCTCCCCGCGCTGCCGGGGCCACCACGTCGGTCTTCTGCGACACCAACGTCTGAGGAGGAGGTCTGAGAGAGGGAGCGCTCCAGCATGTCCAGCTCGGACACCACGGAGCTTTGTTTGACCTGGCTCTGGTCGTGTGGATGCGGACCGTGGTTGTAATGAGCTGCTGCCACCTCCAGAGCCTGGGACTGAAGCTGCAGCTGCAACTGGGTGGTTTGGGACTGGGACTGAGCCTGATGCTTGGACGAGCCGAGTCTCCCCGCAGCACCCTCCATCACAGCTTGCTGCTGGCTGATGGAGTGCTGCTGCTGTTGGGGCAGAGAGTCCATTTTATGGTGCTGTTGGTGCTGAGAGAGAGAGTCCATCTTTGAATGTTGCTGATGAGGCGGGAGGGAGTCCATTTTGTGGTGCTGTTGGTGTTGGCGGTGGGAGTCCATCTTATGGTGAGGCTGATGGGGCTCCAGCTTGTTACGGGTGGTGTGGGAGAGCACCGACTGGAGCAGGTGTGGCGGCTGGCGGGACTGATCCGTGGGAGAGTCCATGAGGGACACGGCAGCTTGAGATTGGGAATGCTGCTGCTGCTGCTGGAGTTCTGGCGTTTTCCGAGGATACGGGATGTCCGCCCGCTCCTGGGGCTTCTTCTGGAGCTCCATCTGGGAGAGAGGTGGCATCTGCGAGTGCGAGGACACGTGCTGACTATGCGAGGAGTGCTGGCGCGTGAGGGAGTGCTGGGAATACGGGTCGCCCCGGCCGTAGTGGACAACCGATCCGAGGTTGTCGTGGTGATGGAGGTGGGAGTGCACCTGTTCAGTGCTGCTTCTCCCACCGCTGTTTCTGCTGCTCACAGCTCTGTCGTTCCTCTGGGGCTGCTGTGGTTGGTGGTGGTGCTGCTGATGCTGCGGCTTCTTTAGAGACATCTCCAGCTGGCTGTCCAGCCCTGAGATGGACCCTCCAGAGCCTGCACCTCCTACCCCAGCAGCAGAAGTGGCGCTGTGAGTACGAATGACACTTTGCGGGTGGTACCTCTCCTCGGAGCTCTTGCCCATGTCGTAACTCATCCCTTTGCCTGAATCGCTGGTTGGGGGGACTGACTGGGATTGGGGCTGCGTTTGCTGGGATGTCGGCTGGGGGTGGTGGGCGCTCTGAGGAGCAGGACTTGCCTGAGCTTGGAGCAGGTGCTGAATTAGGAACTCATCATCATCATCCACTTCATCCTGGGACCTTTGAGAGCCCACTCCTAGCATGGAGGTGTCTGCCTTCGTTTTGGAGGAATTGGAGTGATATGACTGAGGCTGGGAGGGGGGGCCTCGGGTGTCAGGGAAGCCCTGTGGGGAGGCCAGAAAGGTGGGCGAGAGGACGGAAGAAATGTACTTGTTAGAGCCTGCGCCTCCTGGAGACTGAGTGGGACAGGTGGGGACTGGCGAGTGCAACCCTGGACGGATGATGCCCGAGTTGCCTGAGGGAGAGGGGCTGGAATCTGGAATATGATAAGAGCCTCCACCACTGCCTCCTCCAGCTCTTTCATTGGTCATGCTGTTTCCAGCTCCGCCTCCTGAGCCTGAGTTCCCACTCCCAGCACCGCTGCTGCTTCCTCCTCCTGATGCTCCATTACCTGATGAACCGCTGGACCTCAAAAGGGCAGGTGAGTGGCCTGGAGCTCCATAACCCAACGATGGACTGCCAGCTCCACCCAGGGAGGATGAAAGTGATCCATAAGCAGAATCAGCACCGTATAAATCAGTGGAGTACGAATGGCTCCGTCCTCCTAAACTCCCGTAGCCTTTCCCACCCGTACCAGAGCTCAGGTCTTGGGCCTGTGGGGAGCTGAAGCCTCCATAAGACTGAGCCAGGTGGGCTGGTGGTGGCTGATTGGGGGAATATGACTGCGTCTGCTGCTGGGGTGGAGTCTGACCAGTCAGAGCAGAGTTAGGGGTCTTCACTGGGGGCACAGGAGAGCCGTAGCCAGACAGGCAGGACTTGGGGAGTGACTGTGGAGCTGAAGTGGAAGTGGGAGGGGGCTGTTGTTGCTGAGATGTAGGGGGAGGTGGAGCTGTCTGGGGGGGTGGCTGCTGCCTAGACGGAGCTGCACTTGAGCTAGAGGTGGGAATGGAATTGGAAGGGTGGGCCCCTGAAGTGGCTGAAGAAGACGAGGAGGAAGAGGAGGTAGAGGAAGCAGAGGGAGGTGTATGAGGAGTTCTTGAGGATGACGCAGAGCTGCCAGAAGAATAGCCACTACTGGAACTGCTTTTGGTACCTTTCCCAGCCGAGGAAGAGGAGGATGAAGAGGAGGAATAGGGAGGCTGGATGATTGGCCGATACTGCTCAGTGCGAGAGGTGGGCTTGTGGTCCGACGAGGGGCTCTGGTCGCCGAGTGGGCTGCAAGACAGGCCGGCGTGTCTGTGGTGGGCAGCAATGGGCTGGTACCCCGCTCCTCCACAGCTGAGATAGTGCTGAAGAGAGTGAGCCGCCGAGGATGAGAGCTGGGACTGGGCCGGCGATGGCCGCTGATAGTGCTTGATTACGCTGTCCTGCCTCGGCACGGCCCGCTCTTGGGCCGAGTTCGACTGGGATTGGGACTGGGACTGGGGCTGGGCTGAGGAAAAGACTGAGGGATTATACAGCTGGGACGACTGGTCCTGCAGCTGTGATGAGAGCAGATTGAACTGATGCGACTGCAGATGCCTGGCGGAGGACGCCTGGGCCGATGTGGCGCCCGTGGGATCCTGGCTGCCCCTGTATGCAGCGGCGCCCTGCGAGGACAGGAGTCGATCGAAACCCAGGCTTGATTGTGACGGGGCTTTGATGTGTATTAGGGGATCATGTGGGGACAGAAGACCGTTGGATGTGGGGCTGAATGTTGGTGTGTCCTGGAGGGAAAGGGAGGCAGCGGGGAAAGAGCGGCTTGAGAAGGACGCTGGATGTTGATACGCTGACAGAGCCGAAGAGGAGGGGAAGGATCCAGAGCCAGGAAGGGCTCCAGGGATGAATAGTTCAGGCGGACCAGGCGTGTGCATCGCTGTTAGGAAGAAGAAAACATCACAGAATCACTCAGTGACCATCACAAGATTCCAAAAGTAGAAATATCAAAATGCTAACGCTCACAAGTGAACACTGTCAGACTAATAATGTAAACAAACATTAGGGCAGTATTTTTTAAATGTCATATTGACTTGGGTTTGTTTGAATGTCAGCACATCAGGGAGGACTTAACGGAGCCCCACCTGTCTGCCAGGACGGCGTGCGGAACTGAGAGAGAAGGGAGGAGGCAGAGGGTGGAGGCTGGGGGCCTCTGGACTCCAGGGCTGAGATCAGATTCATGACTGAGGCATCAGGAGCCGAGGGGCTAGCGTGGTGCAGGCCAGTGTCAAAAAGCCCAGAAAGACCTTTAAGAGACCATCACGGAAGAGGGAATCATTTAATTGAAACCACAAAAACAAAAATTTTCCAATGCAAATGTAGATCAAATAAAAGGACAGTAGACTCAAGTGTGCTTCCCTGACACACCTGAAACACTATTTGTAAGAAAACCAATCATTACAAGTACTGAAAACATCAGACAAGATGCAGCAAAAACTATTTAAGAATAAATGCAGGTTTTAACATCCACAGCGTAGACTCGCTGGAGCTATAATGTGCACATTTTTCAGTGACAATCATCTTGCTGGGCCTCCAAGCACAGACACCATAATTCATTGCCAGGGCCCCTTATGGTGGTGACATGGAAGGTATGACATTTATCTTACCCAAACTCCGTCCAGCTGCTCCCCAAGCCCCGCCTTGGCCAGAGCTCCCTGGGTGGTGATTGGTGGCATAGCCCTGCAGAGGGTGTGGGGTGGCGTAGGCTTGTCGGTGAAGGAGCTCAGACTCGGGGTGGGATGATCTGGAACTCCCATATACAAGACTGGGAGGAGGGGAGGGAAGTGTGATTAATCTTAGAGTATATTACCATAATTTTAATCTGTTCCCAAAATGTGACCCTTGAAAAAATAAAAGATGACGTGCTGGTCAACTGTACACCACACACAGCATTTAATGTGCAGGTAAATTGCACTTTAATTAAAAGAATTCAAGCATCAGATTTCAAATCTGGGTTAATTTGAACCTTAATGTCTCCAGGAAGAAATATCAAATAATACATATTTATAGAAAATTATTAAAACGATGTAATATTAATTATTCCATAATTACAGCATTGGTGTTTGTCAAATACTATAGTTATTATAAATATGTGGAAGCACTTTTTAATCATTCTTTTAAATTAACAAGAATGACTCGTTTGCAATTATGAAAACGGAAATTAAATGTCCGTCCTTTGCACGTTTTACAAATTAGCATCATTTAAAAGCGGTTCCTTATTTAGACATCCTGATTTTTTTTAGTTTCGAGCTTTACTGATGAGATGCGTGGTTCAGATTCCTGTTAGCATTCATGCTGCTGCTAGCATCGCTCACAAGCACAAATGTATAGACAAGGCCCAAACTGCGAGGCCAGACCTGCGTTTAAATAAAAAACAAAGGGCAAAATAGCTTCATTTTACAAAATAAAAAATAAATACATCCCGAATTTTAAACCAAAGAGAAAAAATTTGCATATGTGTGCCCACTAATTACGGTGATGTAGCTAACAACTGAATGGTGCACGTCGACGCAAATACACGCCAGGATGATACAAGCTAACACAAGCAATTGGCCACGATTGCTTATCTAAATGAGAATTCTTCAAAGTGTAATGCTGGATTCTGATTTTGACCAGGAAAGTAATGAAAAAATAGACTGGAGCGTCACATGTGTAGGAACAGAGGAAGTAATGATGCTAACAGGCTTCATCTAATTTTCCTGCAAACTAACGCTAGCTTCGCAGGCTAACTAAAGCTAAATTACAGCGTTGCCTCGCAGTTTTGTCAAATTTCACCCTCAAATCTTTCACGCTTGGATTTTTTATTTGCATTTATTTTACCTATACAGTAAATTGCAACTTTGACGCACGAGGAATCTGACATATCTGTTTTATGCAAATGAGCAAGCAAAACCATCCACCACAAATGATATTGAATCACTCTGTGGAGCATAAAAATGTATTCAACAATTCAGTGGGAACAGTGCAGCATCGGCCTCTGGAACAGTTTGCTACAGTGAGAGGGGGTAATTAAACGCACCCCCTTGGTTAATTTGCATCAGTTTATCTTGTTGATGTCTGACGGGGGCGCTGGGTGAGGAGGGGGGCTGCTGCGTCTGCAATCCTCGCCCGTTTCTATCATGAATCCTATGAATTTATCTATCAGGAGTCTGAATCCAGGCCTGCACGCTTGGAACAATAATTCCAATGGACACCCAGACATCCCCCACCTCCATCCTTCCATCCATCCCGCCAGGTCCAGCCTAAAAAAACCCATATCTGTCAATCACATTCAATTCATTCCCCAACCTTTCCTTTCTCCACCCCGCCCACCCCCACGACACACACTTAGCAATTCCTGTTTATAATTTTATCACTATGCAACTGTTAGGATGACAATGCGCTACCCATAATGGCATGGCACGGCGCTGTATATCAAGCTAATAGCTCCAATTTGTTTACGTGGGTCACACCGTGCCCTGCAAACTACCACTGATGCGTGCACATTGTCTGAATCCGATGCATACCTTGCTTTTGCCGTTCTGTCGTAACTCCATCCTGCTCCTGCGCCCAAATCGCCGAATCCTGTTCCCGGGTAATTTCTATCCATTTATGTCTTGTTCTTGTTCAGTGCGTGCAATGAGGATGAAAGCAACGAGAACGTAGCAGGACGCGATATGGGGGAGAAAAAAATCCAGTCTCTCCCGTTCTCGTTTTCAAGCGATTTTCCCCGGTTTCATAAGCAAGTCCTCAGGAGTGGAAAACAGCATATTGAAAGAGAAATGGTGGGGAGGAGGAGAAAACTGGATGAAAAAAGAGGGGGGTCTACGGGGTTATAATCCAACCACCTCCAAAAAAGCCAGTCTTTCTCCTTTTCCTGCGTCTTTCACGTTTATCATTTCCTTTAATGCAGATTTGGTCTAAAATCAGTCCCGGTCATGATGAAGATGATTTGGTCGGTGATGGGCGAATTGCTTTCAAACATTTGACTTGAATGCGTCCCTTTTCACCGTTTCTCCTCCCCTTTCTTCGGGCTAGTTTTGGCTATGCCTGCTAGCTTTAGAAAAGATCGACAAGCCACGTTGGTTGCAATCATTCCCCATGGGCGAGCAAAGAAATCCCCAATTTAAAAAATCTCTTTTTTTCTTTGCATGCAAATCGTTCCCACCCCCTCTAGAAAGCGGAGCTACCAGGTTAGCAGGATGCTAGCTGTCAGCAACGACGCATCGAAATAAAACTGGGCAGCTTTTATTTCCCCGAATACGCGCTCCTCGTCTTTCCTCTCGCAGCCATTCGAGTCAAAGCGACGACGAGGTCGCAAGCGTTGAAGAAATCCACGGCATGCAGCGAAAATATCTCAAAAGCCGAACGAGGAAGTGTAAAAAGAAACAGGCCGCGTTTTAATATTTTTTACTCATTTTCCTCCGGAGACGCCATTTTTGAAGGCGGATAGCCGCTGTCCGTCCTCCCTCTCCCCCTCCGCGTCTCACCGTGTGTCTGCTCTGACCTCCATTCACCGGCTATCAGTCTGCCAACATTCCCCACTCCGCTCCGCTCTTCCAGATTCGCTATTTTAATTGGGAAAACTATAAATAAACACAAAATAGCCACCAATTCGCCCCGTGCGCAGCGATTTGCTGAGACGCGTTCAAGTGCACACAGGAAAAATCCTGTAATAACCAGATTTATTCGCCTGCAGCGTGTGTTGCAAATTCTTATTCAGATCGGTATGTGAACTTTTAAGTTACATGCGCCTGTATGCTTGAAAGAAACTGTTTCCGTTTGTGAGATAGCCCAGAGCAATGATTATTGCATTAATTAGGATCGCCTTCACCTGTAACTACTTCTCCGGTGAAGGCATCATGGGTAATAACAGGTGGAGTTACAGGGTAATGACCCGGTGAGCGATGGAGCATCTGGTCTTTTTTCTCATCGTAAAATCATGATAGAATTAGCAAATATGAAAACAGTAAAATAAAATCTTACATCAACAGAATGGCAGCAAACATATACAATGGCCTAAAATGAAGGCCATAATCTAGATATGATGCAACAATGACGAGGTCAATAAAGATGTAAAATTATAGAAACGAATGTGATATAAAATAAACTCAAAAATACAAAAAAGGGCAAATATTCGTTTACAGAAAAGATAATATTCACAATGATTTACTTACTGAAAAAAATAAAAGTTTTCAGAGACAGATGGGGTGATGAATTAAGAGGGGATCTGTTTTAAAAATGGTTTATCAGGACAAATTTTAAACGTAAGTGTGTTTCAGTAGTAGAGGTCAAATTATGTCAAACTGATAAACTTAAGCAAAATAAAAATAAAATGGCCAGTTTCAGAGAATACACACAAGGATAGCTACAATCACTACATATACATGTCAAATAACGAAACAAAACTTAAATTTGGACAAAAATAACAGTGATAAAAGGTCTGTCCAGTGTAGAAACATAGTTACAAAGCCCCATAATGTTTTCTGCATATTTGTTTGAATCTGAATATTTTATATTTGTTAGAATGCAAGCAGAAGTCTTCAGAAACTAACTGCAATGGTTTAATTTCCGTTTCTGCATTCCTTCAGCATATTCATGTTCTCCTGTTAACATAGCAACAGCTGTTTACATCCCCTTTTTAACGAATTTTCCTGTCAGAGACAAATGCACATAATTGTTTACACCAGCAGATGGAGCACTGGCTCTTATAATATTTATCATTTAAGAGCGATCACTCAGTTCTGGCACAGAGATATGCTCCTTTTTTGATTGGGGTTTCTCTTAATCCGCGTCATGGCCTAGATTACTAAACAACATTGTCAGTATTTCCAAATGTGCTTATAGAACTACCAAGAAAAGAAAAGATAGCAAAAAGTGTGTGAAAATGTGGATGAGCTCCGAATGACTCAGGATTACAGAAATCACATCCTAGAGGCCTTTTTGCCTTGGAACATTGTGTCAGCGATTGTCGCCCCCTAGTGGACAAGTGAATAAACTAGATGTGTTAAAGTTTTTAGTAACAACAATCCTTTGGCCTAACATTTATTACCTGCAAATGATTCATATTTTTCCCATCTCTTACATATTATTATTATTATTATTATTATTATTATAGAGGGGTACGAAGGTTGGTATATGCTTTTAACACTAACTACATTTTTAGATCAAATTCAGAGGCTTAGCAGTCAGTTTTGCCATTTTAACTTTTTTAAAAATTAAATACATAGAAATTAACTTGTGTGTGCTCTTTGCATACATTTGTATCCAAAAAGTAAAACAAAAAGTTTCCATAAAATGTTATCATTTTTAGAAATTATTTCATAGTCATTTCAATCCTTCCACACAATTTTCCAGCAATTTTTAAGTTGTTTATTCAAACATCTCTCAAGTCTCAGTTCCAAATCCACATTCAGTAAACTATTCATAAAAAAAGTCAAACAACATTAAAACTGAAATAAATAATCTGTGTGTTTGTTCCTGTGGGGGTGTTTGGGATACTGTAATGTTGTCAGCTCTGGTTGTCAGTACCAGCACAGTAACCCAAACATATTACTAAATGAATGTGTAATGAGTTAATGAAAACGGCATGAATTCAAACAGAAAGAATGGTGCATAAACTGAAGTTCTTTTGAAATTAAACTCATCTTTTGCAGCCTGACACCCCCCCCCCCCCCCCCCCCCCCCCCCGACTAAATTTCCCTCCACCTCTATCTGCGGTCTCACTTGACTGCAGCATTTGCAGCGGCACGCCTCCGGCTCACTTCTGTCAAGATGCCACACGTTGATGACGCCGTGCCAGCATCATGCCAGATTATTAAGGGCCACACAGACAAGTGGTGAGTCTCGGCAGGAACGACACGTAGCCATAGGTGATAAAACTTTTCAGAACAAATTCACCTGCAAGATCTTATGGCCATTAAACCAGAGTCCTACAATGTACCATTTACTCCTATGAGCATGTCTGTTCACTTAGTAAATGACTTTGAGAGAAGATTGTTAACTCTAACTACACAAAGATGCAATGACATTTAGAACAGACACCAGGCTTCATGGATGTTAAGTCTAAAATAGGTTATGAGGATCAAGTTGCATGTCCCTGTGCAGCAGTGATTAATGTCAGCAGGCTGCTACAGATGCCGCAACAGTGAACGTCATACGTCCTCAAAATGATTTGTTCCCATGTTTCATGGCTTCAAATGAAAGCAGTTTGTTTTTGTCATTAATTAAATGCTTAAATAATGAAATTATAAAAACGTGTGCTTGGGTCTGTTACAGTGTCAGAGATAAGATGGTGGAGAGCTGCAGAGACCTGATGGATGCCTTCCAGGCCTGCATAAAAACGCTCTCTGATGGCGTTTAATACATTCTGCAACACACATTTGAAGTGTGAGTTTGCCTTTGTCACAACACACCATTAAAATGATTGTTTTTCATGTCTTTTTCAGAGATTTTAGCTTTTTCCCCATTGCTGAATGTTTTCTGCAAATTATAAATGCACAGCATCAAATTCAAAAGACTGCAAGTTTATGAAAGTTAAGCAGTTTATTTTCTTTTTTGATCATTTGCAGATCCCAATAATCCCTGGATCTTTTAACCTAATAAGAAAAATCTGTTGTTTTGGTTTCTTTTAAATAAACAAACAAACAAACAAACATGTTGTTTCACTTCTTTTCTCTTCTAGTTCTCATTCCTGATGCTTTACTCGTCACACATGACTGAAATCTGAAAACGGGCCTTCTGATCTTTTAGAAGATTGGTTTTATTTTTCAGTTTTGTGCAACAGTTGTAACAATTGTTTACACTGAATAAAACAATAAAACATACTCAACAAACTTCAGTGGTTTTCTCTGAGTGAAACAAAACAAAAGCTAAAGTTGCTGCAGGGCCAGAGCTGGAGCCTCTGCTCTGGCTGGGAGCCGTCACACTTAATGGAGTTAATCTCCTCTTAATCTTTGCTTTAGAACCTGAGTCGGGCAACTTTTCTTTTTCAGCCTAAGCTGCATCACTGATGTAGAGATTATGAGGAAGTTGGATCACAGAGAGATGACATGAAAAATCAGGGTTTCATTTGGAGAGTTGCATTTAAAGCAGTTTTTATTTTCTGTTTTAGGTGTTTTTTTTAACCCGGATAAATGTTATTTTGCTTTTTGTCTCCATCTTTAGTCTGACTTATTTTTTATTTTTTCTGTCACCATTATGGGGCGACAGTGACACAGGTGTTAAGTGCTCGCCCCGTAATCAGAAGGTTGCAGGTTAGAGCTCCGCTCAGTTTGTCGCAATTGTGTCCTTGGGCAACACACTTAACCCCCCTCGCCTGCTGGTGGTGGTCAGAGGGACCAGTGGCACCAGGGCTTGGCAGCCTCGCCTCCGTCAGTGTGCCCCAGAGCAGCTGCAATACATCGTAGCTCATCTCTACCAGGGTGTGAACGTGTGTGTGAATAGGTGGTCGTGTTGTAAAGCACCTTAGGGGATTCCAGGACTCTAGAAGGTGCTATGTCAAATACAGGCCATTTACCGTTTACTCAGCAGGACATCTCTCGCAGTGTTTGTGAAGAAGGCAGGTTATTTTCATGTCAGAAACAGATTAAAAAGTAGTTAAATAGGTGTTTCCTCCCTCCTTCTATTTCTGTTTTGTGATTTAGCACAAATCCCTTTTGGCTGTGTGAAAATCGACCAGCCAAGCGCAGATGAAGATGAGCTTTTGGGGAATTATCCACCCACATGCAACATTTCAATTTGAGATTTTTCAAAGCACTTCAGAGATGATACATTCAAATGTCCCACTTTGATTAAAACCAATACCTTTGTGTTACTTTTGTGACTCATCAGCATTTTCTTTGCTCACAGTCAAGCAGGTTTGTGCAGACACACTCCTATAATGCCAGAAGTATGAAACAATATATTTTAACTGATCTATTTATTGTCCAATATTACTAAAACACCCACATAATAATAATAGTAATAATAATAATAGTAATCAAGTTTATTGTCATTTATAACAGTAAAAGACAAAGGGAATTGGACCTTTTCACCTGCAGATCTTCCACTAGAGGGCAGTAGACTCGTGAAGTGCTGGGTGTGTTAGCTTTGTGATGAAAGTACTTATCCTGATACTCCATAAATGTTTTAAGGCCAGACGTGCTTTGATGAAAATTTTTGACAATAATTCACAATTTGAATTAATTAGTGCCTCGGTGCAATTGCCACATGTAAGCTGGAACACAGGCTCTATTGGTCAGTACTCTTCTTCGGGCTCTTGAAGAGTACAGATGCTTTTTTTATCCTCTCCCTCCCTCCTCATCCCAAGGCTCTTTGTCCTGTCTTGTGTGCACGGCGCTTTCTGCATTTTTTCTGGAAACTGGAAATGATTAAAAATGGATCTGGTCAGTTGGTCTCTCCACGCGATTGACAAAATGTTTTCAACGATGACAACGGGAGAAGGGGCTCCCGGATGCCCCTCTGGGACAGAGCCAGCTGGATACATCATGGACTCCTGGAAACAGTGGAACCTGATATGCCTCTCTCAACTGTCTGTAGAGGATTCTGAAGATGTCTGGATATTCGTGATTTTGGTGTCAGGATTCCTGCTGTTTGGCCTGAGCGGTTACCTGACTTACCGGAAAATTAACGAGCTTTCGAGGAATATTGGCTCCATCCCGGAGCTCAGGGATGGAATGCATCACGCTGTGAATGCACAAACTCATATAATTGTCGAGATGAGTCGTAAGCTTGGAAATTTGGCTGAGATTCAGGCTCTGGCACAGAAGGTGGATTTGATCAAGGAGCGAGTGGACAGATCAGCACGGACTGGGATTGATTAATTACGCCATTATTGGATTTAAAGGGGTTGACCAACAGAACACTAAGGCAGAGAGGAAATTATCTCTGTCTGTCCCCAAAACAATTCTTAACTGAATCTGGTGCCCTTGAGCCTGTGAGGCTGAAGTGATAACTCCCCCCTCAGAAGAAATGTGGAATGCTGCAGTCGCTATGGAAACCCTTTCTCCCTATCCCAGTCTGGGCGGGGCTGTGACCGGTGAAGGCCATGGAACCGTATCTAGGAGTCAATGTGCTCTCTAACCCATTATCTCCCTCCCCTGTCCAAACAGAGGTGATGAGTGCTGCCCCACGTGGCTGCAAGCACTGAAGTGAGGAGAGTCCCAACCCTACTTCCCCACCTAGTGGACACTTATGTTGTGTAATGTCTGAAGTCTGTGTGCATATCTGTTTGAGGTGTTTTTTGCATAGCAAAGCTGCCCTCTCTGTAGAGGGTAACTCTGAAGTGCTCCCCCCCCCCCCCCCCCCCGACTCTATCCTCATATAAACCCCCTTGATCTATTACCGTAGCGCAACTCGGGTTGCAAATGACCACAGTCACCAATTCTTGTCATGTGTTATATGAATGTATGTCTGATCTCAGAATTGTGTGTACTGAAACTTTAATTTCCCTCTGGAATTAATAAAGAATCTTTGATTTGAAGTGAATTGAATTGAATTTACCAAAGGCAATAAAACATATAGTCTACTTTTTTTTTGCATTTTTGTTACAGTTTTTATCCATTTTGAATCTCTGCAACTATGAAAAATGAAAAACCTTAAAATGTCAATTGTGAATTAAACTTTGCAGTTTTGCAGGAATAATGTCTGGTGGAGGTAGCATATGTTGCACAAAGTACTCAGGATGTACAAGAAACTGCTTCCTAGATGCTAGAAATTTGGCAAAATAAGGGAAAAAAATCCCTTTAGGAGGTTTGCAGCTCAAACAGACTGAACAAAAGAAAAAAATCTGCTTTAATTGAAACTAAATAAATCTTATAAAAATTAAAAAGGCACTCATTTTACATTTAGAGCCCCCTTTTGCTTATACGTCATAACTTTTTAGTCTGCACTCCTCCTATCTGCCTTTTATTATATTTGCTGTGGTTACCATCAGGGGCCGATATTTGTGTGGCCCTAAGCAGGATTCCTTTGTGAACCTCCCATACCAACCAGTCAACACCATATAATTCATATTTCTTAGGCTTGACTGTCATTAGCTTGAATCACACTGTTCTGAATGTTCATTCTGTGTATTGATTCATAATTATCTTCTTTTTTCTTATTTAACACAGTGCATTAATTAGATGTTTTTTTAATCGTTGGCTGACATGTTTTGGCCAGAACTTCCACCTTCGTCAGAGCCGCCAGCTGTTCATAGCGTCACTTCCGTTTATGTGCGAGCAGCAGAGGACGATGTCGCCATCTGCTGCCTGCATCCTTCATGCTGATAACGCAGCCCCATCTGTGATCCGACGTGTAAACACCGTCGTCCCTGTTCAATGAAAAAAATCTGCGGTAACAGACCATTGCACAATCACAAAATGGATTAGGACAGCACACGTATCATGAATACAGAACAACAAAAATACAGAAGATGGATTGAGGAAGCGATCGAGATAAGGAGACGCAGACACAAGAACAGAGACGACAGTGTTTACACGTCGATGACACATGGGACTGTGTTATCAGCATGAAGAATGCCAGCAGCAGAGGGCGACATCGTCCTCTGCTGCTCACACATAAACGGAATTGATGTAATGTACAGCTGGCGGGTCTGACGAAGGCAGAAGTTCCGGCGAAACATGTCAGCCAAAGGTAAAAAACCCATCAAATTACTGCACTGTGTTAAATAAATAAAAAGATGATGGTAATTGAATCACACTGGTTTTATAATGTTTACCTTACATTAGTATCAAACAACAAAATTACCTAACCAATTTGCATTTTAAAACACAGAGTGTAATTTAAGGGTGGTATATTAATTCAACTATTTGAAAGTTATTTCCAAAGAAAGAAAAACACTGAACTTTCTGTAAACAATTTAAGTCTTTTGTTCTTAAAATTTGGAACAGATAAATGAAATGCAAAATCACAAAAAATGTCAAATCAAATAACACTATAGAAAATATTGCATTGTTAATGTTCCACCTGATATAATTGTGTTTGTATAATTGAAAGTTATTTCAAAAAATTCACATTATCTTGGTGCTCTTCGGGGCCCCCTGGTGGTGTGGGGCCCCAAAAAGCCTTGGACCGTTCTGGTTACCATGGTGATCTCAGTGAGTCACCATTAATAGCTTCAACATTTCTTTTCATCTTTGCCTACACAGATTCATCTTATTACAGGAGGATGAAGTAGTCGCTGCATCTGCTGCATCTTTCGAGATTCCTTAGGATTTTTTTAAAGTAGGAAAATTAGCCATCCTGAAAAATAGACCAACATTTCTACGACATTATTACATTGATTGGGCTTTTCGCAGTAAATACCGTATTTTGACTTGAAGCGTTTGTTGAGTCTAAGCTGTGAAATTCATCTTTATTTGTGTTAAGTCCCCGCAGACCCACCCGGTTATTCTGAAAGCACAGCTTCCACCAGCACCGTCCCATCTGCAGCTTATTCTTTCTTTCTTTCTTTTTTTAAACAAACGTGTTTCATCAAATCAGAGAGGGAGGTGTACGCTGCGGCCCACACGCGTGTTTAGAGAGAAGAGGAGGAGGCAGGAGCAGGGAGGATGGAGAGGGGAGTGAGACCCGGATGCTGATGCGAGTGGGGCGAAGGAAGGAAGAGGAGAGAGATAAAATATCGATTTACGGCAAGAAAACGGAGTATCATCCAAGCGGGCCCTCTTTTTTCTGCCCTGCCTGAACTGTAATCAGAAGTGAGGAGGAGGAGGACGGGGCGGCTGGTTTGTGCTGTTTCACCTGTGCGTCCGCCGATGACAGAGCAGGGACACGCGAAGGGAGAGAGGAAGAAGATGCTGTGATCCGCTACTTGCAGTGATGTAGCGAGGCAGAGACTGGCAGAGGCAGGGAGGGGGTGGACTAGACGCTAAAGGATGCTTGTTTGGCGAGGAATACGCGTTGCAGCTCGTGATAGCGTGAGAATGTGGCGGCCGTTTGATAAAAGTGACCATTTAACGACGCCCGCAAACTTGAAGCAATTCTTTTGACAGGCGCGAGACAACGGCCGTTGGTCGAAGCTTTGAAGCTAAAGGCTAGCCTCGCTGCTGTGGGGGAGAGCGGCGGCGAGGCTAAAATAACATGTTCCACCTATAAAATAGGCCCGACGCAGAAAACAACCTCCATTTATTCTCCAGGGCAAACGCATTGTGGGACCTTTAGTTAGTGAACGCTAACAGCAGCTAGCATCGCAGCCGGACTCAGAAGCTGCCTTTTTAATAGCTGTGTGTTTTTACAGTTATCGTCACAATTAGCTCGTGTATATAAGAGAAACTTGGTAGTTTTGCCTTCAGAACATTGTCAGCGTTTAAACGTAACGCAGGGGCAGGTAATTACTTCAGAACACAGCTGGAGGACATCCTGTCATCAGCATTAGCTGTTTAGTTAAGTATTAATGCCATGTTAGCTCAGAAATTTAGCTCAGATTAGATAAACAACCCTAACTCCACCATTTTGTCATGTTACATGTTAGCAGCCTTACATTAGCAGCGTTTTACCTGAAATAAAAGAAGTCCCCTTAAAGTTTAGCATCCTTTATCACAGTGATCACAATAATCTCAGTGCAGTATTAGTTACTATAGTGTATTCAGTAGGAGCAGTATGAGTAAGGAACTGTCTCTGAGTCAGTCTGCTCAATATGTTGGGCCCTATCGACTGGAAAAGACTCTGGGGAAGGGACAAACAGGTGAGGTTTTAATCAACAAATACAGAAAGTTGCTGTCCTTCCTTTAAATAGATACAAATCTAATCACACATGCTTGATTTTTGGTTATTTTCTTCTGTCTTTGTCTTTCAGGACTGGTCAAACTCGGGGTCCATTGCATTACGGGTCAGAAGGTAGCGATCAAAATAGTCAACAGAGAGAAGCTGTCTGAGTCAGTCCTGATGAAGGTACAGTGTGACGTCTGTGAGGTGTTTGTTCACCGTGATGACTCCAGAGCTAATTTTACATGCAGCCGGCCGGCTGCGTTCTTCTGTAAACAAACTGTTGCCTCTTTTCCAGATCTGTCAGCTCTTAACATCAGTTCTGATGCTTCGCAAATGTCACTGACTGGCTTGTGTGTGCTGCTGCTTTAACACCTTTGTTACTATTGTCTTTCTACTCTTCTTTACTAGGTTGAGAGGGAGATTGCCATTCTGAAACTCATTGAGCATCCGCATGTGTTGAAGCTGCATGATGTTTATGAGAATAACAAATATCTGTGAGTTCCTTCAGCCTTCAGAGGAGCCTTTTGCTCCTGCATGCTTTTAGCAGAATCTGTGGACCTTGATGGATAAAAATACCGTTTTGAGAGCACACTTCCTGTCTTTACTATAATCCTTATTTTAATGTTGATGCTGTCAAAACTAATTGGCCTGAAAGAGAGGATAGTCCATGTTGGGGTTCAGAAATGACACATAAAACATGTTTAGAGGTGTCTAATAAATCCTTTAAATCAAGACTTAAGTCAAGATTTATCTACTAAAATGATTCAGATAATGTAGAAAATGGAAAACTGGGAAGTAAAGATCTAGAGAAACTATTTAGAAGAGTCCGAAAAGGACATAAAAATGTTTGGATTGTTTTTATTCATTTTATTTTATTTATTTATTGACATATGAGGATAAATCCACTTGAGATGAGTCATCTCGTTTTTGAGCGGGTCCCACATTACCACAAGTAAACAGCAAGCTGGCAGAGTCAGTAAGCAAAAGGGACAAATCTAAATCATTGATAGAAACTCAGGAGTAACAAACAACCTAAAAAAAAGTGTCGAAAGTATTGCTGAAATTTAAACCAACGTGCGTTTAATTGCAGTAGTTGCTACTGAGGTCAGCAACAATTATTGAGGTCATTTTATTCAACCAGAAAACAAAAATATCTATTATGATGTTATGAGTGTGCGAGGCTAGGTTTTATTTTTGTGGTCTGATCATCCAAAACTTGTGTCAGTGCCCCACTGTGGGTTGGGAAAGCCTGAGTTAGATTTTTACCAGATAAGATATTTTTATATTGTCACTGAGATTGATGAAAAATGTAATCATAAGCCAAGCCAACTTTTTTTATATAGCACCTTACAACAGTATAGAACCGACCAAAGTGCTTCACAGAATTAAAATACATCAAAACAATACGCAATGTAAAAGTACATGAAAACTAAAACTTAGAAACTGGAACTAAAAGACTCATGCTGAGTCAAAAGCCAAAGTGTAATAACTCGGTTATTATGCATAAGCATAATAATCACCATAAATGGATATAAGTAGTAAAATATGTTTGTGATTTAATATGATTATTATTTAGCCTACCTGCAACATTTGTGTAGCTCAGCCAGCGAGTGGTGTAGGGGTTGGTTTATTTTGTGGGTCAGGAGGTGAAAAGTAGGTTTTAGAGTTGGTTGTGCTCGCTTGCCCACAGGTACCTGGTGTTGGAGCATGTGTCAGGGGGCGAGCTCTTTGACTATCTGGTGAAGAAGGGCCGGTTAACTCCCAAAGAGGCCAGGAAGTTCTTCCGGCAGATCATCTCTGCTCTGGATTTCTGCCACAGTCATTCCATCTGGTTGGTTCTCTTGGGGGGGGGGGGCTTGGCCATATGTAGTCAGATGAATTGGTCTCCTCTCGTAAAATGTTAATCTAACAATCCGTGGTTAAAATGGACGTGATTTTGTTGCTTTTAGACTTGGTTTTATTGAAATAAAAGTGCATGAATGTGTTTGTGTTCAGTCACAGAGACCTGAAGCCGGAGAACTTGCTGCTGGATGAGAAGAACAACATTCGTATTGCCGACTTTGGTATGGCCTCCCTACAGGTGGGGGACAGTCTGTTAGAGACCAGCTGTGGGTAAGATCAAGCACGCAATCACAAATAGTGTGTTCCTGTTTAAAAATAGGATTTTTCATTACATGTTTAGTAACTTTCAGTGGAAATCAGTTCTTTTTATGTCACACTTCCTGCAGAAGTGGATCTTCCTGTTTGTCACGGAGACTAAAAACACTTTTATTTTAGTTTTAAACTTAACGCTGCCTCTGCCTCAACCTTCATAGTCATAGGCTTATTATTGTTGCGTTGCCTTTGATTTCAGATCACCACACTATGCCTGTCCTGAAGTTATACGGGTGAGTCAAACGGATCTTACCTCTAATAAAAATGAGTGAATGATTTGCATTAATTATTAATTCAGAAGCAAATACGTAGCTGCTGGAGCTGAGCACCGATCGACGACAGCAATGATGTTAAAATCAATAAAGACGAATGTAAAAACGCTCAAACGGGTATTAAGTCTGTAACTTGTGTTGTTTTTATGATCTCCAGTCACAGTGAACCTTAATCGCACCCAGCACTCAGAAGATTATCCAGTCCTATTAATGAAATATTGACTGAGAAAGACTAAGTGCAGGGATTAGAATGGATTACAGCATTTCTTTTGACGGAAATATAGTCGGGTTTAATCTTGTGTAACCCCTTAAATCTGTGTAAAGGAGCTCTGTGAGTGTCAGCCATTATTTAGAGACTCTTTTGTTTTTTTCTCCGTTGTCAGGGGGAGAAGTACGACGGGCGGAGAGCGGATGTGTGGAGCTGTGGGGTCATCCTTTTTGCTCTGCTGGTGGTCAGTTTTTTTACTTGTGCTTTTCATTTGAGCTCTTTAGCCCACTTATGTTTATATGTCCTTCCCCTTTCCCCCCACAGGGTGCCCTGCCTTTTGACCATGACAACTTACGCCAGCTCCTGGAAAAGGTGAAGAGCGGGGTGTTCCACATGCCCCACTTCATCCCCCCAGACTGCCAATCACTGCTCAAAGGCATGATTGAGGTCAACCCTGAGAAGAGGCTGACGGTACGTGACTAATCAGATTATTGTTATTATTAAAGACCAAGTTCACAGAGAAGTTGCTTTTTACGTTTTGATTTTGCTATACGATCGCTCACACTGAGATTCACATGCAGGCTGAACATGAAAATAGTCTTCTACCCAATTTCCTGCATTAGCCACCAATGGTAGATAGATGGGGAAAGCCACTCAGATCTATGTCACACTCAAACACTCAGCCATCTTGGCTCATGGTGTGGAATGATGTTGTTGGTTTAGCATCCAGGAGAGCTAGTAGAAGCTTACTGTTAGCATTAGCAACTCAACATGGCAGAACTTCTTCAGGCAGTGGAAGAGTCTAGTTGCTGTTAGCCAATCTGAGATGGGATATCTGAAAATCAGGAAATAATAAGACTAAACCCTGCAGTTTTCTGCTCCCGTCTCCTCTGATTTGAGTCTTGTGCCTGAAACAAGAGCGCCACAGTTCTTTTTTCTTCAGAGATCGACTCACAAGTCATTCATTTATCCTAGAGAACACTGCTTCATTTCACCTGGATGCTGTTTAGTCTTTTTATCTCCCACTGCTGAAGTATCCTGTCTTTATCTGTGTCTCTGTGTTTGCTCACCCTGAATTCTAAATAAAGGCAGAGTTGCATTTTCACAATTGTATTTTAGACACTTACAGGACTCGGGTTTCACATTTAAATCTAGATCGATAATCTTTAAAAAGCTTTTTTTCTTTTACATTCTAACGAGTAATAAAATACTTAAATAATTTGTCATCCTGGCACTTAATATGTAGTGTTGATGAAATGTGCAGAAGTAAAAAAAAAGAAAGAAAATAAAAAGAGTGAGTATGAAGTGTTTGCACATCACAGCTCTGTGGCCATCTGGCTGTGAACAGACTAGAAACTAATGGCCCCATCTGCCCTGTCACCTCTTACAGCTAGAGGCCATCCAGAAACACTCCTGGTATCAGTGAGTATACATTCTTGTTTTTTGTACATTTCTTCACTGCTGTGAAGTGATGCTGCACCATATTTATCTCCACACATGACTCTCTCTCTCTCTGTGTGTGTGTGTGTGTGTGTGTGTGTGTGGCTTAAAGGGGGGGTCGTAACGAGCCGTGTCCCGAGCAGCCTCCTCCCAGGCGAGTGTGTGTGAGACGAATCTCGTCCCTGACAGAGCTGGACCCAGATGTGTTGGACAGCATGCACTCACTGGGGTGTTTCCGAGACCGAGTCAAGCTCACGCGGGATTTACAGTGTGAAGAGTAAGATATCCGAACATGGCGATTAAGTTTAATTATGTACTCTAGAGTCAAGACACACCTGGAGCACAGCACTTCATTAATAAAAGGAAACTCTGTGGACATGTTTTTTTTTTTCAAACATTTGGAGGACCCAGCTGCCAAATAAAAACTAGAATAATTATAACAAAATGTGGTAATTACCATGGACTTTACTGCTCTTCCACCTGTTCTCTCTTTGTAGTGGATTTAAAGGGATACTTTCCAACTTTTTCATTTATTTAGATAATTTTCTTGAGCCAGTGTGTGCTAAAACAGTCCTTTACAGGGTTCATGAAATGCCACCCAGCCCCTATCTCCCCCGTGGCCAGATTATTCCACTTGCAACTTCAGACTGGCAGGCCACTCTGTTGGGACTTAGGAAAAAAAATTGAGCTCACATACGTGGCGCTGCAATCTGCTTCCAGCATATTTCCTGCATGTTTTAGATCATGAACACAGCTGATTTGTGTCATTTAACGATGAATCACTCCTGTAGACACTAATGAAGGCTGGGAGACATTTAAGCTTTTTGATTAAGGTGTTAAGAAGAGGAACGCACAGTGAGGAGATAGGTATTTATTTTGGTTCTACAGACGGCCACTAGGGGGTGCTAAAAGCAAGCCAAAACTTCCTGGTTCCCATCGAACTGGCCCTGATCATCGTGGTTCTTCCTCTGTACATCAACTTGATTCTTTTTTTAATGAAAGCATCTAAATATCTGCCAAATCTTAAATGTTATTATGCGGCTGCATGTTTAGCAAAACAGAAGAAGTTTAGTCACTTTTATTTTAAATAGAAACTGCGCTGAGAATGACTTCCTTTTCCATTTGATTTGTACTAAAAATGTTTATTTCTGTAAAACAGGCTTTTATTAGCTTTTTTTTTATTTTTCAGAGAAAACCAGGAGAAGATGATCTATTACCTACTGCTGGACAGGAAGGAGCGCTACCCCAGTTATGAAGATGAGGATTTGCCTCAACGCAATGATGTGGGTGAGTCATAAGGAGGCAGGAGGGATCCATTCATGGAAAAGAAACTTTTTCCAGCTTTTGCCTGTAGGAAGTAATTAAAGCACTTCTTTGAGTCTGGAAAGTGAGATAAAAGTTGTTTTCTTAGACGACAGAAGAGGGAGAGGGCAGCCATGTTTGTCACGGTCACAGGTGGTAGTGAGTGAAAGGCCTGAGGGAAACTACCATCTAAGGAGCAATGGGGTTCAAATCTTTCTGGTGCTCCTCTTTAGCGGACCCTCCTAGAAAGCGTGTTGACTCTCCGATGCTGACGCGTCATGGCCGCTGTCGCCCTGAGAGGAAAAGTCTGGAGGTACTGAGCGTCACCGAGCAGGGATCTCCCACGCCGCCTCGCAGGGCCCTGGACACAGCTGCACACAGCCAGAGGTACCGTGTTGCATTCCTCTTCCTATACAGGACGAACTCTGTGATCTCTGCCAGGAGGACAAGAATTCTGTTGGTAACGGTTTCCATGGTAATGATTAATGCTTGTATCTTTGATCAGGTCTCGCTCAGTCAGCGGAGCGTCCAGCGGCCTCTCCTCCAGTCCTCTCAGCAGCCCCAGGGTGAGCACACACCTTTAATCATAAAACACACTAAAGTAGTTTCCAGCTGCTGGACTTGGATCTTGAAATGTTGACGTTAACCAGGTTTTATTTTCTGTCCACACGTTCTATATCATTTTCCTGTGTTTATATTTTGTAGCAGAAAACTTCTACATCAGATCCTTTTATGTGAACATATTTTTATATTTATCAAATCTCTGCCTGTGGACCTCTGCTGTGAAAATGTTTTAAATGATCTGTAAATTGTCCATGCATGAGCGTCTCAAGCCATCATGACCCTAGCTCTAAATTCTCACCCACTGTTTTTCTGTTTTTAACCACTTCTGTCCTCCTTGTGCATCATGTACTAGTCCCACAGAGAAAACAACAGAACTATTCAGTTTGAGTCAGTCGTCGTCACTGCCACTGTTGCTGTCTTTGCATCCTTTAACCCCGTCACCACCGCTGCTAGGAGCACGTCTAAAAGACCAACAGCCAAAACGAAGCTTTCATAAACAATACATGTACAACTGCATCTTCACTGTTCAAAAAATGCACTCTTCTGTCATTAAGCATGGTATTCATTTCCATCCTTTCTTCATTTCCATCCCTTCTCTTTCTTGTTTTCCATGTCTCTCACCCCCCACTCCTCCAAAACCCACTCCTCCAAACCCCACTCCCCCAGTCCTATCAGAGCCCCGTCTTCACGTTCAGCCAATCAGACGTCACCTGTGCCACCGCCTCCCCCCTCACAAAGGAGACCAAAGTGGGGAGCACCACCACTCCTCGCACAGCGCGGTCTCAAGACAAGCCCAAAGCGCCGGCCAACCCAAAGACCCAGGCCCTGCCCACCAAAGGACCCACCGAGCGACCCCACCTGCAGCCCATCAAATCCCTGCCTCTGCACAACCCTTCCTCCCACTCCCCCTCTCCCTCCCCTCTCCTGTCACCCATCCCTCGCTTCTTCTTCCCTTCGTCGTCTGTCCTGAAGTCTGTGACTAAGAGCTTCTACCCAAACTCTGTGCCACAGGTCACCCCTCAGGGCTCTCCGTTGCCCACACCCTTGGGCACCCCTGTCCACCACCCTCACCACCCCTCCTCTACCCCGCCTTCCTCTTCCTCATCCTCGTCCTCTTCGCGGGCGGAGGGAGGGGGAGGGGTGGGCTCGCTGTCGCTGACCCCGCCCTCCAGCCCCGGAGGGGGCAGTGGCATGGGGGCCAGCAGCCCCGCCCACTGGAGAACTCGGCTCAATTCTTTCAAGAACAACCTGCTGGGCTCGCCCCGGTTCCATCGGCGTAAGCTACAAGGTGGGTGTAGGTGTGTGTGTGTGTGTGTGTGTGTGTGTGTGTGTGTGTGTGTGTGTGTGTGTGTGTGTGTGTGTCTTCCAGCAATACAGAGCCAGACAAACTTAATCATGGTTTTCCTCTCCCAGTTCCAACATCAGAGGACATGTCCAGTCTAACACCAGAGTCCAGCCCTGAGTAAGTCACAGTCCTGGAGGTTTACTGTGGCTGAGGTGTCCTCCCCAAATGTCCCCTAACCTCTTTGTTTCTTTGATCTGCCTTCAAGGCTGGCTAAGAAGTCCTGGTTTGGGAATTTCATCGGTTTGGAGAAAGAGGAGCAGATCTTCGTGGTGATCAGAGACAAACCTCTGAGTTCAGTCAAAGCTGACATCGTCCACGCTTTCTTGTCAGTGAGTATCCCATGTGGCCTGTCTCACACGCTGCTCCCTGTCCAGTTTCTGTTTGCATAAGGCCCGTGGGAAAAGATTTCACGTGCACTCTCATGCTGAGCACCTCATAACTTTCATTATTTCAGTTCTTTCTGTATGTATTCCTTTTTTTTAATCTTACTCACTTGTGGCACCTGGATGGGTCACTTTGCTTTCACCAACAGCTCACTCTTTCTCTCTCCTGTCCTCACCCTCACCCTTTGTCTCCCTATGCTCACGTTGGCCCCCGTACCTCTCCCGCCTCGTAAGTCTGTCGGTCTCTCTGCTTCTTCTCTGTCTCCCCACCACGCAGATCCCATCTCTCAGCCACAGCGTCCTCTCTCAGACAAGCTTCCGGGCCGAGTACAAGTCCTCCGGCGGTCCCTCTGTCTTCCAGAAACCCGTCAAGTTCCAGGTGGACATCGCCTTCTCGGAGGGCGAGAGGGAACGGGACAGGGAGAGGACAGAGAGGGAGGGCAGGAGGGAGACGGGAATCTACAGCGTGACGTTCACGCTCATTTCAGGCAAGTGTGGCAGGCTTTGGAATGAAAATGAAAGAGTTTATTTAAGATTGTTGTGGGTGTCTTATGACAGCTGGGTTGGGTTGTTTTGGTCATGGATGCTGGAGACTAGATAGACCAATATGCCTTTTTCTATTACTGATACCGGTGCCTGATGGCAAATATGTGCTTCTGGGTTTTTGGGATGATTATCATGGCTGATATCTTTCCGCCTTAGCTGCAGGTTAAAATGTCACTAGGATCTAGGGCTGGATCATACTGTCATACATACAATAATAATACTACCGGTAATTCTTCTCTGGTTCAAAAAACATATCATGACGTGTGCTAATTAGCTTTAACACATCATTACGCTCACATGGGTAGCACAGAAGGCACACAGGACTGGAATCTCAGAGTGCCCCTCAAATGAGAAGAAAAAGAAGAGGAAATGATGTTTTATAAGGTAGTACAGGATCCCAGGAAAGGCAGAATTGGTAGAAACAGCAGCATGAAAAGAAGGTAGTCGGGAAGACTCAACCAAAGGTCACACCAAAGCCTGAACAGGTGAGTTCTCAGCTGCTTCTTAAAGGAGACCACTGAGTCCACTGATCTCAGGCTCAGGAGGAGAGAGTTCCAGAGTCTGGGGGCCACAGCAGCAAATGATCTGTCACCTTTGGTCTTTAGCCTGGTGTGCTGCACAACCAGTAGGCTTTGGTCTCTGGACCTCAAGGACCTGCTGGGGTGTAGGGACTAAGAAGATCACCAATGTAAGATGGTGCTTGTCCATGTAAGGCCCTAAAGACCAGGGGTCTCATTTATCAAACATTGCGTAGAATCCTTACTAAAACCGTACTTAAGCTCAGCAAAAAATGTACTTACGCCAAGTAGGTTTGTGATCTATCAAACATGGAGTACGCACAGCTGCACGCAATCTCCGCTTCATAAATCAGAAACTATCTAGAATGTTTCTCAGCTGCATTTTAGTCACATCCCGCCTTCACCACGCCCACTTTCTGCCATAAATTGTCAATGCAAAGTGCCTTGTGGATCTCATGCATATACATAAGCTGGCTGTTGCCATGACATGGCGACCGTAGATTATGGCAGATCAAGAAAGCCCAATTTCACAGAAGCAGAAGTTGAGGTACCTGTGGGTGAGGTGGAGAAATGAAAGGAAGTACTTTTGCAAAACAAATACAGTAAGAGAAAATCCACAGAGTAGCACAGCATTGCTGAAGCTGTCAATAATGTGAATTCTTCAGAGAGATCTGTGGCGGATATTAAAAAATGATCCATTCGGGATTTGATCCCCAGACTCCCGGGTGAAAGTCACACACGCTAACCAGTCACCCAAACGGAGATTTCCCCTGTACAAGTAGTCAGGGCACATGATCAATCGGGTCACAGTGACAGGACACACACACACTGTCACGGACGCATGACATTCTGTCTCAACCTGTCCCCCTGCTGATTTTCTGCATTCCGTATTCTGTGCTTCAGGCTGTGTATGTGCATGTGTGTGTGTGTGCGCACACGTGTGTGCGTGAATGTGTGAGTGTGTGGAGGGTCTTGTTCTGTGTGAAAACGAAGCAGTACAAGTGATAATGCTGCAGGATTTCATAGTTTTATCCTTCTCAGCAGCAGCACTGCAGGTGCTCTCCATGTCCAACATGTGCGTAAGCCAGGTCCTTAGTCTACTGCGCACATTTATCCGTTAAGTTTTCTTTCATAAACCCCAAAGTTTGCGTGGAAAGTTGCTTATGCAGTTTTCCGACCCCGTTTTGTGTGTAAGCAAGCTTGATAAATGAGGCCTCTGGTGTTGAGTGACCTCAGAGGAGTTGGATAAACCCTTCCATTGTTTCAGCGTTCTTGTTGGGATCGTGCTTCATAAACCTGAGCCTGATGCGACATCTAAAGAGAAAACCCCCATGGTTACACCAGTTTTATTAGATTTTTGTCCAAGCCAGAAAATAAAGTATCTCAGATTTTTCTTTCAGGATTTGTGATTCTGAAAGGTTTGAAAAGGAGTTTAAACTCCAGATGCCTTACCTGCACTTACCTGCACTTGTGTACGATGTGCGCCCGCAGGCCCGAGTCGCAGGTTCAGACGAGTGGTGGAAACAATTCAAGCTCAGCTTCTCAGCTCCCATGATCAGCCGCTGGTGCAAGCCCTATGTGGTGAGACTGCTTACACACACCTATCTGCTTATTGATGGAGTAAAGATAAACACTATTCAATCGTGGGCGATTGATTTATTATTTTTGTTTTATTTTTTATTTTTTTACTTATTGATTTCTATCAAAGTTTATTCATTTATAATATTTGCTTTATAAGGTAAAGAAACTAAACCATTTGTGTTGGATTGGGACAGTTTCTGATGATTTGATTTCCTGTCCCCCCGCTGATATTCTGCATTCCGTATTCTGCGCTTCAGGCCGATGATTTGATTTCATTTTTAGATGTGTCTTTCAACAGATGACTCTAGAAAGACACAAACTTCATTACATGAATTGAGGAAGAAAATATTTGCAACAGTATATTAATTTCTGTCTTCACTCGTAGCTTTTAGAAAGTTAGACGTGTGTCGTGGCTGAAGTCACCAGGGATCTGTCTCATTGTCATGAGTTGTGTTTGAACGTTGGCAGCAACAAAGCCGAGGACATCAGACACGGCTTTTGGCAGCAGCTTTAGCTGACTCGTACATTGTCCAGCTACAAAAATAAAACTTGTTAAAGCTTTTGGTAACCTGACAGCTAACTGTTTAATTCCTGCTGTTCAGCAATGCTCCTTCACCGTAAGATTTATTGAGATGCAGGGTCCTCTCCTTCGTTACCAAGCCCACACCTTACTGTTCTGCTGGAGCATGATCTGGCTCGCAGTGATGGATGGGAGGAAGTTCACTTTCAAATGAACAACATGCATGTTTCCTAGAAGCAGGAGGTGTAAACTTAGAATAGGAGGACCCAAATCATTAGCAGTTATTGAAATAATAGTGTTAGATGGACATTAGAAGTAGCAGAAAGTGCCTGCTGATGGACGACCTGCCTTCCCTTTATTAAGCATGTAATAATTTGGCTGTTTGTATTTTTACCTAACAGATGCTTAAAAGTGGCAGGAGCCCTAGTAGAGATCAGTCAAACAGAAAAATGATCAGGATTTCATTTAGAAATGTAAGTTTTGTAAAATAATTCCAGCATACCAAGATAAACATGGCAGCTTTGCAGCCACTAGTGCAGCTTCTTCATGGCCCCGACCCAAGAGTGTAACACGCATACACATGAAGTGACTTTCCTGTTCTCGTCTTTTGATCCCTTTCCAGATGAGAAGAACGGCCGGCCCCACGGGACCCCCACCCGCCAAAACTCGAGGCGCTCTGAGGGTGGGGGCGACAGGTGCGAGTGGGGCGACCGAGCAGATGGTGGAGGCATAGGAGGCAGCGGAGGAGTCCTGCAACGCAGAGGCTCGGCGAAAGAGAGAACCCGCCTGCTCTCTTCTAACGGAACCCAATCCCAACCATAGGATAGCAGACGAGAACACGCTGCAGGATGCTTGGGTGACACCCTGAACAGAGACAGAACAACTCCATCTACAAGTATCCCTGGAAGGCATGAGACACTCCCACTCTTCCTTGACTTTGTTATTAAAAGTGATTGACCCCAACAAGGATTTTTTTCCCCTGTCTTGCTTTTTTTTGCCAACTTTACATCATCTGGACCTTTCCGATCACCAGGATTCCTACTCTCACACGAGTAAGAAATGCTGAGGAACCACCCTTTAATTTGAGGAAATACTATATGAACGAGCAGTTCAGTATCCATCCATCCGTTGACATAGCGTCACAGGTCCAGCTAGGAATTTTAAAGTACTGACGTGCATGCCAGTTAGCAAACCAGCCTGCTAAAAGATGCTGACAAGACCAGCTAGGCTCTTTCATCTCCTCGTATTCCAGTTCCGGACACCAAAAAACAAGCAGCCGTCTTGTGATGGTTTTCAAAGTTACGTTTTAGTCATTGCGCTCGTATCTCTATAAAGCAATGTGAAAGAAGTGTAAATGCATCTCAGCAGAAGAACTCTCAAATAAATTGGACTTCTAAAGAATTAGCAAGTGAGTAGCGGTGAGTTGAACAAAAAGGACCATTTTTTTTCCCATGCTGGAATTCCAGCAGTGGTTTCTCTACTGAAGGAAACCAATAAGTAAGCTAGGTAAATGAATGTGAAAATAATTTTTTATTTAGCTTTTGTTTTTGTTCTGTTTACATGTTTCTTTTACAGAATGTTAGTAGCACAGTGGTATCGGTAAAGACAGCGACTGAAACAGTGCGTGTTGTTTGAACGCTGCTCACTGGCAGACATTTGGGTTCTTTTCTATTTCCGTTTTAATCAGAGACAATTCAAAACGATGCAGTGGGGACTTTGCGTCGGATCCTCATTGCTCTGAAGACGTGTTTTGGTTTGAATAGAAACATGAACATTACTCTATGGCAGAAAAAAAAACCACTGCGTGAATATTCCCATGAGCCTCATCTGAGCTGTTTGTGTCCAGACTGATTGAGACGGGCATTTCTGACCTGTGGGTCAAACAGAATCCATCTCTCTTTGTCAAGCTCGTCTCCTGTTGTCATAGTATTCACGTGCTGACTTGAAAGAAAACACACACACACACAAAGGGGAAAGTCATCAGTGGACATTTTTACAATGCTGGACTTGTTGAACAAGTTTTCAAAAAAGAAGAAAAATTGGGGAATCAAGTGTGTCCAAATCCTGTATGGTCCTCATTTCAGAGTTCCCCGATGAGCCAAGTAGTCCCATCACTTCACCCTCTCCGCGCTCATTGCTGAGTGTCACACCATTGTGGAAGCTGACGTAGCAGCTCGGACATCTGCGGACATTACTCCACCTCTCCATCAGACCAGTCAGTGTTCTTCACCAGTCTTCCATACAGCACAATATGCAACTAACGTGCAGGATGTTCTCAGAGACGCACAGTGCTACCGGTCTGCTTATGTTGTTTGTGTTTCTGCCATATATGACATCGTTTTATTTATGTAATTATTTATTTATTTATGTATTTATTTATTTAAAAGCACTTTTTATGATATGATATTGGTTTACAAAATAGACATTAAGCTAACAAAAACTTACCATTTACAGATCCGGAAATTGTTTTGGAGTTACTTTACTGATTGTTTCCCTCTGATGTCATAACCAGATGGTCTCATCTTCTGTCTGTAGGGACTATTGTGTGTATCTGGTTATTACAGCCTGAGCGTTAACGTATCAGAGCTGGTACATTGTGAGACGACTCTTTGTGAATTAGCCCGAACCTAACTATCAAAGCCAAATCCTAACAGGCACTTCTTTTCTCCCACAACGCGCTGAGTGCTTGCTAACTCGCTTTGTCTTTTGCTTTTATGCATTGTCACTTTAAACTGTTTGTCTGCCTCTTCACCTCCGTTGTGTAGCCATCATCACAGGAAAATATGTACAAAGTTGTTAGCCTCACTGTCTGCACACACACACACACACACACACACACACACACACACACACACACACACACACACACACACACACACACACACACACACACACACACACAGCATCTGTCTCATCTTTCACGTCACCTTCACATTCATGGATCCAACTCTGGCTAAGATTGTAAACTATTCTCCATTCTTAAGGGTCAGTAGAATAAGATGTTTTAAAAAAATGAAATGTCTGTATCATAATTTAAATATAAAAAGTGCACTATTATAACTATTGCCTGTGATAAAAGAACAATTATGATTGAATCGATGGTCAAAATAAAGAGAGATTCACATTATTGTTATGGTGACAATAATAAACCCTAAATTCATATGTGTGTCTGTTTAACTTCTGAGAAAGACATGCACAGTTCTGCCCTGATTGCTTGTTTTAAAATCAATATTGTACTATCAAACAAGATGAGAGGCTATGTGGCACAAAAAATTACATAAAAAGTAACTTTTAAAAGTTTTTTTTTTAACTTTTCAATCCACACAAATCTTCTAATTCGACCCGGATCTCTGTGCCGACAGAAACGATCAAAACCAAATCCAACACAATCCTATCAAATCTAGTTTAAACACACTTTAATTTATACGATTTTATTTCTTTATCTTGTGGCTTTCTATGCTTTTTAATGTTTTTAGGCACGCAAATACATCACTTTATTACAAGAATAAAAACAGTAAAAAGATGTACTGTTGGGTAGGAATGTAAATGTGTGTGTTTGGTGTGCGTGTGTGAAAGTGCAAATGAAAGTAAAATTAGTCAAATAGGACTGACATCAGCAACAAACAGTAATAATAACAATACAGAAAAATAATAATAGCTTTTCAAATTTTGTAATAAAGCAGCTAAAAAAGGCTATTTCACTGAAAAAAGTCATTTCTGTCGCACAGTTTGACAATAAAAATATAATAACCCACATAAAAAAGTCAGTTTAAACTGAACTGATATCAATATTAATAACCCATAACAGCTGTGCAATAACCAGTCGCTTCATGAACAGGAAGTGCTGCCTTTACGTAGTTGAGAATTTTCCGACGGTCAGTGAAAGCAGCACCAACTCGTCCGCGCGAGCATCTGTTGTAGAAGAATCGCGAGGAGGAGGAAGATATCGACAGCAATAGTTAACCGGTGGGCGCTCGAGCGACGTCAGAAGTTATTAGTCCATTTCTGCTCCTGAGAGACCTGGATGTTTTTAATATTTTAAACAATAACAGGTGAGCGTAAAATGGTTGCAACAAAAAGAGAGTCGCATCCTCGCCAGAGCGATAGCATGCTTTTTCCAGCTACCGTTTACATAATGGGTTGGGCGCTCGGCTAGTCAGCACTAGCATCAGCTAACCTTTTTCTAGCCCGCTTATAACATCAGCTAGTGTTAAGCTCCGCCAGTTTGTGATTTTATAAAGTTAGCGGACGTTTTAAACGCATGCATGGCGTTTAGATGGTTGCTTTGTCAATGTAAACGAAAACAATGACGAACAATAGCGATTTTACTGCTTTTTCATTTACTGTCGATCCTCAACTTTGGATTGACTTGTCTTAAAAATGTGGGGCCATCATCCTAAAGCGCACTTCTTTTCCCCGAGCCTTTCAACTAAAGTAGTATAGATAACTAAACAGTAAATGCCTTGGCCTTCCAGTTTTTCCATTAGCTAGTTCCTAATATAAGTAAACTGATGGTGAAAATTGGGATCCCGTTATTGACCCGCCTTTTACACATAAAACACAACCCTGCAGTAGTATTAATCAAATGTTTGCTGACTTTTACCTCAGTCTGTAAGTCGTGTTCAGCAGAAGATCACCTGGAGTTTTTATTTGCATTTAACCATTAATACGTACGTGCCCCCATCAGTATTCCATAGATAGAGCCCCAGGAGGGTTGAGCAGAGTTATGTGGGATAAGATAAGACCATTTCATAACTGCCAGGAACCTATTAGTATTGTTAGGAAACGTTTTGTAACTGAGCCTTCGTGAAAAAGTTTTGGAGTAATTCAATTTATTTGACGTCTGCCTGGAAACCAGAAGTAATTTGGTTAATTCGTGCTTTCCTGGAGGCCAGATGGTCAACTAAACTCCAGTGGGATTTTTATATCTTAATACTTTTTAACATAAATGTCGTGTTTTATAAATGGCAGGCTACTGTTTTTTTAAGTTTAAAGAAAGTTAGAATTTGTGTTTTCTAGTTTTAGTCTTTTATATTCCTAAAAAGACATTTATTTCATTCTTGTTTTAGTAAACGTTGTAGTTTGCTGCCAGAATGTAGTAAACTAAAATGATCCTGCAGTGTGGGTGTTGGGGTCAGGGGTGTTAAAAACAGTGTTTTTACAGTTGTCTGACCTGAAATGCTAGTCTCAGTTTAGACACAAATTCTTGGTCGTTTATTTTGCCTGCATGCTGTGATGATCTGAACGCCCATTGTCCCTGTTTACACCAGACCTGCCCTTATTAATTTCTGCTACTAATCAAATGTCTGAGTGGTTGCGACTGCTGCCATTTGTTATAGCCTACAGAACAAGCTAGTGGTTGAACGTAAATGCAATCACGGGACACTCACCCCTCTTCTTGGGTATCTTCCCTACCAAAACCAGAAACCCACATTGCCATATGAAACAAGATAGCACTAAACACCAGTTGCTGTTTTCTAGCTCCAAATATCTTTTGGTGTCTATGACTTCATGCTGTGTTTTTCCTTTTGGGACTCTGTCCTAAACTTTAAGTGGTAGCAGCTGTTTGTCCTTTGCAGATATTACTGAGCGGCGAACCTCTCACACCAGTGGTGTTGTTTCGCTAAATATCCTGGTGCTTAATGCACGGAGGACCCAGGGAAGTGCAGCAGTTTGGCGAGACAACAACCACATGGTCCAATAGTTGCTTTCAGTCCGACTGCGAAACATGTTAGTGCCAGAGGTTTTTAGACAAATTTGAGAGAACAACTTTATTAATTTTTTAAAATCTTCACAGTAAATTTATTGCTATATTATATTAGAAAGTTTTTAAAAGGCATGAAAAAAATGTTTTAAGCTGATTTGTTTTCCAAATGTGCTATTGCAGCTTTAAAGGTTTGGTTCACTGAAAAACATTATTTAATAATTATTTCTAATTATAATCGTCACTCTGAGTTTTTCATGCAGGCTGAACATGAAAATAGTCTCCTACACCTATTTCCTGCATTAGCTTCAGATAGAAAATAGATGGTGAAACTCTAGGATTTGAAAATCCTGACAGCGTGACATCACACTCACTTAACATTCATGGACTCACCCATCTTGACTCATGACGGCAAAGGCTGTTGTTGGTTTAGTGTACAGGAAACAGCAGAGAACATCTTGACGAGTAGAAGTTAACTCTTAGCATTAGCAACTCCACCACATGGCTAAACTCCTCCAGGCTTGTGTTATTTGTGGAGATAAAACATCAACGTTGCAAAGCAAACAGAGTCAGTAGTAGAGTTGTGTTGCTGTTGGCCAATCAAAATTGAGATGTTCAAACATCAGGAAATAAGACACCAAATCCTGCCATCTGAAGCTCATTTCTGATCTGGCAATCTTCTAGATCCTGAAACAGGACCTCCAGGGCCTTTTCCACCCAGAGCACAACTCACAAGACATGTATTCCTACTAGAAACCACTGCAAATGTATTGATTAAAAAAGTGAACGACTCCTTTAAATACATAAAAATCTGCAGCATGTCCAGTGTTGCAATAATGTTTCACCAAGATCTTGCATTGATGATGGTAGAGTCTGACTGCTGCACAAAGTCTTCTCCAGCACATCCTAAAGATTCTCAGTGGGGTTAAGGTCTGGACTCTGTGGTGGCCAATCCATGGGTGAAAATGATGTCTCATGCTCCCTGAACCACACTTTCACTGTTTAAGCCCGATGAATCCTGGTATTGTTTCCTTGGAATATGCCCGTGCCATCAGGGAAGATGGAATAACCCGGTCATTCAGTATATTCAGGTAGCCAGCTGACCTCATTCTTGGAGCACATCCTGTTGCTGAACCTAGACCTGACCAACTGCAGCAATCCCAGATCATAGCACTGCCCCCACAGGCTTATGCAGTAGGCACTAGGCCCGATGGGTGCATCACTTCATCTGCCTCTCTACCCTGATGCACCATCACTCTGGAACAGGGTCCATCTGGACTCATCAGACCCGTTTTTAATAATGCGTTGGACAGTTCTTAACCCAGTTTTAGTCGTTTCTGCATCTCCTTAGATGTTTTCTCTGCTTGATGCCAATGATCTGACCCTTCTCATACAGACTAACATCTTTCCCATGACCACTAGATGTGTTTTTCCACGTGGTTGTTGAAGAAATGAGAAGCAACTCATTGCACCAGTTGGGGTTAAATAACTTGTTGCAGCTGAAAGAGAATCACCCATGCAGTAATTATCCAATAGGAGTCTCCTACCTATTTGCTTAGTTTAATCCAGGTGGAGACTTTTATTTATTTGGTTGGGTAGTGTAATTGAGAGAAAGAATAAAGCCATTCCAATCTTTTTTTCTGTTATTGATAAGCAAAGAGACTAAACAACCAAGGTTGAAATGAGTTTTTGTTTTCTGTTTTTTTTTTTTTTTTAAAGCAGCTGTTCGAATATAACTGGATTTACCAGATTTGACAAAACCAATCACAATGAGACCTCGGGCAATGGGGGAGTCTCATGTTTGTGTTTGTTGACAGAATAAGAGCAGACACAGCCTCCACACGGTTGTGGTCCAGTGTCAGTGTGACTAAACCTCAGGCCATTATCCATAACCTATTTGTGGAATAAAGAAATCAATCAGCTCTAGTGAGGAGAAGCAGGGATGGCCTTACACAAAACCCCACATTACACCAGCAGATTATTTCATTTTCTACTATTAAATGTATTCTTGTTTGAGTTTTGCTGTATTAGATGTCCCTGGAAAATCCCGAGTTTGTTGTATCATGTGTTTGTAGTTGCCCAAGGTTTACAGTAACCATATCAGGGTTATGTTTACCTCCAGTCACTACAATGAAGTTGTAGTGAAGCCTAAATCTGTCCTTGTCTGTAATTGGCACCAAAATGTTACATCCAAGGCTTTGTCAGAAGTAATGTCTTCTTTCAAATCATTCAGCAAGGATTATCTCATCAGCTACAGATACTGATACAGTGCTGTCAGGGTTAAACTGAAGTTATTAGCATTCCTGCTTGAAATCAATTAGGTTGTTATAGTTAAAAGTAAGGGAATAAAATATTGTATATAAGTATGAGCCATTGGGAGTGGTTAGTAAATGTTTTGTGAGAATGTAAAATGGTTGGGTCTGAGGTCAGTACTTGTTGTGTGTGAGGTGTGGCTTTGAGGCAGGACATCTGAAATGGCAATAACAAGAAACATTTGTGCCGTGTCCTCCTCCATGTCCACATCAGGTCCCGTCTCAGAGCACAGTCAACATGGCTGAAGCCCACCAGGCTGTGGCCTTTCAGTTCACCGTCACTCCAGAGGGCATCGATCTGCAGTTGTCACACCAGGCTCTCTCTGAGATCTACCTCTCCGGTGTGCGCTCCTGGAAGAAACGCATCATCAGAATCAAAGTGGGTGCTTTGTTTTTATCTGTTGCTGCTTAAAGGGATGTTGCAACCAAAATTGACATTTTGTCTGTTGACATATTGACTTTCATAAGTGGGGAAAAACTATTTTTAATCAGCCCAGTCATTCTCTTGACCCGGCTGTATTCCTTTTGCATTAGCTTAGCATAAAATACAGTCAGTAAATGGATTAAGTATGCTCTGATCCGATCACGTGATCTAAAATCAGGCCCGATCATGTGATTTTAAAGGGATTGGGAGAAATAAATCAAATTTAACCTTTTAAAACCACAAACGTGACTTTTTAAATTCATCCTGAGATAGAGATTTTCAAATGGAATAAGAATGGCTTAAGCCTGATTCACGCTTCTCCATCAGCTCCGCAAGGGACAGACACACACGGATTGACAGAAGTGTTTTGCTCTCATACTTCTCCGTTTCCTGGAGTGTTGCAAAGCAATTCCCCGCCAGGACAACAGAGGGCGTAGTGCTGTTCTGTGGTATCCTGTCATGTATCCGGTCCAAAATAGTGTGTTTATATTGTGTTTTTTGTGTATAAGACTTTTTAACACAGACAAATTTGTCTCTCATTCTCCTCCACCTCTTCATGGTCTTGCTACCTCTCAACCCACGTTTCCTGTCATTTCCGTCCACAAATAAAATGCTTGCTGTGTATCTTTTCACTCATCCAGTCACGGGGGAATTAAACGTTCATGTTTTTAGAGTTTATTTGCGAGATATTCTTCAAGCTTCTCCGTGTCTGCTGCTGGTTATTCTCGGTTCTCTTTATGTTTTTGAGGGCACAATGGCAGCGGTGTAGACTACAGCGGTGCCCTGACCAATCACAAGCTTGCGTTCTCCGTCTCGTTCGATGGATGTTTAAAAAAGTGGGCTCGACTCCGTACGTACGTGCGTGCCTGCCGGGGCCCTACGCAAGGACGGATAATGGCGTTGCGTGTCTCCGCACTGAAGCAGACGGAGAAGCATGAATCAGCCTTTAGTTTTAATTTCAATAAGTTCCTGTACTATTATATATATATTATATATTATTGTTTCTTACTAAAAAAGAGAAATTACCAACAGACTGCAAAACGTTAGGGTAGGGCTGGGCGATGTGGCCTAAAATCAATATCACGATATATTGAGAATTTCACCTCGATAACGATAAATGGACGATAACTACAGGTATGCACAGAGACAAAAGTTGTCCACTAGGTGGGACTGTAACGAGTATTACGTTGAGTCACATTTTTACGTGACTCAAGGTGGTACAGCTTCTTTGATGGACATGAACGTTTCCAATAGGGATGGGTACCTTTGACATTTGAATCGATCCGGTACTAATTCCCGGTACCTACGAATCGATACCGGTACTTAACGGTACCAATTTTCGATACTTTTTAGTGTTTATTATTTTAATTCTCTTTTATAATTAAATATATATTTTTCTCAATATATAACAATATTTGATAAATATCACGATAAATAACATTCAACTGTTTGTATTTTAACATCGTCCTTGTAGTTTTATAAGCTGATAATTAAACTGAAGCTTTACTGTGAACTAAACTTACTGTGTATCTTCATTCCTTTTGCCGTCTTTTTTCATTTGATTTTTCCTACTGGGAAGTTAGAATTTCCGAGGAGAAAGCAAACTCACCATTAGCTGATAACAACGGTGGCAATGGAAGCTAACATCAAGCTAACGTTATCTTAAACAGTTTATTTAACTGCTGGAGCAGATTAAAACGATGATGCCTCACACTTAGATCGTTGTCGCTGGTTTAATCTTCACCCAATCACCCGTCGCATTTAGTAAAGTGAAGCCAAACTTTAGAGCGCGTTCATGTTCTTCTAGCCGGAAATTCGAAGTTCCGAGGAGAAAGCGAACGCACCATTAGCGAAACGGAAGCTAACATATCAAGGTAATGCTATCTTAAACATTTTATTTACCTACCGGAGCAGATTAAGATGAGGATGTCTCACTTAGATCGTTGTCTGTCGCTGGTTTCATCACCCAGTTAACCATCACATTTAGTGAAGTGGACCCAAGCGTTAGCGTGCGTTCTTTCTACCATGCTGCTCTGTTTACAACTTGCTCGCAGGGACCGACGACATAACGCTCTTGCGCATGCGCAGCTGTCTTGGCAAGTTCTCGTTATGAAGGACGGGTACCGAAACGAGGCACCGTTTCAAATGACGTGAATCGGTGCTCGGTCGGTACTATGGAATTCGGTCGGTACCTTAAAAAGTACCGAATTCGGTACCCATCCCTAGTTTCCAACCTACACACACCTTTTCATTTTTTATTATCAAATTTATCGGCATGGGGAAAATTATTTCGATAAGAGTCAGAAATTTCGATAACAATATATTTTCGATTTACTGCCCAGCCCTACGTTAGGGTTTATAGTTCTCCTATAGATGTTATGCAGGGAGAAGTTAGCCTGTCGGCCGAGTCTCCGCCTGCCTGATCCATCACAGGAACATGCATCACTCGCAGCTACATATTGGGGGGGGGGGGGGGGGTAAACAACTTGAAATAAGAACAATGCTGCTACTATTAAATATATTCATGATATAAACACGTTTTTTAATCAGTGTACTTCCTAACAAGTGAAAGTTAAAGAACAACTTGGATGTGTTTTCCTATATTAATGATTCGCTGAAAATGATTTCCTTTTTTCTTATTTAAATGCTTTCCTGAAAAGTATCGGATCGGGACTCGGTGTCTGCAGATACTCTAAATCAAATGACTCCGAATTAAATGAGATCGGAAGCAAAAAAAACCCTGATCATCACTAGAATGGATCCAACTAGCATTGTGAGTAAAAAGTTCTTAAAGTCACTCAGTAGTTATCCCAATTCTGCTTGGTGACCTAAATAATCAGACTGACTGCTAGTGAAAATAATTGGTAACAAAGGAATCAAAGGCCCTATTTTAGACTTGGAACTACTTTTGGATGAAGCACAGCTGTAAGCCTCCCATGGCAGCCCCAAAAGCACCTGTTTCTGTAAACACAGATGCACACGCTGTTAGCGAACCGGCATAAAACGTGTGCCCCCACGCGTAATCCAGCTTTTTTTCTTTTGAAGATTTCTGATAAATGTGTTAAACAGCAACACCTCCATTTCATTTTCTAAATATTATTAGTTCAACTTCTGCATGTGTGGGAGGAGTCAGTGCTCCGTTTTGTGCACACAAACACAAACACTTACAGAGCTGCTCTGTGGATCTGCTTTTCTTGTTTCCTAATAATGCAGGAGTAACACATGGGACCTCTACAGAGCTGTTTGAGGAGTGTCCCAACTTTTTTACGGTGTAAAGGCATTTATTTAGCCTAATTACTACTGTCCGTGCGCTGCAGATGGAATGATTTCCATGTTTCACAGCTGCAGGGGGAACGTGGGTCATTTAAAGTGATTTATTTTGGATTACCAGACAAAAGGTCCAGGTATTTGGTAAAGCTTTGTTTTTTATTGACCAATCAGTTAGGTCTCCATTCCTGCAGGAGGCTGCAAGTTGAACTTGGCGCAGCAATTCTGTGCATAAATAAAATAAATATTGCATCTGTCAGCTTAAAAACCTTTCATGCAACACACACATACACACACAATGGTAACAAGAGAAAAAAAAGACGCATTGCATTTTGCGCAGAAGAGATTTGAGCTTGTGTGTGTGTGTTTTATGCTCGTTCGCTAACAACATGTGTCAGGTGTCTTTGGGGCTACCTTGCACCTTGCAGCTGTGCTTTCTCATAAAGTAGTCCCAAATCTAAAATGGCACCTGTGACTCCTTTATGTTACTAATTATTTTCACTTGCAGTCAGTCTGATTATTTAGCAGAAATGGGATCACTACTGGGTGATTTTAAGGACATTTTAACTCACAATGCTAGTTGGAGCCATTCAATTATTGTGTTCTATGATAAGCTAAAGCGAACGGAATACAGCCGGCTCAGGAATATCATCGGGCTGGTTAAAAATATATTTTCTACTTATCTAACGCTGGGAAATATGTCAACAGACACATTTTTAATTTTGGATGGAATATCCCTTTAAAGCTGTTATAGCAAACTCACAGAACAAGCTAGGTTTTGAACGCAAACGCGGTCACAGAACACTTATTGTAAACAAACATATTTGGCCCTTTGAAATTTTGAATTTAACTTTGATGTATCTGTGTAGCTCTTATTTGTTAAATCATGTGAGCTGAACTGTGTGGTAGGGCTGGGCGATATGGCCTCAAATCTATATTGCAATATAATCTGAAGCATGTGCGGTAACGATATATATTGCAATATATTTTTTCCTCTGTTTATACATGTCAAAATTACATGCTTTTAAATATTCTCATGTGGCAAATATATGCCACTTGAGGCATATAGGCCTCCTCCTCCGCCCACTCCATGCTTGCAGTCACTGCCATTCTGTTGCCCCAATGTCAGCAGGGGGCACATCTTAGTGACGTCATGTGTTATCGCGGTATTGCGATATAGTCAAAAACTCTTATCATTACCCAATTTTATATCATTTCTACCTTATATCGTTTATATTGCCCACCCCTACTGTGTGGCCAAAAAGTGAAGTAACTTGATTTGAATGGGTCCACGCTTAATAATTCAATCTAGAGAATTGTAACATAAAATTATTATTAATGCATATTTACCCCCTCACTTCCTCATCTCGGGACACTTTAAAAGCATACGTTTATTAATCCAAAGTAAATTCATTTCTAGTAATTATTATGAATAAAAAACAGCTGAAAACTGTTGGAATTCTTTAAGACTGAATAACATTGAAATATGCCATTTTTCTGTCCTGTTAACAGAACAATGTGATCTCAGGTGTATATCCTGCAAGTCCTTCCTCCTGGCTGTTTGTGGTCATAGCGATCCTGGCCACTATGTACACCCGCTCTGATCCCTCCATGGGACTCATAGCTAAGATCCAGGAGCATCTTCCTGTAAGGTAAAGACTGCTACAGATGACACCATTGATGTTCTAGAAAACTGTGTGGACCATTCTGCTGATTAGACAACATTATAAAATTAGTGTTTGTGAAGACATGTTTTAATTTTCTCCAACAAAAAAAAAAAAACAGCATTGACAGGCTTACCGACATGCTTCTCCTCTAAATTTGCACAAAAAAATAAAATAAAAGAAACTTCTGGAAAACCACAAACTGTGGATTTTTTGTTGACAGTTAAGACATCATCAGTGATGTCAGCAGCAAATACATTTGTAAGTTTTACTGTCTGTTCCTGGAATTTACCAGTTTTTGCTAACTAATAGATTTAAACTTGTAAACATTACCATTTTGTTTACGTAAGGATCAACCCTAACTACATTTGAAGGTTTTGCAGAAATAAATCCAGTGTGATTTCATCTCTAAGAGAGTTTAATTTTACTCTGTTTCAGATAACATTTGGTCTCATTTGAAAATAGAGTAAATTTTAACGAATATAAATTCTGACAAATTTAATAGCAGTGTTATTTCCTATTTGTCCAGTGTTAAAGCTTGCTTCTCCACAGTGTTAATTTAAAGATGTAGTTCATCTAGATATATCAATCAAAAAGAAACTGTGCCAGCATTTATTGTCAATGATAAGATAACTACCAATCCCAAATGCAAAAACAATTGCGACATTGAAATCCACTGTCCATATTCACAGTACTGTGGTAATGAAATGCCTTGCATCAGCATTGACAGCAGTACTTAGCAGCAGAACACCTCCTGGTTCAAAAAGATCACACCTAAAACGCCGCTCAGCAAACTGGGAAATTAAATTAACTCTCTGTAGGGTAGACATTAACATTGCATGTCTGCAGAATTTAACTCTGCTGTTTGAACTGGTTTACTCTTCAAATAGTTGTAAAAACTATATTAACACTCAATTTTTTACTGAGTGGTTCAAACCAAACTCGCATCAAATATTTTCTGGCCTCAAATCAGCCAAATAGAGTATCAGGATTAGAGGCCGACCAATATGTTTTTTTTAAGATCGATACCGATTTTTAACTAATGTTGTTGTTGATGGCCCATACATGATGGCCATGATGCTGATTATTTTTTGTAATTAAATACATTTGAAAGCTATGTTTACCTTCAGTTTTTCTCCTTGCATTAATAAAGTAGAACAAGAACACCTCTCGAGATAAAAACCACAAGTCGCTTCACAGCCACATAAAAAATAAAAATAGTCTAAAAAAGATATTAATGGGAGAAAGAATAGTTTGAAATGCTTTATGATATGATTATATATTTTAATATATTGTTTATGATATGATTATATATTATACTATATTGTTTATGATATAATTGTATATTATAATATATTGTTTATGATATGATTATATATTATAATATATTGTTTATGATATGATTATATATTATAATATATTGTGATTATTATGTTGAACCTTGATTTAAAGAAAATTGTGAACCTAACTGAAATAACAATTTCTCCTAGAAAAATCTCTAGTCCATCTTTACCAAAAATCATTCAGGTCTAGTGGGCGGTAAAAACTGCTGCCACCTAGCAGTCGGAGTTTTTATTGCACCACACAAAAAGAAGTACAGTGAGCTGCATTTATCTTTTTGTTTTTGTCCCTTTAATAACTTCCTGCTTCGTCTCCAGCCAGATGAGCACACAGTGCCAGGCGGTGGTGTCGGCGGTGCTCTTCAGCACCATGCTGTGGCTGATGCTCATCTTCACCATGCGTCTGTGCCTCAAGCAGCTCCTCTCCTACCATCGTTGGATGTTTGAGCAGCACGGGAAGATGTCCACCACCACCAAGATCTGGGTGGTCAGTGCTTTTTCTCATTGTCTAATACACTTTAATAAACCAGTATATTTTTTATTTTTTACTTTCCTTAAACGTGTGATGTTTTTAAGCACCAACCACAACTCCCATGGCTGTTTCTGCTGTGCTTGTGTGTCTCTGCCAGGCGCTGGTGCGGATCTTTTCTGGCAGAAAGCCTCTGCTCTACAGCTACCAGGGTTCTCTGCCAAACCTTCCTGTTCCTGCCATAAAGGACACAGTCAAGAGGGTGAGATGAGCCCAACACCATGAGTACAATAAACAAATACCAGTAAATTAATCTGTGGGTACCGGTGACGCGCGACCCGCACAAACACATTTCGTCTAGCGATCTCCTGTGTAGACCTCCGGACCACTCTATATCCGCTCGTACGATCTGAACCGAGTGAGCCCGATGGGTCAGGTCAGATTTGGGTTGGACACCAGAGACAAATAGAGAGACTGGCCGTACAATATGCGGAGATGAGGACGCACCTCAAACCAGACTCATTGGAAGCATTGTCATTCATCCTTGGTGATAAACGCTAAAATGTAGGCTGTGTTGTGTCTGACGAGCTGGTTTTGGGTAGAAAGCTGTCGGGTCTAGTGGTGCACAATATATCAGCATCAATATCGGTATCAGCCGATGTTAGTCAGTTTTTAACATATCAGTATCGGGCCGATAAATAAAACTCTGAGGAGATGAGAGCTGAGCCGTCAAAAATAAATAGTAATATTGTTTTACTGTGTCAGCCTGTAGAAGATGTTGCTAAACTTTATTCTGTTTCATGGATCAGGGTGACTTGAATTTATGTTAAATCCAACTTTAAGAAAATTGGGAGGAAACTTTAGTCGTCTTTTGAGTTAGATGTTCTCTTCTTGTTTGCTTGTTTCTTCTCCTCAGAGACGCATCGGACTTAAGAAGATAATAAAAGTCAAAATATCCCCAAAGGAAGGGCTAGTTAGCTGGTTAGTGAAGGGGAGGTAGCTATCATTAAATCCTAATTCAGCCCGCAGCATCCTGCTGCTGTTATAGCAAATATAAAATGAACATCCAACAAGTTTAAGATTCTCCATGGTTTTAGTGTTTTCAGCAGCAGAGCCGGGTTCGTGCTTCATCACATTTCAGATGAGACCATTGGGTTCAAACAAAATAACAAACCAGGCCCAACATGTCATGTCATTTATTGATATTGATCTTAATTCATTGATTTAGTTTTAAAAATTCAATTTTTAAGTTGTTAATTTAAAAACAATCATTTAAATATAATTAAATAACCTGATAAAAATCACTAGAATGCAGGAAATGACATCTACTAATTATAACATGTTTCAGTGGGAGACCCCCAGACCAACACCCCATCACCTGATATCCTCTCTGTCTGTCTCCGTCCTCAGAGCTGAGGACAAGACTGGGACATGTGGTTAAACGTGTCTCAGTCTTTGTCTCTTCTCAGAGGAGCTGAGGGTAAACAAAGGCTTTGCTGCTCTGAGTTAAAACAAGAATCCCAACTTGATCTAGAATCAGGTGTGTCTGAGCAGGGACACGTAGAAAACATGCAGCCACTGTGGCCTTCAAGGACCAGGTCTGCTCCCTCTGTTATACTATATTATATTATATTATATTATATATACTGTATATATATATATATATATATTATATATACTGTATATATATACATATATATATACTGTAGATATATATATATACAGTATATATATATATATATATATACATATATACATATATACATATATATATATATACAGTAATCCCTCGCTACTTCGCGGTTCGTTCATCGCAGATTCGCTGCTTCGCGGATTTTTTTGTTTGGAGCATTTTTCAGGGGGAATTCGCAGATTCGCGGTATTTTTCACTGATTCGCGGTATTTTTCTATGCGAAATATCAAGAAATTCTTGTTTTTTTTTCATCAATTTCATCATAAAATGCACTTTTTGTAATAAAACTAAAAAAACCAAGTAAAAAAAATTTTTTTTCTTGAGTTTTACCCACAAAAAGAGAATGTGATCATACGATAATTCAATATAGTACTGTATGTCAGACAGGGCGGCTGGATTCGGGAGTTGAGCTTGTAGGGAGCGTGGTTTCACAGAAGCGGAAGTGAGAGCGTCGGTGAAACGCCGGCTGATCTAGGAAACCCCCGAGCGTTCGAGTGTCAACGAAGTGACACGGAAATGCCGGGTTTCCAGAAGTAAGTAAGTAAGATAACTTGCTATGAGCTGATAGTTCGTTGGATTGATCGGTAGGTTGGAAACTCTGATCATGAATCTGAAGAAACGATGACTGAGAGGTGAGTTGGAAAGGCGACTTCCGTTTATAGCCGCGGTTTGTGACGTAGGTGCGATGTGGAGGGAATCCCCGCGAGGGGCATGCTGGGAGTCCCTACTTCGCGGATTTTCACCTATCGCGGCCAGGTCTGGAACGCATCTACCGCGATAAACGAGGGATTACTGTATACATATTTCATCTAATGCTTAATTAGAAAATGCTTAAATACTTTATTATACATGCTAATTTATTAAATAACTCTGGTTGATTTATTTCCTTCCACGAAGTCCACCAGGTTGTCCAAAATTACTGGCACTTTCATTTGCTGCAGGTTTACTTGTAGGGGAGGGTGTGTGTGTGTGTGTGTGTTTGCAGCTACTTTCCCCAATGCAGAGTCGCCGAGATTGTGTGTGTGCATGCGGGGGTGGGCGGGTCTTCACCTTTTTCACCCTTGACCCATTTTCATGTCTGTAAATCATCTCTTGCTTTGTTGCTTTGCCCTTTTTGTGTCTGCAGTATTTAGAGTCCGTGCGTCCACTGATGAATGATGCAGAGTACAAGCGGATGACCAATCTGGCCACAGAGTTTGAGAGCAGCCTCGGTAATCGCCTGCAGTGGTACCTCAAACTCAAATCTCTCTGGGCCTCAAACTACGTAAGTGACTGTCCACAGAGCTCTGGTTAGTAGAGGACTCCCAAATTCAAAAGTAAATAAGAAATCCCATTAACAATGTATAGAGTTTCAAGGTTTTGTAACTTTAATTATTCATCCTGTCTGAATATTAAATTCCCAGCTGGCTGAATTCTCACAACAGCGTTTGTGTTTCAGGTTAGCGACTGGTGGGAGGAGTATGTCTACTTACGTGGACGAGGCCCCATCATGGTCAACAGTAACTATTATGGAATGGTACGGGGCTTTAGTCATCAGTGAGAAGTCAAGATACACTGCCGAATGTTAATTTAAGAAATCTTGACATCAGGTTGTTGTTGGGCAAATTCTGTGTGCTCTAGATTAACAGATTGTTTAATATAATGTATTTTAATTTGTATTATATATATGTTTATTTATATTGTTATGTAGCTTTTAAACCTTAGCTTTCCTGCTCTGGTGTAGTATCAGGGTTTCAGCAGCTCCCAGGCCTCTCAGATATTCCTGTGGACTGTTTTGTTTGGTTGATGACTCAGGCACACCTCCTGGTCTTTTTCCAGGACTTCCTGTATGTGACTCCAACTCCGATCCAAGCGGCCAGAGCTGGAAACTGCATTCATGCGTTCTTCCTCTACCGCCGCAAACTCAACAAGGAGGAGCTCAAGCCTGTAAGTTTATCCTAGCGTGTGTGTGTGTGTGTGTGTGTGTGTGTGTGTGTGTTTACAGCAGATCACATGTGGGTTTATGTGAAGTCATCTCCCTTGGATTCCCGTTCCATGCTCATCTCTCATTTTTCTTTTGTACTCTACTTTTGCGTGCTTAATTATTTCCCTCCTTTTTCCACCTGACCCCTTAAAATCTTTCTTTATTTTGCTCAAATCTCCATTTCCTCCACTCACTCCTCTTTTTTCCCCGCCTGCACCATCGCCTTGGCCTTTTCCTCTCCATTTCCCAGAGTCGCATCCCAGGCACTGTCATTCCTCTGTGTGCTGCTCAGTGTGAGAGGATTTTCAACACGGCACGCATTCCTGGAGAGGAGACGGGTAAAGAGACTTGATTTGTGCACACATGTAGAAACACTGAGTGCTGATGTATGATTCATGACCCCCCCCCCCCCCCCCCCCCCAAAAAGAAAAAACGCTTTAGTTTGCGCTTCTTTGGTGACCACTGAAGGTGTCCTGACCCTCCTGAGTTAGTGTGTAACAGAACAGGGTGTGTGTGGTTCCATCCAGACGTGTGATTCACTGAGTCACAATGTGTCCTCTCTCATCTGTCTCCTCTTCCTCACTGGTCTTGTTTCGGGTCTACCCAGGGTTCTGACAAAGTTCTGTCTGTAACTAATGCCAGTTCTCTTCTTCTCTTCATTTCATCTCATCTTCCCCTTTTAATTCATCCCTACCCGTTTGTTTTTAACACCCCTCTTCGTTCCCATCCTTTGCATCGGCCCGTCTTTTCCCGTCTGCTCAGTGGTTGCTGAGATCCGCAGTCCCTTGCTGTTCCTATCAGTTTGAACGGACGTTTGATTCTTGTCGAATCCCAGGAACACTAACAGGTAGTTTTTATCTTCTTACATAAGTGTCGCACTTCTAAATGCCAAAGCAATCTGATAGAAAATGTTCTAACGTCAGTCCGTCCCTGTCCATCATGTTGAGAAACTTAACCCTGTGAGTCATTCAAATCAGTGCAAAACCACTTCATTGCTTCAGGGGATTGTAGCTCTAAAATCTGTGTTTAATTCTCAAAGTAATAGTTTATTTTTGTTTTTCTTATTTGAATTTATTGAATTCAGTTGTAGCAAGTATTGCCACACTGATGTGATCGGAAGCCTTTAGCTTTGTAGTTATTTTTGGGTTGATTTACCAAATGGTCCACATAGCATGCGTTCTTTTGAGTTGTGACAGAATCCCAGGATTTTCACTCATTTAAATGGGTTTCTTTTTCCTGGTGGTTGGTGATAAAATCAGGTCCCGTTTAAGGAGTCTGAATTGTTAAAAACTACCACTTTTCTCCACTTTTAATGTAAAAAAAAATAATAGTCAAATAACCCTTTTAAATTTGTTATTTGTATGTTTAAAGGGTCTTTAGGGAGTTTTGAATTTTTATGCTCGCCATTGCCCCCTCTGGCCAAAAGCGTAACGGCAGCTTCAATAAGAGGCTCGTGCACGAGGCGCGCATGCTGTACGTGCACACTCCTTAACAAAAATAACAGCTGAGACGAAGCTCTGAGAGCTGATAGTCCCTTGTGTGTGTGTGTGTGTGTGTGTGTGGCCCGGAGGACAGGAGAACACGCAGCTAATTGGTTCTGTACTTTTCTCTTCAGCAAAGGTTTAAGATGGGTCAGTTCACCTGCGTGCTCAGATCATTCCATTCCCTTGCTTGAAAAATCGTTCCAAAATGAAAGTTGAACCCACGTCTTTTTTATCTGTGAATTTAATGCCGTTCAGCGAGTCTCAAATAAAAATTTGGGCATCTTACTGTAAAAAAAATATATCATTATTGTCTCGTCTCGTCTTCCTCCGCTTATCCGGGTCCGGGTCGCGGGGTCAGCATCCCAACTAGGGAGCTCCAGGCCGTCCTCTCCCCGGCCTTGTCCACCAGCTCCTCTGGCAGGACCCCAAGGCGTTCCCGGACCAGATTGGAGATGTAACCTCTCCAACGTGTTCTGGGTCGACCCGGGGGCCTTCTGCCGGCAGGACATGCCCGAAACACCTCCCCAGGGAGGCGTCCAGGAGGCATCCTAACCAGATGCCCAAACCACCTCAACTGGCTCCTTTCGATCCGGAGGAGCAGCGGTTCTACTCCGAGTCCCTCCCGAATGTCCGAGCTCCTCACCCTATCTCTAAGGCTGAGCCCGGCCACCCTACGGAGGAAACTCATTTCGGCCGCTTGTATCCGCGATCTCGTTCTTTCGGTCATTACCCAAAGCTCATGACCATAGGTGAGGATTGGGACGTAGATCGACCGGTAAATCGAGAGCCTGGCTTTCTGGCTCAGCTCCCTCTTCCCCACGACAGATCGGCTCAGTGTCCGCATCACTGCAGACGCCGAACCAATCCGCCTGTCGATCTCCCGATCCCTCCTACCCTCACTCGTGAACAAGACCCCGAGATACTTAAACTCCTCCACTTGAGGTAGGACCTCTCCCCCGACCCGGAGGTGGCAAGCCACCCTTTTCCGGTCGAGAACCATGGTCTCAGATTTGGAGGTGCTGATCCTCATCCCAGCCGCTTCACATTCGGCCGCGAACCTACCCAGCAAGAGCTGAAGGTCAGAGCTGGATGAAGCTAGGAGGACCACATCATCCGCAAAAAGCAGAGACGAGATTCTCCTGCCACCAAACTCGACACACTCCACACCACGGCTGCGTCTAGAAATTCTGTCCATAAAAGTGATGAACAGAACCGGTGACAAAGGGCAGCCCTGGCGGAGTCCAACCCTCACTGGGAACAGGTCCGACTTACTACCGGCTATGCGGACCAAACTCACGCTCCTCTGGTAAAGGGACTGAATGGCCCTTAACAGAAAGCCACCCACCCCATACTCCTGGAGCGTCCCCCACAGGGTGCCCCTGGGGACACGGTCATAAGCCTTCTCCAAATCCACAAAGCACATGTGGATTGGTTGGGCAAACTCCCATGCCCCATTATTGTAAAAATGAAATTCTGAAATAACCATGTTCATGTTGAGAATCAAACCCAGGTCTTCTGCAGGAAAGCCCTAAACTTTACTAGGCGAGCTAAATCGCCAGTGGCGTCTCCTGCATCTGTAACATTTATATGCTTGATCACAGCTGAAACAACGTTCAAAGAACGGTTCGGAGGGCGATGCCTGAGCGTGAACGCGCATGAAGCAGCCTGCTCGACCCGAGCAGCTCTCTTTTTCTGCGATTTTACAGAAAAACAGGCAATCACAGTAAAAATGCCAGGGCTCATTCTGCAGGACCAGGGCATTGCAGGAGAATGTATGAAGAAGAAATTTATTATTTCTATACATGTTTTGGCTGTCAAACTTCCATAATGCCCCTTTAAGTCTTTAAAAGCTTTTTTCAGTGACAACTTCTAGCCAACATCAGTTCCATCCTATCAAGGAACTGTTACAAAGGCATCATGGTGTCCACATTGGACCATTCTAACACGCTTTATGCAGGTCCTCACTCTCAAGGCTGCAGCTTGTACAAACTCCGCCTCTACTTTCTTCTTGCGGAGCTAAAAAATGGGAGCATGGGACTCCGCTCCTTAAAGTGGCTTCCAGGAAAATACAGCATTTTCTTTTAAGATTCTGTTTTTTGTTTCTCAGTCTGTCTGAGTCAGCGTCACCCTGATTAGCCTCACTTTTGTCACAGTAATAACCCGTAAAACTGCTTTGCTCCAAAACACCTATTAGTGAGACAAACCGCAGCTGTAGCGAAAGATTTAGCTCTGCAGGCCGGACTAGCCATGCTCCACTGTAGCCTCAGCGGATCCACTGCTGGCAAGGCAGCTTTATTTGTATAGCACATTTCACACACAGAGGCAGTTCAAGACGTAGAATTGTTGATCACGATTTGATTCGATCTGATATATCGGGTCAGCGAACTCTTCTTTTTTTGCTGTTCCCTTAATTACATGACTATGTTGTTGTGTAGTATACACTATTAACGTTCAACAACAAATTACTGAAATATTGGTAACTTAAAACGACTTTATGGCTCAATCCTTCTCTCAGAATTATGCTTTTCACAAACATGCTATCAGGCAGAATCAGCAAACAGATCCAGGACAGCCAACAGGACAAGTAACAAGTGTTAATAACTGCATCAGTGGACTGCTACTGGAACACGAACCTAGAGTATTATTAAAAATAGCACATTAAGAATTCCCCCAAAAGCTGTAGCTGCACACACACACACATTTATTTTTTTAATATTTATATTGGCCTCACTCAAGACTCAATCAACAATTTTTTAATGTTCAATAATGTTCAGAAATATTCAAGCAGATTGTTTAAGCTTGAACGTCTTCAGGGTTGACCTTTCATTGAATGTAATGATCATTTGCTCCAAGAAAAGGTCCCTGTCTGGACTACGGATGGCTGCATATGTGGAATATTTATTTCATTATGTGGCACTCTTTGACTTCCATACTTACCACATTTGCCGTTTTTTATGGCTTTTTCTTTTATGTTCGCGCTACGTCTGTCATCATTAGCGGCGTTTTTACCATCCTTTCTACATCCACCATGTTCTGAACACGGTGAGAAAGCTTCAGAATTGGTGTGTGGAACGTTTTAGCTCCATTAGCTTTACTTTCTTCACGTGAAGCACAGACTCTGATGCTCCGTGCAGCAGCATCGCTCTTTCTGACTGGATGAGTGAATATCTTCATCAGACAGACTTGTATTCTTCTTCTGAATCAGAGTCAGACATTACCAGACAAAGAGAGTCAACAATGACCAGACCTGTCAGCAATTGTAAGTTTTCCCCTATAATATTCGCCCTACGTGTGCTGCGTTTGTTCCCCAATTCAATTCAATTTTATTTATATAGCGCCAAATCACAAGAGTCGTCTCAAGGCACTTCACATAATAAACATTCCAATTCCTCTCGTCCTCTCCTGTAACCGGGATTCCAGGTCATCACCTTGGGCCTTCTTGGCAGGTGGCGAGATGGCACGTTATAACACTTGCTGGATTAATTGATTTATTGATCTAATTGAAATGTATTCTAAATATTAAAACTCCCATTGAACTATTAATTGTGTTTAAATGATTTACGTGGCTGTGTGTTATGTTTTTGTTGGTTTGTTTGTTTTTTAACATCCTGTCATTAGATTCATCCATGCATCAACAAACACTATTTTTACTAAGTTACACACTAAGTTGATTCAAATCACAGGTCCTTTAGAGTTAATAACTCTAACTAACCTTGCCACCTTTCCTGTCTTGCTTTTGTGTTCCAAGACACTGTCCAACACTGGCAGGACAGTGACTACATAGTGGTTTACCACAGAGGTCGCTACTTCCGTCTCAGGGTGTACCAGGCGGGCAGACTTCTGTCTCCAAGAGAGATTGAGTTCCAAATTCAAAGGATCCTTGATGATACCACGCCTCCATCCCAAGGAGAGGCCAAACTTGGAGCCCTGACTGCTGGAGACAGGTGAGTTCATGAACCATTAACCTTTACATTTGGATTTGCAAATTGCAAACTGCTGTTTTGTTCTCAAAAAGGATTTCATGGGCGAAAGCCAGGGCCAAGTTCTTCAGCAGTGGAGTCAACAAGCGCTCTCTGGACTGCATTGAGAGGGCGGCTTTCTTTGTGACTCTAGATGACGAAGAGCACAGCATGATGGGAGAAGATTCAGCGGAGTGTTTGGATCGATATGCCAAGTCCTTGCTGCACGGAAAATGTTACGACAGGTACAGCCACAGCAGCCTGATGTGTTTGTGAACATGTTACCATGGCAACTAGGCAAACTGTTTTGTAGCTTTAAGGTATTTATCCTGGTTCCCACTCAGGTGGTTCGATAAGTCCTTCTCCGTAGTTTACTACAAGAATGGAAAGAGCGGTATAAACGCAGAGCACTCGTGGGCCGACGCTCCAGTAGTGGCTCATGTGTGGGAGGTAAGGAACACGTGTGAGAGATTTCAAAGGTCACACAGTGGCTCCAAGGTGATTCCATTGCTGTTGCTGTGTTTTTCCAGTACACACTTGCTGTTGACAGTTTCCAGCTCGGTTACAATGAGGAGGGTCACTGCAAAGGAGAAGTGGACTCATCACTTCCTCGACCACAGAAACTCAGCTGGGAGATTACCCCAGAAGTTAGTGATACGTCCACTCATATTCGTTTCCTTTTTCCTCTAAGAACAACTTTGGCTGTCCAGGAAGTCACTTTTATTTTTGTAATTTCCTAGTTGGGGTCAGATGTGAAACAGCTGATGCAGTGAAGGGTTTTCTCTCTACAAACAGGGTATCAGCAGATCTTTGAAAAGCCCTAAAGCACATTTTCCACAATTAAGGCCATAAAAATCCTTAAAAATTACAAGTCATTCTTGAATCCGTTCCAAAGGTTATACAAACACCACAGACCCAATAACCAAGACTGCTGAACTTATTTTGGAATTAACAGTAAAGAATTTCATAAATTTGTAATTGTTTTGCATTTGTGCGTGTGAGACGGGCATGAGAGGAACCAACATTGGTGTGTGAGGAGAGCATTTTCAGGTACGCTCGTTAGCCACCTTAGGTATTGGGAGCGTTAGCCTTGGGTAAAGCCTATGTGTGCAACACTTCTCTGAGTTCATGGAATGCCAAAAAAAAAGTCCAATATTTGGCTGCATTTTATGACAGTAAACAGCCGCAGGGCTGAACATCTGCTAGCATATTGTTAGATTTGTGACGCTAAATATGGAAATACCAGAATTTAAATAAGCCCTCATGGCTTCAATATATGAGCTGAAGCACGCACAACTGCAACCAAAAAGCAGATCCGAGTCACTTTTGGCAACCCATTTTAACATTTAATCAACAACTGCAACTCTTTCTAATTTCTATTTTACATAGCAACTATATAATTATCCTAGTCCAATTGATCCTAGTCATGACCTTACTAGTCAGTAATGAAATAAATCTCAAGGTAACTAGGCCTAGCTATGGGGAGGTGCAAGTTTAGTGGTACTGCATTGTTTTTGGAAAATACACACACTTTCATTCTCTGCAGAGCAATTATCTATTGAAGGTTGGGACAGAACTTTTTGTCAGGTGGTCACGTCCCTTTTTCGTTCTGAGGACGTTAGGTTTTACGCTTGGACAAAGTGACCTTAAGTCTTAAATTTGGCCTCCGTTAACCTGCAGATACCCTCTTCAAAGAAATGTAGGTATGTGCTTCAGAAGGCGTGTTTGTGAGGATACGAGTGAATAAGAATGTATGAATAACACGTTAAAGGGTAAATTAGATGGTTAGTCTGATGAATCTCACCTGTGCCTGCTTCTGGACAACCTACAGCAACACCTCTGTTGTTATTTACAGACAGACAAATGTGACAGGTCAGTGAGTTTGTGTGGTTCCATTTTTAAAAGTAACGGTTGTGTTTCACTCCCGTTAACCGTCTGGATGCCCTTTTCTCAGTGTGAGGAGCAGATCTCCCAGTCTTTGGCAGTGGCCCAGGCTCTGGCTGATGACGTGGACTTCCATGTTTTCTCCTTCCGGGACTTCGGCAAAGGAAAGATCAAGAAGTGTCGAGTCAGTCCTGATGGTTTTATTCAGATGGCTCTTCAGCTGGCATACTACAGGGTGAGCCTCTGGCTGAGGAACAACAACCTCTTAATTTACTGTTGTAATTATCTGTGATCTGTAGTTATGCGTGCTTCACTCCAGAACCGAGGGACGTTCTGTCTGACGTATGAGGCGTCCATGACCCGTTTATTCAGGGAGGGCAGGACTGAGACTGTCCGGTCCTGTACCAACGAGAGCAGTGCCTTTGTCCAAGCACTAGAGGGTGGGGAGGTCAGTATGATAGTATTTACAGTAATACGATTCTCTGATTTTGTCTATCTTTGAATTTATCTCAGGTTTGTCCTTGACTCGTGTCATTCCAGCCGGCTGACGTGTGTCGGCGTTTGTTCCGTGCGGCGTCAGAAAAGCACCAGCATCTTTACCGGATGGCCATGACCGGAGGTGGGATTGACAGACACCTGTTTTGCCTCTATGTGGTTTCCAAATACCTCGGAGTGGACTCGCCCTTCCTGAATGAGGTTTTAGTTTTTTAATTACCTTTTAGTCGCGTTACGTTTTCTATCTAATTCTGTGAATCTGAAGCATGACTAAAGGGTCAGACTGATGTGGTGATGCGCGTGTTTCAGGTGCTGTCTGAGCCGTGGAGGCTGTCCACGAGTCAGACTCCTGTCCAGCAGGTGGAGCTGTTTGACATGGTTAACCACTCAGAGTACATCTCCTGTGGAGGTGGCTTTGGACCAGTCAGTACCTCCCTCACGCTTCCAAACCCAAATGCATTTGAAACGTAGCAACAACTGAGCAGAACGTTCCGTGTCTCTTCAGGTGGCTGACGATGGTTATGGGGTGTCCTACATGTTTCTGGGAGAGAACATCATAAACCTGCACATCTCCTGTAAACACTCGTGTCCTGAAACTGTGAGTTTAATCATGGTTTTTGTTCTTTACTGCAGATTTATTTAGAGTTTCATCCTGATTTATCAGCAACGATCGGTGCGTCTCCTTTTCAGGATGCTCACAAGTTTGGTGGCCAGATCAGAAAGGCTCTGCATGATCTGCTAAAGCTCCTGAGCCCCAACCTGAAGGAGTCCAACAAAACGGACGAGGGTCGGCCCGAGGTCAAGAAAGACAAGTAGAAACGTCGTCAGAGGGAAGGATACTAGAGAGAAAGTGAGACAGTTTTACCACGAAGAGAGAAAAGGTGGATATAGAAGTCACTTACAGTTAGATTCTGTTTAGGAGACGGACCCTTGGATGACACAAACAAGGTTGTGATTTGTAATGATGAGTCTTTTTGTGTCTATTAGATATACAGGGAGAGAACCGGTCAACAGAAGAACTAAAATAGTTTAGTTTTAAAGTCAAACAGTCTAAAAACGTATAACTTTATCAGCTACCTATATGATTGTTTTGTTGTCATGAAGAAAAGGCCAGTATATTTTGCACCACTCAGCATTAGAAAACCACTCCACAGCAGGGACTGGACTAAAGCAGATGCCTCAGCTTGTGCCACTAAGTTTCTGTCGTTAGATTTTTCCGTCGTGAGGTTCTAGAATGAAGTGGAAAGCAGCAGGACTGTGGAGGTAATTTACCTTTCTACCATCCGAGTGAAACATTAATGTAAACGACGGGGCAGGTGTTTAAACGTCTGGAAGTCTGGGACTTCTGTTTGGTAAATCACATTTTTACATACATGATTGTAATGCCGGTTTCCAGATGTGCTGAGATTATTTTCAATTCCATCCTTTTAACAAATTATATTCTCTGTCAGCTAATCTAAGAAAGAACTTTTGGTTTTAATAAGCTGATCAAAGCAAACTGCCATCCTTTGTTTTTAAATGTTTTTGTGTTGAACTTGTGCCCAACAATGCAAGCCTTATTAGTGAAACCACTGTGCAGCTCTTCAGTCAGCAGGGCTGCCGGGTAGAAGCCGTTACATTTGTTGCCAGTGACACCGAGTCCTGTTTCTGCCACTGATTATTACCTTTGGTTTGTTTTCACTACAGAACAAATCACATTCTTTTATTTTACAACTGCCATTGTAATGTTTTTGATGAAATATGAAAAGGGAACATAAAGATATTCTTAAGAAAAAGAAATGCTTGTGTGGTTTTTATGATTTACGTTTAAAGGCAGCGTGTGTGGTGCATTACCACACACGCTGAGATAAACAAACCTAACTCAAGGGATGGACCAGTATGGAGAATCTACACCAAACCAACCCAGATATGTTCTCGTCTCCACCTGGAGCTTAATGCTGATGCAGGTGAGATCAGGATTCGGGGTCTGAGGACGTCCTTTATTCAAGCAGCAAAACCAGAAATGTAACATGTCTGAACTCACTAAACACTAGCTACAACACATCTTTTATGTGGGCGTTTTTACTTCCTGATTCATAATTATCAAGGTAATCACAAATTATATTTGTGTTTAAATGTTATGTGAACAACTGAAACCAGAATCATTCATTTGTAAAGTAAACCTCAAACTGAAACGGTTTAAATCACGACACCCAGAGGTTCTGATGATTGTTCTATTGTCTCTCTTTTAAGGGATTTCAAATGAAAATGACATTTTAAAACATCCCGAAGGACTTTCTAAGCATGACCCGGTGGTCAACTATGAGAAGAAAGTTCTAAAACTTAATGTGACTCGTTACCTCCACCATCACCTCGGTCCCCTGGGTATAAAGCATCCCTCGTGAGCATCCTGGTACCAGACACCCATAGGACGCCCTCGTGTTATAGCACCAGCTGTCGTGTCTTAATTCAGCAGTGAGGTCAGTTCCAAAGCCTCCCCTCATTATCTGTCCTCCCCGAGTTCAGCTCATGACTCCCAAAGCCACTGATCCACATCCAATCCCTGTCCATCTTCTCTAAACCACGGCCTGCACACACACACACACACACTATTGATCTAACTTTGGGAGGACAAACATTAGTCAGACTAACTTTACGTCTTAATTAACTCTAGCTCTGCTAAAAGCCTCAACATCACAGATGATTTGACCAGATCTGTGTGCAGCAAAACAGCTAACAGCCTAGTTAAAGCGTCTTCGCTCTCTGGCCGCTGCTCTTCCTCATTGTCGGTGAACATCATCAGCAGTCCAGGTACGCTCCTTCATTTCTTCCACCTAAGCTAAAGGTAGCTCCTCTTCTAGTGTGGAAATATTTGAAATAAGCACAACGTAATTGGTAATTATATGTTGGAGCCACTAATGCATACAAAGTAAAAGGCACTTACATGCATGTTACTATTACTAAGAAAAAAACTACAAAGAACTTTGAAATTCGCTTACTGAACTTGTATTTCTGAGTTGTATATACTTACGCTGTAGTAAACAGCAAATTTCTAAGTACTTTGTACTTTTTTGTCCTTTTCAGTTTGCATGTTTTTCAAGTAAGGTTAACCAATCAGATTTTACAGTGTAGTTATTTTTTTTTATCATGCTGTACAGTCAGTAAGCTAAGAAACACTTCATGGTTATGCATGGAGGAACAAGAACACAACATTCCAAGAAAAACACCTGCTACACAGTAAAACATGGTGGTGGTTTCATCATGCTGTGGGGCTGTGGTCAGTGCGGGGACTGGGAATCTTGTTAAAGCTGAGGGACGCATGGATTCCTCTCAATATCAGCGTGTTCTGGAGACCAGTGTCCAGGAATCAGTGACAAAGCTGAAGCTGTACCAGGATGGATCTGTCACCAAGACAACGACCCTAAACACTACTCAACATCTAAGACCTTCATGCAGAGGAAGTAGAACATTCTGGAATGGCCATCTCAGTCCCCAGACCTGAATATTGTTGAGAGAGCTGTCCATGCTCAGAAGTCATCAAACCTGAATGAACTAGAGATGTTTAAGAAGAATGGTCCAAAATACCTTCAGCCAGAATCCAGACTCTCATTGGAAACTATAGGAAACATTTAGAGGCTGTTATTTATGCAAAAGGAGGATCTACTAAATTTTGAGTTATTTCTCTTTTATGGTGCCCAAATTTGTGCACCTGCTTAATTTTGTTGAAACAATTAATGCACATTTTCTGTAAATCCTATAAACTTTGTTTCACTTCTCAAACATCACTGTGTGTGTCTCCTATGATATGTTTAACTGAATTTTTTAAGATCTCAACAACCAGTGATTTACACAGGAAAATTATGAAGATTAACATGACGAACAAACTTTCACATCCCACTGTAGGATGGTTTGCCAGGTCAAATAAAATTCCGTTCTGACTGAAATACAAACAGCTTGTGACCTAATAGCTTTTATCTCATATAATTGTTGAGATTTCCCCTAAACAATCCTGCACATTGAAGCCATACTAAACATCAAACCAAGCAATAATTGAATCAATGTTGATAACATTTTGAAAACAGTTTAAAAATGCCACCCTGCTGGTTTAGCCATTGGTGAAGCAATATGATAAATTCCTCCTGGGATCCTTCGTTCACCTGTTTATTCAGATCCACACACTCTGAGATCTGGGCTGAAGGGGTCTACAGACTCAGGCAGCCTAAGTGTCTGATTTTTAGGGTAAATACACCCATAAATCAGCAGTCTTATCTGAATAATTCTCTCCAAAATCATTTCCCTCCCCATCAGAAAGTTAAATCACACATTTATTGTCTTTTCAGTAAAGTGAGACAGAAAATAGACGAGGTTCTAAAAGAGCGTTTGGCTGATGTTAATAGCAGCAGCCTGCTTAACGTCTTCGTCCTCAGTTCTCCTCTGGAAATCAGATTAAACATGAAGGATGGGACAGCTGCTCCCTGGCGTGCTTGTATGGTAACAGGAGGATGTGTTTGGCCTCAGCTATTCAAAGCTCTTTAACAACAAAAGGCATTTCTATTGTTTTCTTCTGTCATCAGACTATCGTTAGTCAGCTGTGTTATTGGGGTTTAATGAAAGCACCATCAGGCTACAGTGAATAATGTGTCTTTTCCTCCCACGAAACGTGCAGCTCTGTAACCAATACAGCGTCTGAGCCAATATTTGTCCAAATTTCTACAAAATTACTTATGTATAAAATACACTGCCTGGCCCAAATAAAAGATCACACACTAATAATTCATTGGACCACCTTTAACAGTGATTACGGCACATATTCGCTGTGGCGTTGTTTCTATAAGTTTCTGCAATGTCACGAGATTTATTTTCTTACAGTGTTGCATTAATGTTTCACCAAGATCTTGCACTGATGATGGTAGAGTCGGACCGCTGCACAGAGCCAGTGTATTTCTCCATCACTTGTTCTTGCTTGAGTGTTCAAAGATGTAAAAATAATTGTGTTTAAAATACCAAAATCAGACCAAATTAGACATTTTTTTAGCACGAGATCCCGTAAAAGCATTTCTTGTATTTTGTATCAAGATCTTTATATATTTTTTGTACCTCTTAGAACAAAAAAGAGATTTTAAGCTCATAATTGTCTGCAAATGAAAGAAAATAAACTCCTGTTTGCCTTTATTCTGTCCTGTTTGATTCTATTTTGCTTTATCTAACCAATCAAACTACAAATACAAGAAAAATCCTGCATTTCTTGTATTATTAGTGTCATAAATGTGTTTTTTTTCTGTTTAGTGTCACCATGTCTTTTACAGATCAACATGGGTGAGTAACTATAATCTAAATTTAAACAATTTACATGCAAAAAATCTATCTTATTGGATTAATCATTGCTGTTTTTTGTTGTTTAGAGAGCATCGTGAAGGTAAGAGTATTTAAGAATTAAGAATTGAAGCTTATGTTTCAGCTCCATCTCTTTGCCCTTGTGTTTTTCAGCAGATGACGATGAGGAGCAGAGTGAAGGAGGTGAGTCTGCTGCTGTGTGAGGATTATATCAAACAGGGCTGCACAATATATCGCAAATATATCGTTATCACGATATCAGCATACGCAATATGCATATCGCAAAGAACCGTTAAATATCGCAATGAATGGTCAGCTCAAATGTTTGCTACACATAATGCATTCTGTCTATCAAACGGAAGCATGAGGTTTTTTAACAAATCACATGGAGCTCTTCACCCATTTGGCCAATTGGGTGGGTTCTCATTGGTTAGATGGCCGCCCCCGAGGCGGACGGCATTTCATTTAGATGGTTAGCAAACACCTGAGTTAGCTTTGTTCTGCTCTTTCTGTTGATTCTGCTTTTCCCAGTATCCACTAATTGCCTTTTCTTGTTCATTTTCTCTTTCCCTTTTCTCACATCTTTTGCTTTTCTCATTTTTATGATTTTTTAGTCATTTTTTTTACTTCTTTGTTTTTGATAATTTTTTTCTGAGTTAAGTTTTTATTTATCGCAAGTAATATCATCATGGCAATATTAATCACCGTTATCGACTATTTCAGGTTTGCCTAATATCATGCGGCCCTAATATCAAAGCTGTTCTGCCGCTTTTGTCTCAACTTCTGACATTTTTCTTTGTTTTTCTCTATGTCCAAGAACGCCCCAAATACAGGTGAGAATTTTGGGAATGGAGGAAATAAGTCAAATTTACAAGTTGGCTACCGAAGTGCAGAGGTGAGACCAACCAAGTCACTGCTTTTCAAGTCACAAGTAAGTCACAAATCTTTCCAGTCATGTCCAAGTCAAAGAAAATCAAGTCCAAGTCGAGTCCAAAGTAAGTGATGTGGAAGTCCAAGTCCTTAACTTTGATTTTTCTAGTCATAATCAAGTCATCTGTCCAACTTCAGTTTAATGACAATGATAATAAATAAATTCCAGAAATAAAGCTTCTTAAAGCTTTCTTTATTTGCTGAAACAAGCAGGAAGTGCAGCTGAAACTGGTCGTAAACAAAGTGCTGCTGCATTTAGCAGAACAAGATCTAACCCACAACGAAGAATGGTTCATGATTTCTGTCCATGTCGTGTCACTTTTGAGCTAAAATATCAAATATGCTGAAGTCATCATCAAGTCAACAGATCCAAGTCGATTCAAGTCGCAAGTCATTGGCGTTCAAGTCCGAGTCAAGTCGTAAGTCTTTATAGATTTCAAGTCAGAAGTCATTAAAATAATGACTCGAATCTAAGTCGTGTGACTTGAGTCCAAGTTATGTGACTCGAGTCCACACCTCTGCCTAAGAGTCATCTCTTGGGGGTAATGATGATGGAACTCACGTAAAGCCTTTACAAACCAAAGTGTCCAGAAATGTGGCTGTTTCATACTGCAGCATGTCGCTTCAGACACTTTACTGTTGAATAACATTTCCATGTGTAAGCTACTGTCCGGATATTTGGGGAAACAAAAGTATAATTTATCCTCTTCATTCTGCAAAAAAAGAAGAAGAAAAAAAGCAGTGAGGGTCAGTAAGGTCATTCACCAAGCTGTGGAATAAATTAAAAATGGAGCTGAAGGAATGTTCATCAATGTGCTCTAAAAGAAATGTAAAAGAACATATTCAGAACAGTTTTGTGAAGTTTACTGAGCATGAGTGTGTTTGTGTGTGTGAACATTTTGGTGTATTTATGATATAATTAAATCATTGACTCGAGTACAAATATGAGTATAAAATTAAAGTAATGAGAGTGGACAAAAGTTTGGGAGAAGGGATATAATTAGTTACATTTGTACTTCTTCCCATCTCTGTTTGGATATGATTGAATTCATGTAATTATTTGCTGCTTATATAATTGTTTTTCATTGCTTTTCTGTTATTTCTGTATTATTGTTATTGATTCATTTGCCAGACAGATGGAGCTTGAGATCGATAGGTGGGTCGGTGCTGCGTCTGCAGTGATGCAAGAGCTGAGCCGGACGGCGAAGCTCTCGATTTCCATTTTTGGTTCTTTTTAAAACACGGGAAAGGTTTTTCTTTACCTTGCTGACGTACGTTTCGTTTGCTGACTGCAAAACATCCTCAGAGCTGACGCTGATTGTGGCGTCACTTCCTACTCCGTTTATCCGCTCTGGACTTACCGGTCGATCTACGTTCCTACCCTCACCGATGGTCACGAGCGTTGGGTCGAAATGAGTTTTCTCTGCAGGGTGGCTGGGCTCTCCCTTAGAGATAGAGTGAGAAACTCGGCCATCTGGGAGGGGCTCGGTGTAGACCCGCTGCTCCTCCACATGGAGCCAGAGGAGCCAGTTGAGGTGGCTTGGGCATCTAGTTGATGCCTCCTGATCGTTTACCTGGTGAGGTTTTTGAGGCACGTCCAACCAGGAGGAGACCTGAAGGAAGACCCAGGACACGCTGGAGGGACTATGTCTCACGGCTGGCCAGGGAACGCCTTAGGGTTCCCCCGGAGGAGCTGGCCCAAGTGGATGGGGTGAGGGAAGTCTGGGCCTCTCTGCTTAGGCTGCTGCCCCCATGACCCAACCCCGGATAAGCGGATGAAATTGGATGGATGTGTATATTTAAAATAAATGTACTAATTTCAGTAAAATATGTGGTCAAACGAGATAAAAAAATAAAACCTGTGATTTTAATTCTGTTAGGTTTTTGTTTTTGTCCTTTAGGCCGATGGTCACTCAGCTCGCTCCACCAAAAATCCCAGAGGGGGAGAGGGTGGATTTTGATGTGAGTTCCTTCAACAGTAAAACCAAAACTATTAATAAGTTGTTCTAGATCAGTAAATCTCCCTGTGTGCTGCCAGGACATCCACAGGAAAAGAATGGAGAAGGATCTCCTGGAGCTTCAGACGCTGATCGATGTCCACTTTGAGCAGAGGAAGAAAGAGGAAGAGGAGCTGATCGGACTCAAAGAGAGAATTGTGATCAATTTTTCAAGCATTTGCCTTCATTTTCTCCTCTGAAAACCTACAGCAACCCTTCTGATCAACAACATAAAGGTTCTGCTCTTTTGTAATCATTTAGGAGAGAAGGCGAGCAGAGAGAGCTGAGCAGCAGCGTGTGAGGGCTGAGAAAGAGCGGGACAGACAGACACGCATTGCAGTAACTGATTATTTGATTACATGCATTATTTGATATTAAACTTTTGTTTGTTTTTCAATGTGTAGTCATGCTTTTTTCAGGAGGAGAGACAGAGAAAAGAGGAAGAAGAAGCCAAGAAGAGGGCAGAAGATGAGGCCAAGAAGAAGAAGGTTCTCTCCAACATGGGGGCTCATTTTGGAGGATTTCTAGCAAAGGCAGGTGTAGTTTATCAGCAGGTGGATTTAAAATGATAGACATAGCTTGATCTGATGGTGGAAGTACTTTGTTTTTTGCAGGAAGAACAAAGACGAGGCAAAAGGCAAACGGCGAGGGAGATCAAAAAGAAAACTCTGGGAGAACGAAGAAAACCCCTGGGGATTGAGAACCTGAGGGAGGACAGCCTGAGGTCAGTGAAGGTCTCACAAAAGGTTGATGTGTTCAGGGAGTGTCATTTAAACGTGATGTTTTCCAGAGAGAAAGCCAAAGAAATGTGGGAGTGGATCTACCAACTAGAGTCTGAGAAGTTTGACCTGACCGAGAAGATGAAGAAGCAGAAATATGAGGTAGCTGAGAATGCGCAAAGTTCAGGTCCTAAAAACTGCAACAACTCTGACACAAATTTCATGAACTATTTTTACAGATTAACGTTCTTCTCAACAGAATCCAACATGCGCAAAAATTGTGAGTCAATCCGCTTGTTAATGCTAATCCACAGCACAAATCCTAAAGCCCAGCTTGCAAAGCAGAGCCTGGTAAACCTTTGACTATGCAAACATAGCACAGATTAATGGCTGCAGCTTATAACGAGCTCGAGAAACCGTGCTTCATAGCAGACAGGATGAGATATTTACACAGCTATATGAAGCAGAAAGCAACAGTAGAATATCTCACTTTTAAATCCTGCTGAGAAATAATGATCAGTGCTCTGAAACGCTGCTAGTAACCTGGTCCGAATCTTCTCTTGCAGCAAAAAGGTCCACGGCAAAGGGAAGGTGGGAGGACGCTGGAAGTGACGATGTTTCTCAAGCTGCAGCAGTTTTGTGACATTCAGCTGTTTTATTTTGTTGTTTGCTTGATTTCTGAGTTACATTTGGATCTGAAGCTTTTAAAGTGCATGCAAAAATAAAAGAACATTTACACTGGTGTTATTAAAATGCAATCAGATTTATTGCTGTTTCATTAGATGTTTTTTTCTACTGAAAAAAGAAACAGAACATATGCAGGATCCAGATTTATTATCCTATCACTGTCTGTCCTCCTGCTAGTGCAAATCTTCCAGAAATGGGTCATGTGATGCAAAATCACTAAATCTGACATTTACTTGCATCAGGATCAGAATAAACACTTGTAGTGGAAAACATTTTTACATCTTCAGTTTGAAAACCGCATGGACGTCATCACTGCGTCCCTGGTTCCACGGTTCAAATCCCGCCTCCAGAGCCATGGCTGCCACCTTCTCTGCAAAACCCACCTCTTGCTCTTTGCTTAGATCCAAAATGTACCTAACACACACACGCACACACACACACACACACACACACGTGCGCGCACACACACACACACACACACACACACACACACACACACACACACACACACACACACACACACACACACGTGCAGGTAAATCTGGGAAGCTATGTAAACATTAAATGCACAAATACACAGAATCCAACTGTATCGCTGGTGACCATACAGTCGCCATGGTAACAAGCTACGTTACTACAAACCCCCCTTACTTGGCCAACTCGATGACGAGAACAGTGTCTGGTGCTGCAATCTGCCTGATCACAGGATCCAGCTGGTGCACACAGCTCCACGGAAGACAGGGAAACAGAAATGAAACACACTCAGCTTCTCTAGAGGGAAAAATCCATTTCATGTGTGGATTTTTTAAATTTAGGCAAGTGCTAGTGGATCATACCTGGCAGAAAAATAAATGCTGTTGAAGTAACGGGAGTATTTCTGTTTCTCTGGTAGTTTATGAAGGGAATCCAAAGGAAGGAACGTTACAGAGACTCCATTCAGCCGCATCAAGTCTGGAAGAGACAGTTCAGTTAAAAATTAGGAAAGGATGGCGTCATTAATAAATAATAACATTATGAGTGATCTCACTTTATCAAAAGATCTTGTGTGATGTTAGCCATCAAAGTCTGTGACTCTTAGCTATTAACACCATTTCTGTGTTGATGTTGCTTAGCTGAACGGGGTTGACTCCAATCTTTTACATTTGCACAGATTATAGATGTTTTCTGGCTTCATGCGGATGAGGATGTCTCATAGTCTGACTGTTTTCTTACAATTGAGTTTCCTCTTAAATCAGTATTTTATCACACAAAACCTGATTCAGCAAGTCCCTTTTAGACCACATCAGCCTTTGCAGATGCACTCAGTGCAGTTTGATCCGTATTTTCCCGTGTGTTGTTTTCTTTTATACGACTATCTTTGAAGGCCTTTTACCATGAACACTGACAGGTTTCTGCTCAGTCCGTGCTGTTTCTGCCTCTGAGTCTGACTGAGGAGTAGTCAGGCAGCTCCGTCTGCTGGACAGGGACTGGAACAATCTCTGGGTGTTTGCAAAGGAGATGTCCTGGGCTGTCTGGGGATGAGGAGAAGAATAACTTCAGCTGCATGTTTATACAAAACATCAACATGAATCGTAGTCTCTCATTTCATTCATTCTTATTTTACCTTGATGTATTGCCCGTTACATGTCTTCAGCAGACTCTCGTCATCGCTTTCGATGCCAAAAGAGAGATAAGGACTGGAAACGATGTCTCCCCAGTAGCCTCTAATGGACACTTTGTCTCCCCTCTGTGGAGGAACAGGAAGTTCCCTTGCATCATTTCATTTCTTTACAGTGCAGCAAAACAGATAATCCTGTACCTGATTAAATGCTCTTGACGAGAGCAAAGTTGGATTGGTTATCTGGTAGGCACCTTCCCTCATTTCAAACGCCAGTCCCTGCTCTCTCCATCTCATATATTGCTGTTTGTTGATGACGCCACACTGTATGCATGTAATAACTTTTAATCTGTCTGTTATCTGTAACTGTCAACAAATTAGCAAAGTAAGTGTTTTGACCAAAAAACAACAGATACCCCCTTGGTATGCAGCTTCATTGTGAGGTCCCAGTCATAACAACCCTTCCTGGAGTCGTAACGAGTACCGAGATGCTGCCTGACTCGATAATCCCAGGCTGCAGACATCCTGATAGGAGCAGGATGCTCAGATGAAGTCTGGGCCCACAGCTTAAATATTCGACATAATTCATCTCGATCCTTAAACTGCACAAATGAAGGAAAACCAGGAATGAGAGAATTTGAACATTAACTTTGGTGGAGCTAAAGTTTAAAACCGATTGTTTCACCTTAAGAAGGGTCGTATCCAGACAGGGGTTTGCTGCCTCCTCCAGTGTTTCAGTAACAGACACGGAGAGCTGTGATGCAGCTCGCTGCAAGTTCTCAAATGTCTGACTGCGGATTTCACCGTTTCCAAAAAGCTCCAGGAAAACCTCGGTCTTCTCTAAAACACAAACACAGACAAATAAAAAAAAAACCTTTTCAAAAATGTACTAATTATCAAACTCATATACGTACCATTCATTCCCATGACCTCCTGGGGTATAAGTGCTACATAGAGGAGCAGCAGTTGCCTGGCCACCACCTCCATGCTGTTCTCTATCACATACACCTGCAGAGCAGCAGGACAGAGACGATTAAGGTTCTGTGTCTAATTCTTAGTTAGACAGATTTGTTTATGAGCGTCAGCCTCACATGAAGACCTTGCTCATCTTGTAAACCAGCAATGGTCTTTAACATATGCCTTGGATCTGCACTGCCGACCAGTAAAACGTTGGCTTCCTCTTCAGACTGGTCAGGACCTTACAGGCAGAGAAGAAGTGGTTCCTACACATGACAGTTTACTTCATTCAATTCAGTTTATTTATATAAATCACAATAAGAGATGTCTCAAGGCACAACACAAAGTAAACATTCCAGTATAGTTTACTTCATGCTAATTAGTAAAAAGTTTCCTATATAATATTGAATAAATATTTGAGTCTTAAAAGCTGGTTTTAGGTCCAGGGGACATTTCAGGCCTTTACTTGTGTCTTTAAAGTGACAATGTGTCATTTTTAATGTTAATCTCTGGAAATATCCATTAAAATATTGTTGAAAATGAATAAAATGATCACCAGTTGTTGAAAAATATTGGCGACTTCTTAACATATAACCATAAAATCGGGTCTAAAATACATGAACGGGTCTAAGGCCCAATCCCAATGCTCGCACTGCGCCCTACGGTCTTCTGCAAAGTGCACTTGGAGGAAGTGCACAGTTAGTCTACATGTGCGTGGTACTCAAGTGTGCAAATAACTACCAAAATGAGATGGGAAGTATTGCGTCATCGACCGCAACGCATGCCAGGATGCTGGTCACTGTGCTCTCTCTCTCTCTCTCTCTCTCTCTCTCTCTCTCTCTCTCTCTCTCTCTCTCTCTCTCTCTCTCTCTCTCTCTCTCTCTCTCTCTCTCTCTCTCTCTCTCTCTCTCTCTCTCTCTCTCTCTCTCTCTCTCTCTCTCTCTCTCTCTCTCTCTCTCTCTCTCTCTCTATATATATATATATATATATATGTATTTTTTTAAAACCTTTATCAATAACTTTCAAACAAACAACCAATTACTTGAAATACATTTAAATTCATTGCTTCTTTGTCTAAAACATTCAGAACATCAATTTACCATCCTAAAATAGACTATATTCAATTGAAAATGCGTATTAGAAAAGGCATCGATAGCCTAAGTCGAGAGGCCCAGACTTCACTCTCCCCAGCCAAGTGGGCCAGCTCCTCCGGGGAAATCCCAAGGCGTTCCCTGGCCAGGTGAGAGACATAGTCTCTCCGCCGTGTCCTGGGTCTGCCTTTAGGTCTCCTCCCGGTTGGACATGCCCGGAAAACCTCATCAGGGAGGCATCCAGGAGGCATCCTGACCAGATGTTCCTGCCACCTTAACTGGCTCCTCTCGATGTGGAGGAGCAGTGGGTCTACTCCGAGCCCCTAGCAAATGACCGAGCTTCTCACCCTATCTCTAAGGGAGAGCCCAGCCACTCTTCGGAGAAAACTCATTTCGGCCGCTTGTATCCGCAATCTCGTTTTTTCAGTCACTACCCAAAGCTCATGACCATAGGTGAGGGTAGGAACATAGATCGACCGGTAAATCGAGAGCTTCGCCTTCTGACTCAGCTCTCTCTTCACCACAACAGACCGGTACAATGCCTGCATCACTGCAGACGCAGCACCAATCCGCCTATCGATCTCACGCTCCAGTTTTCCCTCACTCGTGAACAAGACCCCGAGATACTTAAACTCCTCCACTTGGGGCAGGACCTCATCTCTGACCCGGAGAAGGCATTCTACAATTTTCTGAATCAAGACCATGGTCTCAGATTTAGAGGAGCTGATTCTCATCCCAGCTGCTTCACACTCGGCTGCGAACCGCTCCAGCGAAAGTTGAAGATCATGTTCTGATGAAGCCAACAGGACCACATCATCTGCAAAAAGCAGAGACCTGATCCTCAGGCCACCAAAACGGATGCCCTCCACACCTTCGTTGCACCTAGAAATCCTGTCCATAAAGGTAATGAACAGTACCGGTGACAAAGGGCAGCCTTGGCGGAGTCCAACTCTCACTGGGAACGAGCCCGACTTACTGCTGGCAATGCGGACCAAGCTCTGACACCGGTCATACAGGGACCTAACAGCTCGTATCAGAAGGCCTGGTACCCCATACTCCCGGAGTAACCCCCACAGGGCCCCCAGAGGGACATGGTCAAACGCCTTCTCCAAATCCACAAAACACATGTAGACTGGTTGGGCAAATTCCCACGCACCCTCCAGAGCTGGTCCAGTGTTTCACGGCCAGGACGAAAACCACACTGCTCCTCCTGAATCCGAGGTTCAACAATCCGATGGACCCTCCTCTCCAGAACCCCTGAATAGACCTTACTAGGAAGGCTCAGGAGTGTGATCCACCTGTAGTTGGAACACACCCTGCGGTCCCCCATTTTAAATAAGGGGACCACCACCCCGGTCTGCCAGTCCAGTGGGGCTGCCCCCGATGTCCACGCGATGTTGCAGAGCCGCGTCAGCCAACATAGCCCCACAACATCCAGAGCCTTAAGGAACTCCGGGCGGATCTATCCACCCCTGGAGCATTGCCACAGTGGAGCTTTTTAACCACCTCAGTGACCTCAGCACCAGAGATTTGAGAGGCCAACCCAAAGTCCCCAGACTCTGCTTCCTCACTGGAAGACATGTCAGTGGGATTGAGGAGGTCTTCGAAGTATTCTGCCCACTGATCCACAACGTCCTGAGTAGAGGTCAGCAGCACACCGTCCCCACTATAGATAGTGTTGGTAGTGCACTGCCCCCCCCCCCCCCCCCCCCCCCCCCCCAGAGGCGCCGGATGGTGAACCAGAATCTCCTCAAAGCCATACGGAAGTCTTGCTCCATGGTCTCACCGAACTCCTCCCATGCCCGGGTTTTTGCCTCGGCGACCACTCGAGCCGCGTTCCGCTTGGACTGCCGGTACCCGTCAGCTGCCTCTGGAGTCCCACAGGCCAAAAAGACCTGATAGGACTCTTTAGGGCCATTCCCATCTGTACCGGGTCGGTCTGGGCCGGGTAGCGTAGGTTGTTTACATATTTGGGTGGCCTGGTATTTTTCCGGGCCAACCAAGGCTCATTCTCAGCCCTCTTCTCGAGGAGGTCTGCTTCAGGCCGACCAGGGCCAACACACCCACTGCTGACAGCAAATTCACACCTTCCATTAGAGCAAGCCTCTGATTGGTGGGTAGAATCAGCCCACATGGGCTTAAGGCAAGGCTGTGTGGAATCAACCGGGCCAGGCTGGGGCCGACTGGGGCTACCCGGCCCGGGCTGACCCGGTACAGATGGGAATGGCCCATTTCTTCAGCTTGACAGCATCCCTAACCACCGGTATCCACTAGCGGGTTCGGAGGTTGCCACCACGACAGGCACTAACGATCCTGCGACCACAGCTCCGGTCGGCCGCTTTAACAATGGAGGCACGGAACAGGGTCCATTCAGACTCAATGTCCCCCGCCTCCCCTGGCACATTTTGGAACTTCTGTCGGAGGTGGGAATTGAAGCTCCTTCTGACAGGAGACTCTGCCAGATGTTCCCAGCAGACCCTCGCGATACATTTGGGCCTGCCTGGTCTGACGGGCATCCTCCCCCAACGTCTGAACCAACTCACCACCAGTGGTCAGTTGACAGCTCTGCCCCCTCTTCACCCGAGTGTCCAAGACATGCGGCCACAGGTTAGATGAAACAACAAAGTCGATCATCGAGCTGTGGCCTAAGGTATCCTGGTGCCAAGAGCACATATGGACACCTTTATGTCTGAACATGGTGTTCGTTGTGGACAATCCATGACTGGCACTGAAGTCCAATAACAAAACACCACTCGAATTCAGATCGGCGGGCCGTTCCTCCCAAACACACCTCTCCAGGTCTCACTGTCATTGCCCACGTGAGCGTTAAATTCCCCCAGCAGAACGAGGGAGTCACCGGAAGGAGTGCTTTCCAGCATCCCCTCCAAGGCCTCTCCCTGGGCTAAGAAAGAAAACTATCTTTTATATAGCACCTCTCAAGATAAAATCACGAGGCACTTCACAAAAACAAAAAAATAAATTCAAGTATGAAAAATGTTTCAAAAAATTATTGAAAATATGTTTTAAATGAGAAAAAAAATTGTGATTAAAAAAATTTAATGAAATGGAGAGAGAAAATTAATAGGAGAGAGGGTGATGAAGGTCACACCAAAACCAGCTTGAACAGGTGAGTTTTCAACTGCCTTTTAAAGGAGACCACTGAGTCCACTGATCTCAGGCTCAGGGGGAGAGAGTTCCAGAGTCTGGGGGCCACAGCAGCAAATGATCTGTCACCTTTGGTCTTTAGCCTGGTGCTGCACAACCAGTAGGCTTTGATCACTGGACCTCGGGGACCTGCTGGGGGTGTAGGGACTAAGAAGATCACCAATGTAAGATGGTGCTTGTCCATGTAAGGCCCCATGGACCAGAACCAGGATCTTGAAATGAACCCTGAAGTTGACTGGCAGCCAATGAAGCTGGAGGAGAAGCGTGGTGATGTGGGTGTGTTTGGAGGACTTGGTCAGAAGCCGAGCACAGGCATTCTATCCCCCTGTGTACGGTTCAGGGAGGTTTAGCTCAGACACGTGAAAAGAGAGTTGCAGTAGTTTAAGCATGAGGAGATGAAGGTGTGGACAACACTCTCAAGTTCAGAGCGGGACAGAATGGAACTCAGGTTTGCGATGTTCCTGAGATGGAAGAAGGAAGAGCGAACAAGAAAAGTGACATGTGTCATGGTCTGCGTTCTGCGTCTCCCTCGTGTGTCTCCTTGTGTTCTCCATCCCTCTCTAGGTTCCCCTTATGTGTCTCTGTGTGTTCCTCATGTGTCTCCTTGTGCCCACTCCAGGTTTTCCCCTTCTTTGGTTTCTGTGCCCCTTTAGGTCTCCAGCCCACTCCAGGTTTCCCTCAGGTTTCCCCCGTAGTGTTTTCTGATGCAGTAATCCCATCCCTGTATTTCTTCTGGTGTCTTGTTTTCAGGTTTTAAGAGTTCACTCATCTTTAGTTCTCTGTAGATTTATTTTACCTAGTCTGTTTTCCCCACTCAGTTAATTGGTCTCACCTGATCCCTTCTGATTACTCCCCAAACACCTGTCACCCGTCTCCCTGATTGTTTCCCTTTGTGTATAAAACCCTGTCTGCGTCTCAATATGTTGTCGGTACATTGTTTGTGTCAGTGTTGTTGAATTTTGGGTTTTCATGAGCTGTATGCCAAAATCATCAATATTAGAAACAATAAGAGGCTTGAACTTCTTCAGTTGTGTGTAATGAATCTAATATAAATGAAAGTCTAATGTTTATCAGTACATTACAGACAATAATGACCTTCATCACTTATTATAATTATTTTTTAAGGAGTAAAATTAAACATAATAAGCAACAAACACGACTGATGTGTTTAATGTCAAATTTGCTTGCTGGCATGTTATTTGGTTATTCTAGTTTCAGTAGTACTACAGAAACATTGTTTCCAAGTGATGAGCTTCAACAATACATATCTCTAGATGTGCACATTTGCCATCTATTTTTCAATAAATATTAAGTTTGGCCCGGGACTTAATCCCGGTTTTTCATTTCGGCCCAGCTTGAATTTGACACCTCTGCTCTTCGAGTTCAGCTTTTGAATTTGAACAGTAATTCATCCATCATGAGTAATGGCAGATGGCTGTGTATACTGAGCCAGGATCCTCTGGAGGTTTCTTCCTGTTAAAAGAGTTCTGTTCCCCACTGTCACTACATGCTTGCTTAATATGAGAATTGCTGTAGAGACTCTGACACAAGTCAGTGACTTGATGCAATCAGCAAGGTTTCTTTTATAGGGAACTTTTTACTGATTGGCAATGATTAACTGAACGCCACTGGAATGTTTACTTCGTGAAGTGACTTGAGACGCCTTTCGTCGTGATTTGGCGCAATAACTGAATTGAATTGAATCCATCATCGTGTAATCTCGTTAACTCTCGAACAATCTCGTTCCAGCGAGCAGCTCTCACCCATGCTGAGCAGATTTCGGGCAGGACTGAAGCCCCACCAAGGGACACAACCTGCCCCCTCAGACGCTCGTCCTGCGCTCATCCTGTCATGTGTCACCTGTAAGGAATAGAATTAAGACATTGCTGTGCTGCTGTGTCGTTTACGCTAAAACGAACAAGGAGTCTGTACCTTCCGGAGATGCAATCGAACAAGTTAGCTTAATGTTGTTTAGAAAACCAAAGACGATAAAGCTGATAAAATATGTCAGACTAAAGCGAGATATTACCCTTATGCCACTATCGTCATTAAAACATCATAGATAAAAGCTTACCTCGTTCGCAGCACAAAAAAAGTTGACGGAAAATTTCTGAGCCGAAAGTTTGAGTGAAGTTGCTTGGCAACGCTTTCAGTGCACCTTCGCCACCTATCGGTGATGTCGGGATTTACTCAGGGTCAACATGGACCAAAACAATAATTGTGGTACATTTAATAGTGAAAGAAATCAGGATGAGAATCCGTCCTTTTTATGTTTATTTGCATTTTTGAGACTTTCACAAAAGCACAACAAAATAAACAAAAAGCTCAGTGTACTTCACATCAAATTGGAGCCAACAGACAAATTACAGCAGATGAATGCTTTAAATTATTACTTTATACATAGGAGTCTATACCCAGATGATACACATGTACAAATGATTGTTATCATAGTGTAAAAATCCAGAGTAATACTAGTTTATAATGTGAGGTAAACAGGGGAAGCCAACACTATTAAAATTGAATGTAACAGGCACATAAACACAAATGTGAACTAGCGATGAAAAAACAAAACAAATGACTAAACTTCTTATGCCTGTACCAATGCTGAAATGACTTGGACTCACTATTAGTACAAAGATGCCTCTATTCATTGGGCATCACATACAACACCCAAACTGAGAAACTTACTCTGTCTTTAATTATATATTAGAACATCACAAAAACACCTTCACAGCAGCATATTGTTTCCCTCTGAGATCACGCTCTTAACGGGGTTTTGCTTTCAGAGCTGCGTCGACCTCTTCCTCTGGCATGAGCGTGTGCCACTGAGCGACTGGACGTCTAGGATTGGCCAGCATGTCAGACCAGTGACGCAGACCCACTCCTGTTGCTCCGTACCCCATAAATGTTTTCCCGATGGGATCGTTGCTCCCAAGTTTGTCATAGTCATACACCGTGATGACGACTTGTACTTTCTGAGGCACCAAAAACAAAAAAAGCTTCATGAAATGAGCCTTCTTCGTTTGAACGTGTCGAACATTCGACGAGGTCAAACCTACCTGTATTTGTTCAAAAGGGACTTCAAAGCTGAAGCTCTCATTAAAGTAAGGATTGAGCGTATTTTTCTTTACTGTTGTCTTCTTCTTCTTTATCCTCTTCCCGTTTTGTTGCAGAACAATTTTCACATATGGGTCTTGTAAAAGACAACAAGCATGGAAAAAATAGTTTTTCTTTGTTCCTCTTGTTTCTTTTGAATTAAGCAAACATGAGACAGGATAATATTAATATTCGGCAGGTGTTTGAATACCTGATAAGCCGCCAACGTCCATTTTCTTAAGATTTTTTGCTTCCATGATGTTAACTGTTAGTTTACCAGCTGTGGGTACATAGCGTAAGGAAATGCATACGTCCCCCAGTTTTTCCTGCAAGAAAAAAAACTTTGTGAAAATGTGTTTTTTACTTTAATATTCACGTACCATTCAGCTGTTTGGTAAGACAAAGCATTTTATATGGTAAATAGGATTTTTAAGTGCAAATACAATAATGTGGAAAATAAAGAGACTAAATGTGACCTCCTCCTTCTCGCTGCTCTCTAAGTCCCTCCACTGATGGATTGGCTGGCCCAAATCAACACTGTTCATGGGGATTTTTATGTCACCGATCATATCGTGCTTGGAGAAACGATCAAAGTCGAAAACCTGCAGCACCAACGTCTTCCCGCCCAACTCTGCATACGGAATCTAAAAACAAAGGTTATTGTGTCATTTGAATGGAAAATAGGACAAAAGTAGATGTTTTCGTTTAAGACCAGCAATACACGTTAAAGGTAGTGGGCCGAACAGCGTACCTTAAAAAAGAAGGTCTCGTTGAAAACAGGGCACAGGTTTTTGCGTTGAACCTTGGTCTCATACTTCTTCTTTTTGTCTGGTAACAGGAAAACTTTAACGTAGGGGTCCGAGGTTCCACCCATGTCCATAGCAGCGAGGTCCTGGGCCTGGAGGATGCCCACTATGAGCTTCAGGAGAAACAGAGAGAGCGTCGGATCATGGAGGTGGCAGGTGGGAGTTGTTTTCCTGCGTGTCTGTGGTTAAAGTCGTTGATGGAATTGATGTTTTCGTGCAGGTCTTACTTGTGAATCTGTGAAATTGTAGTCCAAGGAGAACTCCAGCCTACCCAGCTTCTCCTGTTCTTTCTCCTCCTGCTGCCCCTCCTTTTTCACCTCGCCCTCCTACAACATGGACCATCCTGTTTTAGAAGCTCACCATCAGGTAGAACTCTGAGGTACTAGCTCACCTTCTCTCCTGGCTCCCCTTCACCCTCTTTTTCTTTCCTGCGACGGCCTGCTTTTCTTTCTCTCACTTTTTTAGGCTTTTTCTGTTTCCCAAAACACTTCTTTAAAACACAGAAGATGAAGCACCCCACTAAAACCAGCACTACGACAACGATGGCTGCCACTGCCCACGTGGGAACTGCAAAAGAGAAATGACTCAATATATCTCACAAATACCTAGGAGTCAATTCAGAGAGGAATGGACTCAATATTTTTAAATTCACTTTAAAGTCTTACAATGTTTTATTTAGTGGCATATTTTATCATTACAGTCATTACTGTATTACTTTCAACTTTAAACCTTTAAGGCAGTCTCTTATCTCAGGACAGTTTGCTGAGCATGTCTGGTTTGTTGCCACCCATCTCCACAATCCGATAATAACAGTCTGACAGCTGGGAGTGGCCCAGTATGACCACAGCAGTAGAGGGCCATCATTAAGTGCTTCACCTCCGTTATTAGTGTGTTTCTGCAGACCTGATGGTTTTGTGTTGAGGTTGTTCTTACAAAGGTTGAGCTGTGAGTTTAAATCGTTAAAGGGATATTCCACCCCAAAGCAATTTAATTACTTGCCATATTCCCCAGAGTTCGATAAGTGGGGAAAAGCATTTTGTAACCAGCCCAGTCATTCTCCTAATCTGGTAGTATTCTGTTGGCTTTAGCTTAGCATAAACAATGTAAGTGAATGGTAATAACTAGCATTTCATACGAAAGTCAAGAAAATAATTCAACAATGATCCTAATTTTTCTTATATCAACTGCAAATTTAAAAAATAACAAAAACGTAGGGGCTGATTTTGACTTGGACCACATTATGACAAAACACCACTGTAATGTGCTCGACACACGGGAGGCGACATCGCCTCTCCTCCATTCATATTCAATGAGACGTGCGCGACAAAGAGATAATCGCAGGTCTCCTCCTACTAAGCGAAACGCGAAAAACATGCGTGTGAAATTTTGCGCTCGTGCGCGTGTCGTGCACAGGCGAACCAGCGACGCAATCGCAGAAAGTTGAAATATTTTCAACTTTTCATCGCTGTCGCTCGGACGAGGACCAATCAACGGAGGTTTCATTCACTGACCAATGAGCGGGCAGGATGCTCCATACATCTCCGAGCAAACATGGAGGAGAAGTTGATTATTATTATGTTTTATATAGTAAAATCAGAAGTATTTAGAATAAGATTTCACATAACTCTAGCAGCACCTTGTTAAACATCCTATCTACCACTTTTTAAACTCTGAACCACTTAAATAACCTTAATTCCCTCCAACCTGACGCAGCCAAACAAAACAACGGAAGTTTCGATTTCTCCATGGAACAGAACGCGTAGACGGCTTTGCCGCTGCCGTGGGTCGCTTCCCGTGTGTCAGGTAATAAAAGCGACAGCAACGAATTTCGCTGATCGCGGTCGTTTGTCGCCTCCCGTGTGTCGAGCCCCTAAACCGTTTCTGCAAGGCCCAAGGATGAAACAGCGGCGGTAAAACTCACCGTTTACTGTCATTAGGGTGAAATGTTGCAAATGTTGTACAGTAAACTTGGAAGTGACAATGTCTGCCAGACGTCACGCCGCTGTGTCTTGTCCTTGTGCCTTGCAGCAGCGGCTTACAGCGGTGCTAGTTGTTACCATTCACTTACATTGTTTATGCTAAGCTAAAGCTAATACTGCAAGATTAGGAGAAAGACTGGGCTGGTTACAAAATGCTTTTCCCCACTTATCTAACTCTCGGGAATATGGCCACAGACTCATTATGGGATGGAATATCCCTTTAATGAATTTCACCAAAAACAAATGTACCTTTTGTTGATGAATATGTCATTTATTTCTAAAGGGTTCGCTCGGTCATATTCTGCAAGTCTTACTTGGTAGGTGAGTCAGTTCATTCATGAACTTCTCCTTCATGTGGTCGTAGTCGTGGCCTGGGTGATGTTCTGTGTGTGTGTGCTCATGCTCATGAGGATGTTCTGGATGGTTGTGCTCCTGGTGGGTGTGCTCGTGATGAGGTGACTCCGTGGTTTCTTCGGATTCTGGTTCGGACGGCTCGGCGGCCCTTCGAACCCGAACCCCGCCGCTGACGAGCCTCATGTCAGCTGTGAAAGCATTAGAACGAGTGTGTTAATGTCTAGTTGGCTCGTTCAGCTGGTGACAACACGTTTTTACATGCATGCTGTGTAATCCCTCTGATCATGTGTTGCTGTACAGTCCAGGAGCATGGGACATCTCTAAGCCAGATGCTCAACATGGCTGACCTTAATCCCTTTGTTACACTCATACTCAGTCATCTCCTCCATCACATAACCCACGCTTTCACTCCCACGTTCATCTCAACGCCATTTTTCTCTCATCATGGTTTCTGCTAGAGGCTGGATTAAAGCTAGCTTTGCAGTGCTAATCCAAACCCGCAGATTTAATAAATAGAGTTTTCACCCAGAGACCTCATCTCAGAGGGGGTTCTTTAATGAAGCATGTTTGTTAACCCTTTAAATGGCAGGTGAACCACATGGCAGATCATATTTTACTTCCTTTATCCTTTTGAAATTCTGCTAATCTGAATTAAAAAAACTACTAAACTAAAATAATGTGAACAAATATGCAGATATTATATTAACCCGTAAGAGCCCAATTCATTTTAAAACTGAAGAAGGAATAAATAATTTTAAATGTAAGAAAAATTTAAAAAGTAAAATAATTTTGATATATGGATGAATAGGATGTCACCTGGGGTTGTCAAACTTGAATATATACTATTTCCGCTTCAAATTCGTATAGTTACTTTTATAATAACATTAATTCAGATTATTTTATAACCGTTGTTGCATCAAATTAATAAATGATCTAAAAAAGACACTTTCTGTTGATGTTTTTATTGCTATGGAAGTTAAAGGGTTAAAGATCTGGAAATAAATCCCATCAGACCAGAGCTAGAGTTCAAACTGATAGCATTCATATTATGTGGTGTTTTAAATATTTTATGTAACAATATATAAATAAAGGTGCGTTTTTACTACTATAAGTTTTATTTTCTCATTCCTGAAATAAACTGCAGCAAATTAATAAGATGTAGTTTACTTTTAAATAAAATAAGCAGCAAAATGTGATCAGTACCCTAAATAATGCATTCCTCATGAACGCCCAGTTTCCCCCTCTCCTCTGGTAAATCATCAATAATGTAAGACGCTGGCAGAAGTAAGAAAATCGGTTACAGTTATTAATAGTTACAAAGTGATAAGTTCAAATTTCTAGAAAACAACTACAGTAAATCATTTTTCCGTTACTAAATGAGGTTTTGATTGTAAATGAGACGGCCTACCTGTAGACGGGTAGCTCCCTCTACAAAGCAGCCTTTAGCAATACCTTGGCTTTGAGCCGCCCCCACACACACAACTATCACTCCTTTGGTACGCTGCTGCCTCTGACTGACAGGCTTCCTGAAACCCTCTCCATCAAAGCTCTGGCAAATCACTAGAGCAATGTTGTGGTTTAATCCCTCCACCCCTCCTCCCGATATTAGAAGGCTGAAAACACATCTGTTGCTTCATCGCCCGCTGAGGAACAAACTAAACTGGCAGCAAACCCGTCCACCCCTGCTCGCTTGTACATTATACCAGAGGGAGAAAGTTCAGGTGTTTTCTTGTTGAAAGAGCAGAGACTCATCTTTGTGGTCGATGCAATTTCACATCAGAATGAAGAGATTGTGCATCCAGCCCATCACTAATCCCCCCCATAGCTGTTGGAGCTGCTAATCTAGCAACAACTTTGTCAGTCCATCGTCCACATCTTATCATACAGTGCTGCACACACACACACACACACTAAGAGCATTAAACTATAATCCTCATCATGTTATGTTTACACATCATTTAGAGTTCCCAAGGGCCAATTCAACATAGATCAGTCTTACAGAAGAAGAAGAAGAAGAAGAAGAAAATATCATTTCTATAGCGCCTCTCAAGATAAAAATCACGAGGCGCTTCACAAAAACAAAAAATGTAAAAGTGTAAAAAAGAATTCAGAAAATACTTAAAAATATATTTAAAATGAGCAAAAAATAGACAACTGTGATTAAAAAACAAAATGTTAAGAAAGAGAGAGTGAGTAGGAAAGAGGGAACTCAGTGGATCCTGAGGAAGGTGGAATAGGTGGGGAGAGCAGAATAAAGAGAGAGTGGTGAAGAAGGTCATACAAAAGCCAGCTTGAACAAGTGAGTCTTCAGCTGCTTTTTAAAGGAGACCAGTGAGTCCACTGATCTCAGGCTCAGGGGGTGTTCCAGAGTCTGGGGGCCACAGCAGCAAATGATCTGTCACCTTTGGTCTTTAGCCTGATGCTGCACAACCAGTAGGCTTTGATCACTGGACCTCAGGGACCTGCTGGGGGTTTAGGGGCTGAGAAGATCACCAATGTAAGATGGTGCTTGTCCATGTAAGGCCCTATAGACCAGAACCAGGATCTTGAAATGAACCCTGAAGTTGACTGGCAGCCAATGAAGCTGGAGGAGAAGCGGGGTGATGTGGGTGTGTTTGGAGGACTTGGTCAGAAGCCGAGCACAGGCATTCTGAACCCTCTGCAGAGGGTTCAGGGAGGTTTAGCTCAGACACGTGAAAAGAGAGTTACAGTAGTCTAAGCGTGAGGAGATGAAGGTGTGGAGAACTGTCTCAAGTTCAGAGCGAGACAGAATGGGACTCAGCTTAGCAATGTTCCTGAGAGGGAAGAAGGAAGAGCGAACAAGACAACTGTCATGAGAATCCAGAGTGAGAGCTGGGTCAAAGGTCATGCCAAGATTCCTGACAGAAGGTTTGGTGTGAGAAGCAAGCTGACCAAGAGAGTCTCTGACTTTGGGAACCAGCTTGTTTGGGGCACAGATGAGGATCTCAGTCTTATCTTCATTCAGCTGTAAGCTCCCAGCCATCCAGGTTTTGATAGAGTCTAAGCAGGTGTGTAACAGCTGCAGCTTAGACATCTCATGGGGCTTAAAGGAGATGTACAGTTGGATGTCATCTGCATAAAGATGGTAGGAGATGCCTTTGAAGGAGCTCAGGATGTGCTGAAGAGGAAGCAGATAGAGGAGGAAGAGCAGGGGCCCCAGCACAGAACCTTGTGGGACACCATGGGTAAGGGAGGTGGTGGATGACCACCAGCAGGACCAGAACAGAACAGTCCCCTGCATCACTGTGAGTCAGAAGGTCATTAGAGACCCTAAGAAGAGCTGTTTCAGTAGAATGAGCTCTACGAAAACCTGACTGGAAGCAATCATAGATGTTATGTTCATCAAGAGCAGCTGTGAGTTGTTTAGCCACAACCTTTTCCAAGATCTTGGAGATGAACGGAAGTTTAGAGATGGTCTGAAGCTGCTATGGAGAGAGGCGTCAAGACTCATTTTTTAAAGAAGCGGGTGGATTACAGAGTTCTTAAAGTGAGCAGGGACCTGACCAGAAACCAGAGAAGCATTAATTGGTAAATGGTAAATGGCCTGTATTTGATATAGCGCCTTCTAGAGTCCTGGAACCCCCCAAGGCGCTTTACAACACAATCAGTCATTCACCCATTCACACACACATTCACACTCTGGTGGGGATGAGCTACAATGTAGCCACAGCTGCCCTGGGGCGCACTGACAGAGGCGAGGCTGCCGAGCACTGGCGCCACCAGTCCCTCCGACCACCACCAGCAGGCAAGCTGGGTTAAGTGTCTTGCCCAAGGACACAACGACAGTGACAGACTGAGCGGGACTCGAACCTGCAACCTTCCGATTACGGGGCGAGCACTTAACTCCTGTGCCACTGTCGTAGAGAGCACGCTGGGACCGATGGACTGAAAAGCACTTTTAAACAAAGATGAGGGTAAGATGTCGAGGGGGCTTGCAGAGGTCTTCATAGTGTTAACTGGTTTGGTTAACTCAGGCAAAGAAACGGGAGCAAAGCTATCTAGGATGATGGGCCTGGTTGGAGTCGGGAGAGGCAGTGATAAGGCTGAAGGGGAGATGCTAGATATAACCTTATTGACTTTGTCCACAAAGAAAGACAGAAAGCCTTACATAAGAGTTGATGTTTTAATACAGGAATAAATGTAGGTCACAACTTTGGCTGCAAAGGGCCTTAAAGCGTGTTTTCTACATGAACCGTTCACCGACTAGAAACAAGTCTTAATGTTTTATACTTTACTTTTAAATTTAACAGTTCTGTTGACTAAAAGGCAGATTAACAAGGGCCATGACGTCATACATCTGTGACCTTATCTTCACACTTTAAATCATCCATTGTCCTGTAGTCATGTTTAACTCCGACCTCACACAGTGGGTAATCAAAGACATCCTATAATGCCCTCTAAGTGTAGACATGACAGCCTGTGGTTAAACATGAGTGAAAAAAATAGTTTAGACAAAACAATTTGTTGGCAATTGCAAATTTTATTTTTCAAAATTCCAAATCCATTCAATAACTTTAAAATGTGAATGCTAGCAGGATAATGGGGATGCTGGAATATATGACACATCAGGTGATTCACGCCACAAGTAAGAAAATCTGCAGTTTTGTAACATTTTCATGAGAACATTCCTCCAGTTTACAAAATGAGGTATTTCAATTCAGCTTGTTCTGACATTTTCTTGCATACTACTGGTATTACAAAAATATCAGATTGTGGGTAAACAGTGCAATTACTCTCATCAGGTTTAATAGAAAATGATGCAATGCATTATGGACTTTTAATCTCTTTGCATTTGTGGAACAAAGTTTACAGTGTGTGTCTGTCAAACAGGTATTCGCCCATGGATCCTTCTGCCGCAGAGCCAGTGAGACGGCTCAGACTGCCGACATGATCGCCAAGTTTCTTGATGGTGTCGTGGCTGTCAACCAGAAAGTTCTTCTCGAGGAAGTCACACAGCTGGAAAAAGGAGGCAGGAGTAAGTAGACCTAAAAACATTAAGCCAAGTTTTTACAGTCACAATGTTACAAAAAATAATTTTTTTACATGTGGGTCTTTATGGCCGTCAGCTCTGCGGTGCACATCAAGGATTAAAGTGTTAAGGGTCTTCTGACATTCCAGGGAAAAGGTCAGAGCATCCAAACCCCCTCTCCAGTCCTCTCTGCTCGGTTTCTACAACACAGTTCGTAGGTCAATCATGACCTGAAACAAACATACCTGTGATTACAGCATCGGTGACTTACAGCGATAGTCTGGAGCAAAATTCGGCCTCCTCTCATGTTCTGATATTCCAGCAGCTTCTCTGCCTGTTCCCTTTCCTTCTCTGAGAGCTCCAGGAAAAAACTGGAAAAGTGCGGCAAGGCAACGTCATCCCTGTCAAAGTACATGCCCTGAAAATACATGAAGAAGTGGAATTCAGCAACTAGTTTGCAGACTTTAAACAACAGGACAGGTTTAAACAATCTCACCAGGGCAAGGTAGGTGTAAGAAGCACTGAGCTTCAGGTTGATGAGTCTGTTGACATCTCCTTCAGTCTCCTGATGAAAGTTTTGTTTTACCACAGACTGCATCTCTAAAAATACAAAACAGAAAAACAAACATTTCACCCACACAAGAGATCAACACACAAGCAAGCCCCCCGTTTGGTAACAAACGTACTGAACTTACTCTGGAATTGTATCGTTTAGCTAATTTGTTTTAGTCCAACTCGGACAGAAGCCTGCAGCTTTAGTCAGTCAGCGTCCACAGACAGCCCCAGTATTTAAGGCCTCATTGAAGCCCAGCCCCAAAGCCATGTGTTACGAGTTGATAACAAGTTGAGGGTTAATTAGCGGTACTGACGTCATCTCCTGAAAACTTTACACAACATGCTGACGGGCAACGCCACCAGATCAATGTAGAGCTTGCGGAGCACAGATGTGAAATAAAAATGCGTAAAGTGTAGTTTTTGCTACGCTAACAGACTAAACTGGTAAGCTAAAACGATTAGCTAAAAACAATACACCCTACCCTTTAGTTTCGCCTTATTCAGAAATGCTTTCATTAATCTATCCATTAAATTAACTCTGACCAATTCCCATCCGTTCAGTATACATGTCGATGGTTCAGATACTTACTTGCACTCTTGCTGTTAACACCAAAACAAACAAAAACGGCCCTTTTAAGGCTAACCTGCTTCTTCTCTTTTTAAATGTGACAGTAGGCAAGACACTAGCGCCCCCTAACGTTCATCATCGTTTTTACACGGATTCGCCCCTTCCTGAACCACGAAACTACCGATTCAACAGCAGATGTGTGTTAACGAGGGCTGCGTTCCACTTTTCATCTTTCTGTTGCACATGTGCAGAAGCACTCAACGACCATCACACCTGTATAAGATAGGTTGTTTTCCACTTCTTTTATTCTACATTTAGTTTCTTCTCTTTAATCATGTTTTTCAGGTTGAATAAGCCATTAAGACTGAAATAGTTCCTCCTCTTATCTGCCCACAAAGTGATCCCTTTGTCCATTTCTCCTCTTTCACCTTTTCCACTGAAGTTGTTTTTCATAGAGCCAGCATTAACCCCCACATTCTCCGAGCAGAACGTTTTTATTCTTTACTCTTGCAAAAAACAATCACTTAATTTAAAATCATGAGTTCTGCTTTATGGATATTCCTTCATCCACTCACTTATGCCAGTTCCAGGGAATCAGCTAGACATTTGTTTTCTAAGGGTGACAGGATCTCCAAAATATGAAACGCTTCTGACTTCTTTTGAAAATCTACACAAACATTTGTAGCTCAAAACCTCAGAACCATGATGAACATTAATACAATTAGAAGATTAGTTTAAGAGTTTTTTTTCTTTCAGATGGAACAAAATTAAGTTCAATGTTCAGTTCATTTGTTATGTTTTCAAATGCTTAATTCAAACTGGATAACGTAACAAACATGGAGGTTTGATTCATATCAAGATTCTTTTGCGCGCACACACACACACACACACACACACACACACACACACACACACACACACACACACACACACACACACACACACACACACACACACACACACACACACACTGGTATAAAAGGTTGTTCTGGCCCAGTTAAATGAGGTCATAGAATTAAAATAGATCAGGATAATACTTAACATTATTGAATGTGACTTCCTCTCAGGGATGGACTGGGACTAAAAACAGCCCAGGACTTTGACTAGGCCAAAGTAATAGGCGCATGGAAATTTGGCAGCAAAAATATGTGGTGAAACCATCAAAATTATAGCAACAGCGCTAATGTTGACTATATGTTGTATTAAAAGCTGTATTACTGATAAGCTTAATAATTTAGGCAGTAATTAATCTTCTTACTGCACAAATAATACCTCATCTAAATGAAAATGCAACGTTACAAATGTAACTTCTGTATTTAAGAATTTCAAAGTTTGTGAGCATTAACTGTAACACTACTACCAACCTTTTTACGTAACACCACAACATATTTCTTATTACCCACTGCATGTGGCCTTTTACAGCTAAAAAGTTGAAATTTAGCTGTTATCATAAAATAAAATTGCAACCTAAACATGAATTCCTAACATCAATCCTTGCAAATGTTTCTCCTCTTACATTCCTTACTTACTTCCCCTGGATCTGCCTGTGGAACCAGCACATCTTTCTGTCCCTCCTTACTGCTGCCATGTTGCTGTGTAGCTATCTGCCTGACTTCTTCACTGCTGTGAACCTGCTGCGTGGTGCTGCTGCTGGCTGTACTTCTAAATATGTCGGTTAATTTGTGACATTTAGAGCATCTAATATCCGTGTTACACCAAAATCAGTGACCCATCAGAATCTGTGACTCCAAGGGGCGACAGCGTGCCATCCTTTCCAGGAAAGTCTTGAGGACAAGCAAGAGGTAGAGCGTTTACGTAAGCTGCGTAAACTATGTAAACAATGAAACACGGGAGGTTGTTCGGCTTCTCTAAACAGTTGTTCAACATCGCAGTGACCGACAATGTAATGTTTCTGTTTTGTTTAAACCTGAGCGGTGTTTTTACGAACCATCAGTGAATGTCTGAGTGCTGGCTGTAGCTTGAATTTGTAAACCATGCAGACGTTCATTAAATGGGTCATCAATAATCGATCTCATGTGCTTTAATTGAAGCGGAGCGGGTTCAATACTGTTCTACCATGATTTAAAACAACATGATAATTCACTGCAACTGTCTTAATTAATTTTGTCACCTCCCTACTGCAGTCTGAGTACAGTTAGAAAAATATGTGACCATCAAATGACATGAATCTCACTGGTCACACTTTTTTTCTGGCCAGAAAAAATATGTGACCTCTGTAAAAACACCTGTAAATAGCATTCTTCTTCACTACAACGGTCTTAATCAATTTCACCACCTCCCTACTGCAGTCTTAGTACAGTTAGAAAAATATGTGACCATCAAATTGCATGAATCTCACTGGTCACACTTTTGTGATCTAATCTGCGCAGAACTGGCTCATCTCGAACACGGCCATTGTTTACATAGTTTACGCAGTTTACGTAAACGCTCTTCCTCTTGCTTGTCCTCAAGACTTTCCTGGAAAGGATGGCACGCTGTCGCCCCCTGGAGTCACAGATTCTGATGGGTCACAGATTTTGGTGTAACACCTGCATTTTCCCCCCTTGCCTTCTCAGCCCCACCCTTTTCTTTTCTTTCCTCTTTTTTTTTAACTAGCGGCCGGGTTTTGCATAGTTTTTTTTCTACTGCCTTTGCCTCCTCTGGCTTCAGCTTCTTCTTCTCCTTGCCTAGCGGCCACAGCCAATGTAGCTGGCATCCAACTTAGAGATGCAGTGCTGCCACCTAGAGTGCTGGAGCGTGAAAGAGCTTTGAGGAGGGATAAAACAGGTGTTGAAAGCGTGCGTGGAGAGTGGTGGGCTGGCGCACCGGCCGACTTGGAGTACCGGCCGTTCTGTGATTCTCCAGAATCCACAGATGGCCAGTCCGCCCCTGCTTCCTCTCGAATTTCCTCTCAGTGAGCAGTAAACAATCGTTGTTAAATCTTTGTTTTATGGAGTGGAAATCATATTATCACCCAATAAACAATGTTGCGCCTTTTGCTCTATCAGTTAGTTCTTTCTTTTTGCAGTTCCTTATGGGTCCCAACAAGGAAGCCATAAATATAATACAAGTCAGAAGCTGTAAAAGAGAAAAAGGGGATATGTAGTCTTCTGTTAAATCAGCCCAGACAATGATAACTAAACACCATTACTATATTATTTTTAAGAAACCTTTTCATCACAAAATAAATTATTAATTTTGTCTGTGGATTGAAAGAACCCTGTGTTATTATATACTCATGATTAAAGTGCACAGCCCGTCTAAAGAATAAAACAGATATTTACAACCAAAACAAAGCAATCACAACTAATACATATTTTAAAAAGGCAAATCCCCTTGATTGTTGCACATTTGACAAGTGGCACATTATGACCGTTAATAAGGAAGTAACAGGCGGGGCAAAGGTCTCTCTGTATGTAAGTCCAAAAAGGAGAAGCAGTTATTTACTTTTTCACTTGGGAATTCAAGAACAGAGCAGAGGTTATGGAAGGAGGACCTGGTTAAGAATTAAAAGTCAACATCAGAGGATTACTTTGCCAGCCCTAACTCGAGAAATTAGTTGTTTTTGTCAACACACCGGTGGCAGAACTGAAGACGGGGACCTGTGGTTCATCTTCAGACAGCCAGAGATCTCTACGTGTTCTTAGTATGTGTGTGAGTTAACAATCGACAGCAACGATGAGGTTTCTAATCTTCAAACCCACCTCACACCCCCTGCTACTGTGTGTCATCTTCAGTCTACTTTGGGTAAGTCTTTACTTTTATTTACCTGCTTTTGATCAGATAGAGGAGCTGTCTTACAAAGATTAGACCTCAGCAACAGGAAACTTGCTTTTTTAAACAGTTGAATCATTTCAGAGATTGTGTTCGTCAACGGTCATGTTGATGGTTAAATAGCTTTGAGATGATTGATGAAATGTCAGAAAGAACTAAAAGCAACACTGTTGTACAACAAGAACACTGTGGAGGTTCTCAGATGATGAAATAGCATTTCTGTCTTCCAGCTGCGATTATCTATTTTTACTTGCTTCCTAAATGAAACAAAATAATGAACACAGACAGAAAAAACAAACAAGTCAGCGATTTTTGAAGTTCTTATTCCATATGTTTATTGCATTGTGTGTGTGTGGCTTCTGTTCAGTTAAGGCTATTTACTTCTGTTCAAACAAGCACTGGTTACATTTCTGTCTATATGTTCATGTTTAAGCTGTTTATTAAGATTCTATCAAATGTACAGATTCTAATTTGCATTTGACACTTTCTGATTCGTTCTCTGGTTTTCTGCACATCCGTGTCAAATCACTCCCCTGATCAAAAGCCATTTAGGCTGACTGAAGTTTGCACACTCTTGATGCAAAATAGAGCTATTGTACCCTTAAATGGTACAATACTGTTACAACATACTTGCTTCCTCACATATTTCTTCTGATTTTGTTTTTTTGGTGAAGAAACACTTCAATGTTTCAAATCAGCAAACAAATTTCAATATCAAACAGAAAACCTGCGTAAAAAGTAATTGTGACTGAATCAGAAATTAGCTGCGATTAACCACATGTTTGTAAAGCTGAGTTCAGTTCCATTAGCCACACCCAGACCTGACTACTGCCAGGAATGTAAGAATCATCTCATTAAACATGCCTGACAGCCCGAAGGCTAAAAGTCCTTAAAAAACAGAACCCAGAACAGCATCAAAAACCCTGCAGGTGGTCAAGGTAATGGTTGGAGGTGATTTAACAATAACAAAAGATGGAGGGCAAAAATGGTGTCATGAGAGAGATCCGAGGCCAAAACCTTTGCTGACCAAAAAGAACACAAAGACACACCTCACATTTACAAATAACCATTTTCATGATCCTTGAGATACTTTAGGAAATATTCTGGAGACTTTCTGGGAGGTGTGAGTCCCAACCCATCTGGGGTCAGAATAATAAAAAAACAACATCATACCAACACTAAAGCATGGTGGTGGTAGAGTGATGGTCTGTTTGCGATACAGTTACTCTTTCACACAAGGCCAGATTGGGTTGGATAGGACTTTTTCTTGAGAAATAAACTTATCATTTGAAAGCATTTTGTTTTACTCAGGTTAACTTGGTTTGATACTGGCATCTGTTTATCGACGTAAAACATTTAAGCGTGATGAAAAGCAAAAACCTACAAAGGGAGCAATTGCTTTTACTATTCAGAAGAAAGTTTTTATGCTGTCTCTAAATTCTTCATAACTACTCTTTCAATTCCACCTTTCCCGGGATCCACTGATTACCTCTTTCTTATTCATTTTCTCTGTCCCTTTCCTCACATTTTTAGACCATTTTTTTTACTTTTCCCAATTTTATGATATTTTTAAAATAATTTTTTGTGTTTTCTTTTGTTCTTGCGAAGTGCCTTGTGATTTTTATCTTGAGAGGCGATAAATAAAAAAAAGTTTCTTTTTCATCCATAATTTTCAATCAGTAAACAACAGTGAGTAACTATGCTGTGTGACATCTACGGTGCACTGAGCCTAATTCCTAACACACACACACACACACACACACACACACACACACACACACACACACACACACACACACACACACACACACACACACACACACACACACACACACACACACACACACATTACTTCCTGTTTACTAGAATAATTTGCTGATTTTAATTAGTCTACATACTTTGATTATTTCTGAAGTTTCCTGCACATCTGTGTCAAAATGCCCCACTTATCTGTTACCATTATAAAGGTTCATACCCACAAAGCTCAGTTAATCCCCCCCTTTCTTTTCATTTATTGCAAGTAATATAAACGAAAGACATTTTTCTGGGACACTGAGAGACTCTTATCTCTTTTAAGGTTGTAACAGATGGCAACATATCATCGGTATCAAACGTAAGTAGAGTACGAATAAAACGAGCGGATAGTTCTTCTAAGACAGCAGCAACAACTACAACAACAGCAGCAACAACAACTACAACAGCAGCAACAACAACTACAACAGCAGCAACAACAACTACAACAACAGCAGCAACAACAACAACAACAACAGCAGCAACAACAACAACAACAGCAGCAACAACAACAAAAGCTCGTAAGTCTGAACTGTCATTCACACTGATGTGACTGTTAATGATGAATTACTCTTGTGTTTGTCTCACATCTCTGTGTCTACTTTTTCGTCCTCAGCTCCTCCAAATTATTTATTGTTAAAAATGAAACCAGTGTAACTCCCCAGTAGTCATAAGTCAGCTTGTCACTAGCCTTCATTCACCGGGGAGTTACTCAGGTTTCATCACATTTTCATTGGTCTTAACAAGCAGTCTTTCACACTGCTGTTGGACGGCCAAAAGCTCAAGCAGCTCATCTTTGTTTAACAGCCTATAACCATTGATCTTCTAATCCTCTTTTCCCAGAGCTGTAGATGGAGAGTAAAGACACTTTCTGAAAACTCTTATTTAGATTGTTTGAGTTGTAGGTTACAGACCCCTTCACTATAAATCTCCACAAAACCATTTGTTGAAATGTTAAATAGTTTTATTTTTGTTTTCGTAAATGGATTTTGTCTAAACCAGCTCAGAAGGCCTTCAGACCAAACCTCTGGGGCATATTTGTCCTAATATTTACATGCCGTCCTAGTGAATGAGATTTATACAAAGATCGCTGCAGATTATCAGGTTCACATTCTGTAAAATAGACCAAGATTTTGGAACTGTGTCATGCTATTTTAAACCTTCCAGAGCAACAATGGGCCCTTATTAAAATATTACCATTAGCATGATGCCACTACATTGAAATATGTTATTTTCTTGAGGCATTTTATCAACCCGGAAATCACCAAACTTTATACCCATTCAGCTTGCGGCTAGCAGTTAACATTTTGGTTGTACTTACCTCTCTGGCCTCTCCTTTGGGTGGTTTTAATGTTGGAATGGCACCAGTCTGAAGAAGTAACCTATCTGAAAACACACTCTGGTACTGGCGAAGGTTTAGCAAGCAGTCTGTGAAATCACTGTCACATTCTGGCTTGGTTTCTGAGAGCTGTTTTAGAAAAAAAAATCCAAATTTATGCTTATTAAACACTTTCAGGAAGACTAGATAAGGAAAGAAATCACTTCTTCACAACTGTGGAAGCTGCACTAACTACACAGAGAGACTGGGTGTTAGTGTTTACAGTCCAGGGGAGGAGGGATCTGTTTTCGACAGGGATGGGGAGGGGCGGGGCATGATGAAGCAAACTGACCCATCCATCTGTTCGGAATAGCTTAGCAGACCTGAAGGGAAGCTACAGCTGAGACAAGAAAATACATGCATGAAGCCAAAAACTGCTTTGGGGAGTTTTTCATGATGAAAAAAAAACCCATATAGCAATGTCTAAAGCTCAAAAAAGTGGATTGTTCTTGATATAGTCCCTTTAAAGACATTTCCTTATAAAGCTAAATACCAAATTAGTAAATTAATTTCCACATTATAAAAGCTTCTTGTTGTCTCTCAGAGACTTATCAATTTCCAATTTACCTTAAATCTTTATGGAAACACCTTTTAATATAATCAACAAAAAAATTACATTAATAAACTTAAACATAATGTTTTTCCACATATAAGAAAGTAACTAAATCTACTTGTTCTTGCTTTTATGTTTTGGAAACTTTATTTCATGAAATGAAAATGTGTACATGAATTTGTGTTTCTTTTTTGTTTTCATGTTCCAGCTCCCACTAACCCTGAGGATTTCAGAGTTGATACACAAACTGAGAACAGCATAAATCTGAAATGGCAAAATGTTGATGACATTGACAATTATATTCTGAACGTCAGTGGAAGCAACATCAATAACTCAACAACTTTACTAAAGAATACTACAACACACATGGTCTCAAATCTAATTTGTACTTCCGAGTACATTTTCTTTCTCTTCACTGAGCGTGACAATGTCAGAAGCAGTGGGGTAAACCAAACAGCAGTGACAGGTAAGATGGATTTCATTCACTTCATCACTTAATGAGCTAAAGTGACACTTTAATAGTTTTGGGTTTCAATTAAAACAAAAACAAATGGCACAAAGACATTTTGCCATGAAAAAATATATAATAAAATGCCCCCCCCCCCCCCCCCCCCCCCACACACACACACTCCCCCAACCCCATTCCCACCCAAGTTTTCTTTAGTCATAAAGCAGAAAAAGAAATCATTTCAGCTTATTATGCTTTTTTTAACCATTTGACATTCCTTTTTGTAACTTATTTGAACATAAACATTAAATTAGAAAAAAATGAAATAAGCTTAGCTTGAGCCCTTCTGTCATGTATGGAAACTGATGTCCAATAATCTAAGTGTCATCTGTCTGCTTTTATATTCCAGCTCCTTGCAACCCTAAAAAGTTCAAACCAACTGGACAAAACGAGTCCAGTATAACTCTGAAGTGGGAACAGATAGATGGAATTGATTATTACCTTCTTGAAAAAACCACTAATTTGACCAAGGACTATCTACAGTACACAGTTTCAGATCTTACTAGTGCCACTAGTTACAATTTCAGTCTCGTTGCTGTGTTTAGAAATGTCAGCAGCAGTGGAGCATTTACACCCGCAGTCACAGGTAAAGTGTTTTTATTCTAAAGTATGTGGGCTTTGTTAACACTAAGTCGTTTCAAACTGGTTAATATGTATTCCAATTTTAATCAACTTTACCGTGTTAAATCCAAAAGAAGTGCAGTAAAAACTATAACAAGAACCAAGTGTTTAAAACCCTAACGTAGTTTTACTTCCTGGGTTGTCACAAATGAGAACATTTTGAAATCGTTTGACAAAAAGAGAGCAGCGCTTTTATGCAGAAAAAAAAAAAGACACCAGAACTGCCTGATACTTAACTCTAAATAATTTGGAGCTCTAAGTGAACTATTCTGAAGAATACATTTGTGGATTCAATTTACTGAAAACTTTGAAAAGCAGACATTTCTTTTGAAATGTAGTTTAACCCTCCCCTGTCTTTATGGGTGACCCCACGAGGAAAGTTGACCATTGAGCAGGATTGATGGTTTATCCCTTGAGATCCACGTGGCAGGGGTGATGTGATGCTCACTCCTCACCCCTGCCACATGGACCCAAGGGATAAACCATCAATCCTGGTCAAAGGTCAACTTTCCTCGCGGGGTCTCACCTATTAGGACAGTGGGAGGGTTATGAGAAAAACAACAATGAAACTGTAATGGAATCTCCTTAAAAGATTGAAAATAATGTGAATGTCCTATAATCAGCTTCACAGGAGTCTTTTATTTCAATCAGTTTGCCTGTTTAAAGGTGTACAGTAGTCACAATGCTATATCAGGGTGTGTACCACACTGAACATGGACCACAGACAGCTAAGGACAGTATTTTCTCTGGAGATTAGAACAAATATCATGAACTAGCATGTTAAAGGTAATGGCTAGAAGACCATCTCCAAGTAGGTTGGTTTTCCTGTGACTTCTAGGTTCATGGGACCCCCATCCTCTGTAGAGAAGTACTCGAGGAAGAACACTGTGAAAAACTTAAGAAACAGTTGACATGAATGAATGGTAACCAAAGAGCACAGAACTACATTTAACAAGACTAGAGGCAGAGGTGGTCTGGCCATCTGAATTCTGGAATGTCCCAGAACAGCCGGTGTGCTGAAAATAACAAGAAAACATGGGGGAAGCTAAATTCTGTTCTGGGACTGCTCCACTGCATCAGGTTTGATGTCTTAAATCTGTTCAGATAAACTGGAATCTTCGGACAATCAAGAAATTCCTGAACGAAATGTGCTTCCCAGTGTCAGACATCCTGGTCTCAGTCACATATTGTTAGTTCTCTGTTATGTTTTTTTATTTCTTATGTAGTTTCAGCTCATTGAGCAACAACACACAGCTACAGTTTCTAAGCTTGATGCTCCCATATTCCAGTCAGAATTGACAAAGCTTCTCAGATGAGAAGCGAAACATCTTCAAGAAACCAAAGAAGTCCAGGTGCCTTCATTAGAATCCTTTGAAATCCTCTAATAGGATAAAAATGTATAGTGACCAAAAACACAGAAAGAGCAAAACAAGGGAGAAGAAATTTTAAACTAATGTCAACATTTACTTTGTTTCCCCTTTTAAAGGATTGAATCCACATCTGTAAATCAAAATATTTTGAATGAATACGACAAAGTTCATAGCAACATTTGTTGGTTTTATTGATAGATGTGTCTGTATAAGTGTTAATATTAAAATCTTAAATGAACTTAAACTTAATTTTAAGTAGTTTAAAAGTGTATATTTGTCTTCAGCCATTAAAATGTAATAATTTGTGTGTGACCTTCTGTCATATTTGTAAATTAAAAGTGTCACTTTTGAAATTTGTTTTTGGTCTGAATATCTTGTGTTTATTCATACTGCAGCTCCTCGTAACCCTGCAAACTTCAGCCTAACAGGACAAACTGAGTCCAGCATAACTCTGGTGTGGGACAAAGTGGATGAAGTTAACAACTACACTCTTGTCTACAAAGAAAATGAAACCAGCATAAGTCTAACCACAGAACTTGAAACATACACAGTCTCAGATTTGCAAAGTGCCTCAAAATACAGTTTCTCTCTCTTTGCTGTGTTCGATTATGCTAAAAGCAGCGGGACAACCATCACTGCAGTCACTGGTAGGATTTACATTTTCTTTGCAAACATGAACTTTTACCCACCTGGAAAACTGAAACTTTATTTAAACATGTTTTTTATTTGTTTATTTTTCTCTAGCTCCAGAGAACCCAGCAGATTTCAGTTCAGTTGAACAAAATGAGACCAGCATAACTCTGGAGTGGACACAAGTGAAGGACATCCAGGACTATAAAATTGTCTTTGGCCAAAATACAACAAACATTACTTTAACAACAAGCAAAATGCAGCACACCATCACAAATCTAGAAAAAGGAACTACATATAATTTCAGTATCTTTGCTCTGTTTGAAAGCATCAACAGCAGTGGAGCTGACACCACTGCATCTACTGGTGAGAAAGCATTCTTCTGATATGGTTCACCACATAACCAGATGATAAACTCAGATATCCTTTGAGCATGTTCCTATCAATCAGATTCAGGGTCTCCTTTATATAATTTTTGGTTCAAGCTCATAGTGAAGTAGTTTTTATTTCTTGAACATCAAATTAATTTTAACATCAGAAAAATTGCAGTTTTTGTCAGAGCCATGCAAACCAGCCTGGCTCTTTGTGAATAAGGTCATTGACCCCAAAATGTAATAAATGGTTGCAACACCCCTAAGGTTCTACATCTGCTGGGGTTGGTCTGTCACCATTTGTCACCCTTTGAACCCAGTATCCCCGTCCAGTACACACTTTAACCTTATCACAGTAACTTTAATTTCTCAGTTGTACTCCAATAACAACTATGAGTCAGTAGTTCCAATTAATTTGACTTCTGAAAACGAAGAAGTGGCAAAGAGGAAAAGCAAGTCCAGACTCTGAAATATCACAAGTGTGGATGTTTAAAAAGTAATTTGAGTTTCCTCTTACATCATTTATATATCAAATGCTAGGCCCCACTCATTTAATAAGCTGACCTTCATCTACTGGGTCTGCATTCCCTCTACAGTCAGGTCCATAAATATTGGGACATCGACACAATGCTAACATTTTTGGCTCTATACACCACCACAATGGATGTCAAATGAAACCAACAAGATGCGTTTTAACTGCAGACTGTCAGCTTTTATTTGAGGGTATTTACATCCAAATCAGTTGAACGGTGTGGGAATTACAACAGTTTGCATATGTGCCTCCCACTTGTTAAGGGACCAATTCAAATTCAATTCAATTAAATTCAAAAATACTTTATTAATCCCAGAGGGGAAATTGATTGAGTAGTATAAGTAATGGGACAGAATAAGAACCATAAATCAAACTTATACATTTCAATACTTGGTTGCAAATCCTTTGCAGTTAATTACAGCCTGAAGTCTGGAACACATAGACATCACCAGATGTTGGGTTTCATCCCTGGTGATGCTCTGCCAGGCCTCTACTGCAACAGTCTTCAGTTCCTGCTTGTTCCTGGGGCATTTCCCTTCAGTTTTGTCTTCAGCAAGTGAAATGCATGCTCAATCGGGACAAAAGACCTTTGTTTTATCAGCTCTTCTCTTTTTTCGTTCGTAGTTCCTCCTCAGGTCTCTTCAGTCAGTGTCACAGAGCGCTCTTTGACCACCGCCACTCTTAAGTGGGACAATCCTAATAAATCCTGGGAATACAAGGTTGAAACCAATGGCACCGGTGTGACAATCGAACCAGATATATCAGCTACTGGATTTTTCACCATCTCAAATCTCAAGCCTGGAACTCTGTATTCATATCATGTGACCACGGTGTTCTCTGGACTCAACAGCAAGGCTTATAATGATTTTCTAGTAACACGTAGGTATAGAGATTTTCATTTTCATAAACTTTTCTAAACTGTTTATTGGTGAAAACACTTTTCTTTTTACCACTTGCAAAGCCACGAGAGCCAGAATATCTAATTCAGCAATTTTCAAGTTGAAAATCTATGCAAGAAAAAAAGAAAAGAAAAATAAAAGATTTGAACTGAAATTATTTACTAATCTATTTCAGAGATCGAATGTGACAAAATAATCTGGGTTGTGACTAGCTCTTCAATCCAAGGAACAGTTGAAGGTGTGTTCACCTATGCAACTGTCTCTAATTCATCTAACACATCTCAGCACCATTCCACTCCAGGAAGCAGAAATGTGTCGTTTACTGACCTTTATCCTGGGGCAACCTATGAGATATCTCTTGTGTACGAAACTTCTTCCACAAATTTCACTCAATGTGAAAGTCATCCCAACGTGACCACTTGTAAGTGTTTATTTGTTTATATTCCTACTTTTAAAAGTAAGATGTTTAGTTATTGTTACAGTTTTATGTCTTATACTTAGGTTTTGCTATCAAAGTGCAGTTTTTTCATCAAACAAAATGCTGAAAATATTTTTCTTCCTGAGCTAAAACAATTTTATTAATCCTCATTAATCGATTTAACAAATTAATCACCAGACCAATATTCCAAATTTAATTATTTAAAGCAAAAACTCATACTTTGTAAGTATTTTGAAGAAATTTATTTTTGTTATATTTTTAAGATTTTAAACCATTTGTTTGTATATCCCTCTTACACACACACACACACACACACACACACACACACACACACACACACACACACACACACACACACACACACACACACACACACACACACACACACACACACACACACACATGCGATCGATCCATGTTATTCTGTTAATTCTTGTTTTTTACTGGGTCTGTTTTTTTTAACCACACAGCTCCTCCTTCGCTGCGGGGTCGCTGTGAAAATGTGGCTTCTGGTTATTCTGCTCTGATTGTCTGGGATAAAGCAGAAGGTGTGTTGACAAAGATCTTGGTTCATATGAACGGCAAAAACCACACAGTAGATGGGAAGGAGGACCGGTTTACCATCCCTGGACTTCAACCAGCTAAAACATATCCAGTGGCATTAATTTCCATGTCTGGAAACAGGATTTCTGGGCCATTTGATTTTATCTGTGCTACTGATAACAGGGGTGAGTAAACATGATGTTCTGCATAACCTGAGTGGTTTATGCACCTCGTGATTTTTATTTTGAGAGGGGCTATATAAAAGATAGTTCCTTAATTACCATTCTCCCTCAGGAGTCATTGCTGGGTCAGTGGTTGGTGTCTTGCTGTTTGCTGTTCTAGTCTGTGTGGCTGCATTCATTTTACTCAAAAGGTCTGATGTTTTCCGGTTGGCGCTGAATTATCATTTATTCAAATCTGAAAAATTAAATTAGTTAATTATTCAAATGCATGACTTTGTGTGATTTCTTCCCACAGTGGAAAAAAGTCACTTATTGCTGGATCCAAAAAAACTGGTCCAAAAAAAACGTGAGTGTGAGCTCCAACCTGTTTCTAATTGTGTAAATCACTCACTATATCATACATGAAATGTATTTGTATTTTACAGATGTGTTTTTTGTGGCTCATTTTTGTTTTAATCAGACTCAAATGTTTCAAATCAGCAAATAAACGTTAGTATCAGACAAATACAACCTGGGTAAATACAGTTTTCATTTACTGCTAACCGAGCCCAGATCATCACACTACCACCACCATGTTTGACTGCAGTTAATTTTACGCACGCACGCACGCACGCACTCACACACACACACACACACACACACACACACACACACACACACACACACACACACACACACACACACACACACACACACACACACACACACACACACACACACACACAATAACTCTGGTCAAATTGATTTGCAAATTAAATGAATTGCTTCTTTATTTCAACATACTTTGCATAGTAATATCCCTTCCTGCTGTTTTCTTTCAGAACTATATCAGTAGCTACATTTCCAGAGCACTTCATGCTTTTGAGTGCAGATGAAAACAGAGGCTTCAGTGAAGAATATGAGGTGCTCTAAAATTACCCAAATGTCTTAGGTTTTCTTTCTCTTTTAGTTTCTAAATCATATTTTCTCATACTTCCATTTTCTAATCCTGCTCAGAACCTCGAGCCTGTAGGGAAAGACCAGACACATAAAGCAGCTTCGCTACCAGAAAACAAGAGCAAGAATCGCTTCACCAACATTCTGCCTTGTAAGGACATCCTATTTCTGTGTCTGTGTTCCAGTTGGGGTTGCAATTTTAACTTCTTACAAAGTAAGCTGATTCTATTCTCTAACTCTAGATGACTGGAGTCGGGTGAAACTGATCACACCAAGCCCCAGCGATACCTTAGACTACATAAATGCTAATTACATGCCGGTGAGTATCACTTTGTAACTGGAGAGTTTAATAATCAATTGGAGGGACATTTGCTATTATATTAAAATTAAGTAAAAATTATGTCATAATATTGGAAAAATAATAGAATGAATAAGGAGAGAATAATGTATAGCAAAAATGGGTTAAGTTTAGTGCTTGCTTCTATAAGATAGGCGGAAAAGTTCCCTTAATGGTTGACCTTCCACTTCAGTGTTCACTATGTTTGATGCATGTTGTGGTAGTCATCATTTGCAGCCTAAAAGTTTAAAAATATTGTTAAAAGTAAAAAGAAAGATTTAAAAATAATTAAACTCAAGTTAATAAAAGGCAATAAATTCAAAATCAGCTAAAAGCCCCTGAAACACCCAGGGGTCCAAACGTCAAATATCCAGTTATTTCAGTGAGTCCTTTCTTGTATAAAACACACTGTATGATCAGAACTGTGACGAGCTGCTTTTTTCTGAGTCAAACTTCCTCTTATTATTATTATTATTTTTGCCTAATCTGTTCCTCTTCTTCTTGCTTTATCATCATGAGTCCCACAACTTTACTCTTCTCTTACATTCATTAAGTTTTTCCACACCTAGCCATACTCATCAGAAACACATTCAAACGAATAAAGGTTGCCATGGGTTTGTCAAAGCTGATCTCTCCTTCCCGAAGCCCTGCCTTGCACTTTACTTTCATTATGATCACATCGGTTTTGTTTACACACTTTTATCCAACGCTGCCTCTTTAAAACTGACAGCTACTCAGTTAAACGATTTAACCACTTTAACCCTCCCACTGTCCTACTGGGTGTGACCCCGCGAGGAAAGTTGACCTGCTCAATAGCAGGGTTGATGGTTTATCCCTTGGGTCCATGTGGCAGGGGTGACGAGTGAGCACCACCTCACCCCGCCACATGGACCTCAAGGGATAAACCATCAATCCTGCTCAATGGTCAATTTTCCTCGCGGGGTCACACCCATAAAGACAATGGGAGGGTTAAATATTTGCTAAGACTGTTTGTTCATGACTCGTGGTTAATTAAAATCCTCAATGTTTCATGTAGAGGTTAAAGTGGAGATCCAGCAGAGTCAGTGTATCTGCAGCTTTTTATTTCACTACTAATATGTGTGGTTATTTATAAATCATGTACCAACTTCCTCTTAGGGCTACAACAGGAACAGAGAATATATTGCCAGTCAAGGTCCTCTGATGGCCACAGTCCCGGATTTCTGGAGGATGGTTTGGGAACAAAGAGTTAAAGGTATCGTCATGGTAACCAACTGTGTGGAATCAGGACGGGTACGTATAGTCAGAAAAATGTAGACTGTTCTCACATTTAGAAGAAAGTTCTGAAATGAACCATGAATAATAGATTTTTCGGACAATATTTTGTCAAGATAAAACATGATCCTTTCTTTAGTTTAATTTTCTTATCTATGCTTTTTTCTTAGACCAAGTGTGACTGTTACTGGCCTGAAGACCAGAAGCCATGCCTTCATGGAGATTTGTTGGTCACAATGTCATCTGAGCAAAAGGAGCCCAATTGGACATTGAGGAATTTTAGAGTAAAAAATGTAAATAGCAACTCCTAAATTTAAAGTATACCTGGTTTTTATAAAGTCTGAATTGGCAAGTGGGAAAAAAAAGTGAAACGGTGAAAATGAATAAAAATGATTGTGTAGGAAGGTATTAAATGTTTAGCTCCAAATGTTACACATTTATAAAAAAGTATACTTCATGTAGTTTAAATACCAAAGCAGAATTTGAACCTTTGGTTGCTGATTTATTTATTTATTTGTTGCACGTTAAACTTTCTTCACAGAGAAACAACTCGGAGGAACGCACAGTGAAACACTTCCACTTCACTGCCTGGCCTGACCACGGAGTTCCTCAGGGCACCCAAGTCCTGATCCAGTTCAGAGGACTTATCAGACAGTACATTGAGAGTGAAGGGATTACTTCTCCTACTGTGGTTCACTGCAGGTACACAAAAAAGCTACAGCAAACCACTTGTTTTAGAAAAGCGAACTAGAAGATGAACAAACCACAGACAACAAAGATGAGTCATACACTCAACAAAACTTTAAATTAGAGCACTTTTGTTTTTGCCCCCATTGGTCATGAGCTGAACTCAAAGATCTGAGATGTCTTCTACATACCCAAAAGGCCTCTCTCTCTCTAATGTTCAGATAAGCCTGGCTCACACAGCAGAATTTTAACAGACATGTGGTGATAAAAAGTCATGGATATACACCGTTTTGGTATAGAAACTCTGCAGAGACTACACACTACACACAAATCTCTTTCACTCACGGATGTTTCCTGCTCAGATGGGAAATCTTGCAAGATAAAACGTGACTTTGAAGTAAACAAGTATGGCAGAAGAGCATGGTGTTTCTGTCACCTTGCTTTCTGATTTGGTAAACATCACTTTCTTCAGGCAGCACACTCGTTTGTTCCCCAAACTCAGACCAAGACAATGCAACATGTTTGAAAGCCCAGATTTATAATCGGAGCGGTCCTGATGTCCTTCCAAGTGTAGTAAGCGCTCATGACGCACCACACAAGTTAGGATAATATATGATAAAATTATCTTTAGAGAGCCATTATGGTAATCATACCAAACATTAACTCATTAGCTTCCTGCTGTTATCTGAATATAGAGCCTTTTAACTGCCAGCATTTTTGAGCATTTTTACTGTTTTTTCAAGAGTCACAGAATATTGTGCTCTATGCTCGCGTAAACACCAACACTACCAAAAGAAAAGCTCACTTCTTACATCAGGAAGAATATGCGCGTTTCGCAATTTTTCCAAGTGTGAGCTGCAGAAGCTTTTCCAGTATGTGTCTCGATTTAGGCATAGCAGCTTCCCAAACCGATCTCCTAATTCATGGTTTGTCTGCTTCATGATCATGTGACATGTGACACACAAGGATGTATATCAACTTTAGAGCTGTGATGTTTACTTTCAAGGTGCAAAAGCTCGTTCCCAGGCCCGCCTCGCTAAAAAACCCAATTGACGACTTTAGGCATGATTATCCTGCCATGTGAACCAGGCTTTGTCTGTCTAAACCCAGGTTAGTGAGCACTTCTCTCTTGCAAGTTTACTGTATTGAGGAACTGAAAACAAGTCAGTATCTGGTGAGACCGTCATTTGCCTCACACAGTGCAACACCTGTCTTTCACATAGAGTTAATTGCCTTGTTAATTGTGGCCTGTTGAATGTTGGACCAGCCTTGTTCAGTGGCTGGACATTAGCAGGACCTGGGATACGTTGTTGTATACACCCATCCAGAGAATCCCAGAGAGGGTCAATGGGTGACATGTCAGGTGATTATATTACCATCCATGCAAAAACTGGGATGTTCTCTGCTTCCAGGATTTATGTACAGATGCATGCAATATGGGACTGTGCATCGTCATACTACTTACAGCATGAGGTGATGGTGGCAGGTGGCACAATAGGCCTCGGGATATCATCATGGCATGTCTGTGCCTGCCCATACCGTAACCCCGTCACTGCCTCCGTGGGCCTCCTGAACCACAATGCGGACATCAGAAAAGTGCTCACCCACATGACCTCATACACGAGTGATCCCCAACTCCCTTCGCCGAGGGCCGAGATCCAGCAAGTTTTAGTAGTTTCCCTAATCCGACACATTTGATTCACCTGCTGAAGTCTGTTAAACAGCTGCTGATTAAAATCAGGTGTGTTGAAGCAGGAAAAACTAAAACTTGCTGGATACCAGCCCACGGGAAGGGAGTCAGTTTGGTATCACTGCCACACATGATGTCTGCCATTTACTCTGGACAATGAAAATCAGGGTTTATTTAAGAAGGGAACCCCCCTCTGAAGTGTCAGACGCCATTGAATGTGAGTGTATGCCCACTCGGGTTGGTTATGACGATGAGCTGCAGTCAGGTTCAGACCCTGATGCAGACGACAAGGATGCAAATGAGCTTCCCTGGAGCAATTTGTGTTAGTTGCAGAAATGTTTTGGTTAAGCAAAATGATTTTTACGGCAGCTCTCAGGTTATCTTGAAGGTGAAGATGCTACATGTTGAGGTTCTACACTGGTGTGATCTGTGGTTGTAAGGCCAATTACTCGACTCTCAACTTGGACTTTATTTATATAGCACCTTACAGACACTTACATGCCACCAAAGTGCTTCACAGACAGATAAAAACATAACACATAAAATCCACTAAAAATGAATAAAACACAACCAAATAAATACATTAAAAATGAGACTAAAAAAGCAACACAGTCAATCACTCACAGATTTAAAAGCCTGTTAAAAAAATGGGTCTTCAGCTTTGAAAACTGGCACAGAAGAGAACTGCCGAACGTGTAATGGAAGCTCATTCCATAGTTTTGGAGCTGCAACTGAAAAGGCTCTGTCACCCCGCATCTTCAGCCGTAACCAGGGGACCATGAGCAAGCACAAGTCCTCTGAACAAAGTGGCCGAGAGGGAACAGTGCTGTGTGTCTGCCAGATATGCTGGAGCCAGACCATTTAAGCTTTAAAAACCAGTAAAAGAACTTTAAACCGAATCCTAAAAGAAACAAGTAGCCAATGTAGAGCTGCCAATATGGGGATAGCATGGTCAAACTTTGGTTTGCTCTCCAAAAATCTCCCAGCAGCATTTTGGACAAGTTGCAACGGGCTAAGGCACCATGGCTCACTCAGGTGGATAAGCAGGATGGAGTTACAATAGTACAGGCGTGAAGTTTTGAATGCATGCACAACAGTTTCAAGATCACATCTGGACAAAAAAGGTTTAACCTTGGCCAAGCGTCTTAAACTGTAAAAGGAGGAAGCTACCACCCCATTTATGTGGCCCCTAAAACAGAAGTCTTTGTCTATCTCCACTCCCAAATCAACAACACAGTCCTTCAAGTGGGGGGTTAATTCACCACAGTCCACTACGGAGGTATAAGTGTGGTGGCTGAGATCGAAGAGCACTGCTTCTTTCTTTCCCTTATTGAGGCACAGGAAATTTTCTGCCATCCACGCGTTGACCTCACACAATCTAAAACCTTCGAGATTGGTCGACTGTCAGCCTCATCCAAAGGCAAGTACAGATGGCAGTCATCAGTATACAGGTGAAAATCAATACCATGTTTTCTTAGGGTATCACCTAAAGGCAGATTATAAACACAAAACAGCAGGGGATGCAGTATTGTGACATCTGTGGCCTGGTGTTGTGATCAAGCTTCCTGTTTTAGTTTGGGTTTTTGTTGAGGCCAGCCTAAAGCCCACCTGTGCAATAATCATCAATCTTGGCAAGGGAGAAGTGTTCACTAACCCAGACATAAACAGATTTGTGAACAATATTTGAAAGATAGAGAACTTTGTCACAAGCGCGGGTGAGTTGACTGGAGGTGAGGATCCAGGTGCAGGGGAAAACAAGGCAGGCAGGCAAGAATGGTCTCTAAAAAGGGGTTTTAATGACGAGCACACGAGACAATGGAACAATGATCCGACAAGACAAAAAGGACTGACAGGGTTTAAATACAGAGACCTGGGACCTTGGGTGACGAGAGTTAGGTGGGAGCAATTAACATGGACACAGGACTGAACAGAACGGGGAGACGGGACAGTGTGACCGACTTGTGTGTACTTTGAAGAAGTCTCGCCTCTTAAGGGTTCAGCTCATGAATAATGAGAGCAAAAACAGAAGTGTTTTGTTCATAACGTTGACACTATACCACAGGACCCAAATACGAACATTACTCATGTGTTGGAAGAGATGAACAGAAATAAGTAGAAAGGGTGCCTTTTCTCCTTCTGTCAGTGCTGGAGTTGGGAGGACGGGGACTCTCATCGCGCTGGATGTCCTGCTTCAGCAGCTGGAGAAAGAACGAGCGGTGGGCATCAATGACTTTGTCCACAGGATGAGACAGCACCGGTCCCACATGGTGCAGACTGAGGTAAAGCTACATCCTGCTTATTGTCTTAATTATCAGGTCTGTCTCCCACTTCATCTAAATTACCAAACTTTATCACGACTTATTACACGTGAAGTAAATAAGATGCATTTTTTGGAAAATGTATAAAAAACAGAGATGTTTTTTCAAACAAACTCTTCATCATTCAACAGCATATCAGTTGTTTTAATCTGAAACCACTTTTTAAACATAAACCACAAAGTTTTGCAGGAATAGGGTTATGTTCCTGAGTAAACACAAAGTTTGGGCCACAGCATCTTTCTGAAGCCCATTCTGAGTCATTTCTCTAGTGGCTCTGCCAACAAGTGCCAGTCACCGTCTCCATCCTACCCTGCTATATTAAAATAGAACTGTATCTTTTAAAAAACTCCACACTTCAAATATTGGCTTTTGTTTTTATCTCATTTTCACTTCAGTCCCAGTACATTTTCCTGCACCAGTGCATCATGGACTGCCTGAAACAAAAGGAGAAGAAAGAAGAAAGCGATTATGAGAACTCAGACCTGATTTATGCCAACGCCACCGCCCTCCGAGAGTTTCACAACCACAACACCGGCGCCTGAATGAGCCTCGCTCTGCACTCTTTTTGCACTTAAAAACTAATTATGTTATAGATTATATTTACATGGTTTCCACATATGTGAATAATCTTGACAATGTTGTGCTTCTCTGATAAATTTCTGATATAAATATAAGGAAATACACCCCAGATAACCAGAGAATGTTTTAAATTTTATTAGCAACATGGAAGTGTAGAAATAAACTAATTTGTACAGGAATATTTTATATTTAAAACTTGTTTTTGTAAATAAAATTCTAAAATGCAGTAAATGTATCAGATCACCAGGCTCCTCATACGTCCTACTTTGAAACACTCGTCTCCACTGGATCCGGATGCTTGGCAACAGAAAAGTTCTTCTCGATAAGCTGCCGTCGGACTTCGAGGGCCTCCGTGCTGACCTCTACTGGACTCAAGTGCTGCTTCCCTGGATATGGAGTCTCATGGACAGCAGCTGTGTTGTTGCCAGGAAGAGGAACAGAGAACTTTTTGGCAATGTTGTGCAGCATGCAGCACGCCTTGATGATGTTCGCCTTTGTGTTTAAGGAGGTTTCATCAGCAAACCCGAGCTGCATCAGACACTTGAAACGCCTCTTCATGGAGCCAATCGTCACCTCCATGACATTGTGGATCTTTGCGTGGGCCTTGTTGAAGCGGATGTCACCGTCAGTTGAAGGTTCCAACACCGGGGTCAAGACGTGTTTGCTTAAATGGTACCCTTTTCCACCTTGAAGGAAGCGGAGATTATTAAGTCAGCACCTGTGGAATCATTTAAATGCTCATTCTGATATGATTTTATTGATCATCAACCTAAAGCTTAATGGTTCACAGCATGTTGTAGGAAGCTCCTTTATCCTGGTGATTCAGCCAGTGAATCAGGTGTTGGAGCAACGAAACAAGTAAAGCATGGATATGGACGCTCCTGGACCAGGAGTGGGCATCGCGGATTTATTAGAATAATGTAATAGTTTATAACTTGCACCATACGTGTAAGTATCAATCATTTACTACAATTATTTATGTGCAATTTCTCAAATAAGTCAACTTATGAAGTAGAAAGCTTCACCAGGGAGGAAACAACCACAAAGAACTCTTCTTTGAAACTGGGCTGTGAAAATGTAGCAGGGTAGAAGTCTGAGGTCTACTAGAAGCTCACATCAGCCACAGCACAAACTGTGGGTTGTCAGAACTTCACACCATCAGGCTGAGAATGAAACCACAAAAGGCAAAGAAAAAGAACAAAAACACGTCACAAAATCTCCAAACCGGACCGCTGTCAAAAATGTCTGGAATAGACGCCACAGCAGCAAAGACTGCAGATGCAACAGTGTTGTCCTCCCATGCGTGTCAAGAGTCCAAACACATGTTGGAGAGCTTTAAACCAAACGGTCTCTACAGGCAGCCAATCAGGAGCATAGTGGCATATTTGCAGTCCAGTGCAGTGAGGTTCATCCAGACCTTCATAAAGGAGAAACAAAACGTTTACACAGGAGCCACCTCTTCAGGTCGAGACTCAGTTGTCTACCTACACCTCAAGGACAAGGGAAACGTTTGTGATGATGTAAGAGAAGATAGATGGTTTGAGAGGAGGAAATGAATTAATCCGACAAAAACAAAAGAGAAATTTTAAATAGGGTGTCTCAGGTTTCACCCCTCCTATAAAGCAGCTCAGATCCTCACACCGGTCTGCATCAGACCAAAACATCTCACAGGTGGATCAGCCCAGCAGAATAGGACCTAACAACATGTCAGGGGATGAAAGGGAGGCCAATTCACATCAAATATCAACTCATCACGCAGCAACAGCACACTACAGTTTATACATCTGACCAAGCTCCAAGGACGAGAAGCCAAATGTCTTCAAGAAACCAAATAAATCCAACATTTGTTCCCACCATCCAAGCTTGCTAGAAGAATGATCTGCTGATTTTAAACTGTTTTCTTAGGAAAATGCGACTTGGTTCTGGCCCACTAGCCTTTAGCTCAGGAGTCTCAAACTCCGGTCCACGTGGGATGCAATCCATAATGTTTTAGATGTTTCCCTGCTCCAACACACTCAATTTAATAGTTGAATCACCTGTTCAGATGGTTAATCAAGTGCTGATTAAAATCTGGTGTGTTTAAGCAGGGAAAGAATACATGCTGGACTGCGGCCCTCTAAACCGAGGTCGCTCAAAGAGACGACCTTTGTACCGATTGCCGGGTTTAAGGGCCGATACCAGTTTCATCTCTAACTCACTGATGCGGACTTTGGTTGTCTGATTTAAAAGAACGATAAACAGAAAACACTCAAGGAGGCTAGTGCCAACATGAACTGGTGCTTAGTGGTGCTTTCCATGACTGGGGGAATATTACAATTTTGGAATTTTAAATGGTCTAAATCAGATCTCCAGCTGATTTTTGTGCATCTACTTAACTCATTCAGTGCCATTGATGACTAAAGTCGTCATTTGCATTTTTTTTTACTGTTTGGGCATCGGAACAAGCCCCCGCGCTGAGAGAACAATCATCTCAGCTTTGAAGCCGATCTTCATCCGCATACGTCACATGATCAGGAAGCAGAACATCCATGTGTTAGGAGATTGTTTTGGGCCGTTCCTGTAAAAAAAAAAGTGAGGTGCTTACTGGAAAAGTGTCTGCCAATCACAATTTGACAACGGATTATGAAAGAATGGATAACGCTTGATACACGCGGATTCTTCCTGATGTAAGAGGTGAGTCTCCGCTTTGTTTTGGCGTCATCATCCTAGCGCGCAACGTTCTGCGACTCTTAAAAAAACAGTAAAAACGGTGAGAAACGCTGGCAGCAAAGGGCTTCAGCGATCAGGAAACGGCTGGTAGCGAATTAGTTAAAGAGCAAGTCACCCCCGACCAGTCTTACCCCACTCCCACTTCCTGTTTGAAAATTGCAACAAATACTGTTGCCTGGCAGACTGAGAGGGCAGAGCCACTTACAAACACACACAGGCACACAACGGCATTGTGACATATGGTACCAGATGACGTCATGGGTACCTCTAAAGCATGGAGCACACCAAAGGTGCAGGGTCACGCCCTCATTTTATATAGAAGCCATTATTTCTAATGAGTGGGGGCACACGGGGAGTGCCGCACCGCTGCAGATAGGTGCCAGTTCTATCTCAAGCGCCGCAGCGCGGTGTGACCACTTGACTTCTCAAAATCTCAGGCGTGCCTCCGGTGTGCACCAGGCTTTAGCCAATAGCGATGGCAGATTTAAGTTCAAATACAGTGCAGAATTTTGAAGAGGGCGCAACACTGACAGTTTTAGGGAGAAAACTTTAACCAAGATATACTAGAGTGCCAAATTATTGAGTACACGTGTCTGCAGCACAATTAGACTCATTTATAAAGTTTATCAGCCCAAAAAAATTAAACATTGATTTGGGGTGACTTGCTCTTTAATTACTCAACCCTCCAAAACCTTCTTTAGAAGCAATTGAAGCATCTTTTGAACACTTGACCAGATGTTTGAACTTTTGTCCACTCGCTCCAACAAATACTCTTCATTGTCCTTTTTAGTAACACCAACTGTAGGGACTGGGTGGTTTTGTTGATCTAAATATTAAATGAACTGTGAGTTTAGGGAACATGGGACACGTTCCAGCTGTTGTTTTAACTACGGAGTGTATTTTTCCTGCATCTCACCAATAAACCAAAACGGTCCGTGCTGCTCGTTCTCCACCTCCTTCCCTTTGAAGGAGGTCTCCCACATCTCCTGCTCAAACGAGCTCCCCACGCAGCACTTCTCCACACTCAGGATGTTGCCCTCGGAGTCGCAGATAAACTGGCTCACGACGGAAGTGTAACCGAGTGCGTTTATGAAGGACTTGAAGGAGGTCTTGTCATAAGGAGAAGCTCTGATCTTGAAGTGTGCTGGAGCCAGGACGCCCAGCACGTTGGGGATCCCGCAGAATTCCTCGATCTGAGAGGCGGTTCTGCTTCTGGCCTCAGCTGTAAGCGGGAAGGAGATGAACGTTTTGCACATCGCCGCTAAGACTCCAGAGATAGTTTTAACAACAGAATTCAAGTTGCCCGTTTGGCTCATCCAAGTGTTCCCAGCGACGGACGAGCTGAAGGCTCCGTGAGCGTAGTAGTTCAGCGCGATCATGAGCATCACGTCCACGGACGTGTGGCGCTTCGTGGAGTCCACCGTTTTCATGTGTGTGCCCACGGAGTCTAAGATGAACGCGATGCAAGGTCTGGAGAGGTGAAACTTCTCGAACAAAGCCTCGTCGGAGAAATTGTCGAAACAAGGTGGAGCGCCATCTTGTTCCTCCTCGGGCTCAAAGCTGCCGAGCATCTCCTCCTGGACGGCGAGCCACACCGGTACCGCAAAGGCCATCTGTTCTACGTCTCGGTGTAAATGTCGGTACGGCTGACACACTTAAGGGAAAAATGTGGAACGGATGCGAAGCAACCGCTCAAAAAGCTAAACAGCTTTTCTTCTTCGTTCTGAGAGACGATCCAAACGTGGCGCGCTGACGCCCCCTGCTGGTCAGCCGCGTCACCAGTTGTTTTTGTGCAGAATCAGATGGAGTGTGTGCTGTAATAATCAATCTGGTCTTCATCAGTGACATTTATTTCCCATCCATACAAGTCCATTTATTACATACTCATGCAGCAGAGAAATGTACTAATTCCTTGATTTAACCATTTTTGCAAAAATGATTTTAATCATCTGTTTTTTACTGAGTTTAAGATGGTGTGAGAAAACTCCAATAGCTCTAAACCCCAAATTCAAGAATAAACAAATCTAAAATGCTATATTTAAATTTTATTTAACTAAAATAAGTACAAAATAACAATGTTCTTTCTTTTCACTGGCCAAATGAGTCATGCTTAGAAACACTGAACATATCATCACTACACAGTCATGCCCAATAGTTATTTTTAGCAGCTTTAAGAGCCTCTCAAGTCCCACACTCAGTAACCCATCTCTGCAGTTACTCACTAAAAAAAGTGGCTTAAACGCAAGAAAATTTCATTTACACATACAGGTGAAATTTGAAAAGTTTGAAAATCGTGCAAAAGTTCATTTAATTCAATAAACAATAAAGGGGCTCAAACCAAATACTGAGTACACAGGTATGATTATACTTTTTCAAAGGTCTGACATTTCTCTATTTAAAATCCTTGTTTTATTGATATGATGTAATATTCTAATTGTCTGAGATTTTTCATACGCTGCAAGCCATAACCATTACAATTATAACAGATAAAGGCTTAAAATATCTGGCTTTGCATGTAATGAGTGTCTCATATAGTAGTTTTATCTTTTAAGATGAATTATTGAAAACTTGCACCGTTTGTAATTTATCACGTTTCACCTGTCTAAATTACACCTTACAATAAAGCTCAGAAGAGATTTACATGCCTTGTTTCTCTGTCAGGAAACTTTACTTCATTTTTTACAATTTAAACTTCACCGTTTCTCACAAACGAAGATATTTTATACAGTTTCAGTTATGCTTTAGATCATCAGTGTAACAACCAGTCATAATAACACAAAGTTATTTACTGTTGCTCTTTTGACTCTTGTTTCCCCATCAAGTCATCCCAGCAGGTAAACTGAGCTTTAAAATGATCTTTTTTCTACATTTATATTTACTAAATGATAAATATAACATCTGTGATTGTTTCATGAAACTGAAAATAATCAAAAGGTTAGACGGGTATTGTAAAATAGTTGTGAGGCTATTTTTGAAGAACAAATCATATATTACACATTTAACAGTTTTTTAAAACACAAACCAGGTAAAACACAGATAGTTTTACTCTGCCAACAACTCAGTTTATCAATTATGTTTCAGGGGACAAATAAAACATTCTGTTGACCTCACTAACGGACACATCTTTAAGTCGAGGAACTCCGCCTTTGCAGTCGCTGTCGGCCCTCTGGCCTTGTGCGAATACATCTGTAACACAAAAACAAGACAAAATGTACACTAAATATTTAGTTTTTAAACTGCTATTTGACACTTATTCCTTTCATAGATAACAGCTGGGATGCTATCAGACCTCACCTGTGATGTTGTCCACAGAGTCCAGTGGAGCAGTGTTGGTCATGTTTATCCCAAACAACACCAAAAATGACACCGATATTGCAACCAGCAGGTAGATTGGCATTGCAAGAGCCCAGTATCTGTGCAGAACAGGGAGTTTTTGTTAGAAATCCCAAATGCCAAATGTCGGTGGGAAATCTGATCTGGATTTTAAAGGTGATGCAGACTTTTGAGGCCAGTATGTGAGTCCGATTGAATGCAGCCACTCCTCTGGTATAAATGCCCACAAGCAGTACAGAACTGTGGAGAGGGAGGAGAAATATAGTCATTATTTATCTTCAGTCCCTTAAATCACAATTACTCAGTGAGTTGGGAAACTATAGCTAGCATTTGACTTTAAAGAGACTGCAGGCACTGATTTATGTCAGCAGGTCATGATGTGCATTGAGGAATAAAACATACGAGAAGCTAAATTATCATAATAAATAGCCTTTCTTCTAATAGAAATAATCTAACCTCACATTCAAATGTGTGATTAGGAGTTTAATCAAATAACATTTCTTTAAACAGTCGAACATTTGTTTAAATTGAACACGGACACTAAATAATTAAACTTAAACATGGTCAATCAGTCATATGATGGCTGCCATAAAGGTAGAAAAGAGCTGCCACAAAAGCAGAGATGTCCAAACAAATAGAACTGTTTTTGTTTTAGGGGCATTGCTGCTTGGACGCTAACCCTGACACCACACATGGGAGTTGTGAATAAAATTAACAAAGGTGTATCCTTTAAAGTGTTGAGATCACCGCTGTGTTTTGTCTTCCATCTTTACTTGTGTCAGCTTTTAAAAACACAAGACAAACGTAAGATTGTGTATTAGCTAGGATGAATATAAAAAATAAAATAAAACACTACAGACACATTTACAGGTAAACATAAAGATCATTTACTTCTGATTTTATACAGGAAGAACAGTCTTGACCTGTCACCTAAAAGATGCGTTCTAGTGTGTGTGTGTGTGTGTGTGCAAAACAGAATAAAATAATTATTTTTGACTTACAGAAACCAAACTGTGAGCCAAGGAAGAGAACAAACCCATAAATAGCTCTCTCGGGGACAGGAGACGGAGAGTTTTCAACCATGATCTGAAACCAAACAGGAAGCAGAGGAAATAAGCAAGCAACACAAACCAGAGTCTAAAACATCCTTAAATACTTCTGTCATCTTACCTCAGTTCATAAAATTTCCGAATTTTCACAACATTTGTGCCCCTACGTTTCTAAATAACGAGTAAATAAAGCTGGATTTCTAAAATAATACTAACAGGAAACATTTCCAACAAAACCTAAGAACAGCTGCGAGTTTGCACCAGCGTTAGTTCGGTCGGAAAAATTTCCCGGGTAAGCAGTTCCGCTTTTGATACACTAGACAAAAATATGACATCAAATTAAATTGTTTGAAGATTTACTAATTTATATGATTTAGTACATATTTACAGAAAATAAACATTTGAATATTAGAGTGCTTTCAAACTATGTAGAACGTTTCATACTGGGATGTCTTGTTCATATCGGACCCATTTGGCTGTTGCTCAGCCGGGAAAACGAACGCAGCATGGCTTCGGAATTTGCGAACTGAACGCAGAACCACGTTTATCTGCTGTTCTGTAAAAAATGAGCTGCTTGTTTACGTTAGTGTTTTATTTTTGATGCAGATTTTTGGTAAGGAGACATTACTTTAAGTGACAGCGGTAACAGCCATTGTCTATCGTTTTTGAAATGTCAGCATGGCTGACAACGTTTAGTTTAACAACTTCTTGTTAAAAACACTTTCCATAATGTCTAAGGCGAAGAAGAAGAAAGCACATTCTGACCCTAAATCCACAGCTAAAGTTAAGAGGAAGGAGTTTTGGATAAAACACAACTCGAAAAACAAATTTCAGAAGATTTCAGCTCCTCAGAAGCACCAACCTCACCTGCCTACACCTCCAGAGGAGGCTCAGCAGTTCTCCTCTAACTGGAAAGCTCTCCAAGAGGTTTGTCTGTGCATCAGTGTGATGCTGGTGTGTATTTACAAAGTTAATCTGATTTTTCTGAAACCTTCCACAGATGCTAAATGCCAGTAAGCCAGAGAAGAAGCTCCCTGTGTCACCCAAACAGAATGTCTTTCCAAAGAAAACTTTAAAAAATATTCCCAAGACTCCCAGTGAAAAAGACAATGAGACTAAAGTCAAGCACACAGTTGCTCCTAAATTTGCCATTCAAAAGGAATCAGAGGTGAACTCTGATGCCTCCAACACTCCGCAGCCAGCTGCTCCTAAAAGGAAACGGGACAAAGGAAAGTCCAACAGCGAGCAGAAAGCCAAGAGGAATAAACCAGTGGTAGAGGAGAGGAAGCCTACAGAGTGTGTACACCGTACTGATTTTAGAAGACATTGTGGACCAGAGTAGTTTTGTATTCCTAACTCTTTATTGTGTTTTGTTGCAGGGACGATCTTTGGTTCGATGATGTAGATCCTGATGATGCTGAGGAGACGTTGGGAGCAGAAGCTGCAGAGATCCTGAGGAGGAAACAGGGCAAACACCAGAGCAAAGACACAGAGAGCATGCTGGTGAAGGAGAAGTGTTTTGAGGGGTGAGTAGCTGTAAAAACAAGCTTCCTCTAGTGTGAACGCTGGACAGGACTTTATTTCCAGGATATGACTGACCACACGTTGTGTGAAACATTTAAAGTTTAAAAGGAAATTTTTTCAAGTTTGGCGCTAAAAGCTAAAGTGTAGTCATTGGTGGACACCCATTCCAAATTCATTCCTTAAATTTTGGATTTATGACTAGAACCACAAGTACTAGAATAGACTGTGCTGAGTATCAAAATAAATACTAAACCCAGGACCTTCTTGCTGCAAGGCAACTGCTCTATGTATACACATTTTAAGAAATAAAAAAAGAAGTAAAATAAAAAAATCTAGTCGAGCAGTGATGGGAATAACAATGTTTAAAATAACGGCATTACTAAAAAAATAGTTTTTTTTAATAACGAGTAATCTAATTATCGTCTTCTTTTATTATAACGCCGTTTACGTTACTGATAAGAAAATGCGAGCGTTAGTAATTCAGCAGCGTGGTGTGTTGAAGCTGTCAGCTGCTCGGGTGCTGAAGAGGCGGATGTTTTAATCCAAGTGCATCACGACCCGTGAAGAACGAGGAAGACGTGATGAATAGTCTACGGCTGCAGATCCGCAGATTCGCTGCTGCAGGCGTGAATCTGCAGCCGTGCCCTTCTTGCCGTGACAGCGGGACGTCCTGAAGGTCCGCTCACCTGTTCACCGCTCAGACATCACGATCTTCTACCTTCCTAGATCACCCAACTGCAACCTGTTTCTGCTCATTTCTTTAGTCCTGCTGTAACACTGATGCATCAGTCTCAGACGTCATGGTGCTCAGGTGTTATTAGAACTACCTGTGTGTCTTTACCACCCAGCTTCTGTGTTTGGGTCTGATCCAAATTAGTAAATTTAAGTCCTCCATCAGATTTGTGCCACTTCTAGTGCCATTTTAAAGGATTTATTTATTTATTTAACCATTACTAGATTACCAGCAACAGAAATGCTGCTAAAAACACACAATCATGTCAAGCTGGAAAAATGAGAATATTTTGCAAAATTACATTTATTACAGTAATTTGACTAGACTGAGAGACCATTTAAAGGCTCAGAAACCTTTACAGGTGTTTCTGTTTGCAATTATAAACTTTAGCTGATTGGGGTCTGGTTAAATATCACACAGTGACATTTTAATATTCTAGATTAGTGTAATATTCCTGTTTGTAGTTCCTCCTGTTAAGAGCCCATTTATTTAAATGATCCAGTTTTATAACAAACATTTGGACATATAATTTATTATGTTCCAGTCATTAGTCAGTTATAGTTTAGTATTGTAGTAATTTATAGTAAACTAAGTAAGTTTAATTAAGAGGGGAACCCATTTTCTTGCAATCTTTAATGAAAAAATGCAACAAAAAATTTTTTTTTGGTAATTAGTTACTTTTATAATCTTGTAATTCGGTAAGTAACTGAGTTATTTTTTTGACAAAGTAAACAGTAACTATAACTAATTACCTTTTTAAAGTAACGTTCCCAACACTGGACATAGGTACCTACTGATGCATTTTATTTAAAATTTACTTGCCCGTGTGTAATTTGGTCATACCAGATTCAGTATTTATGCAAAAATAAGGTTGTTTCCAAATGAAAAGGTTCAACAGCTAGATCTGAGACCATGGTCTTGAGTCAGAAAAGGGTAGAATCCCTTTTCCGGGTCAGGGATGAGGTCCTGCCCCAAGTGGAGGAGTTTAAGTATCTCAGGGTCTTGTTCACGAGTGAGGGAAAGATGGAGCATGAGATCGATAGGGGGATTGGTGCTGCGTCTGCCGTGATGCGGGCATTTTGTCGATCTGTCGTGGTGAGAGAGCTGAGCCAGAAGGTGAAACTCGATTTATCAGTTGATCTATGTTCCTACCCTCAGCTGTGGTCATGAGCTTTGGGTAGTGACAGAAAGAACGAGATCACGAATTCAAGTGGCTGAAATGAGTTTTCTCCGCAGGGTGTCTGGGCTCTCCCTTAGAGATAGGGTGAGAAGCTCGGTCATCTGGGAGGGGCTCGGAGTAGATCCGCTGCTTCTCCACATCGAGTGGAGCCAGTTGAGGTGGCTCAAGCATCTGGTCAGGATGCCTTCTGAATGCCTCCCTGGTGAGGTTTTCCGGGCACGTCCCAACTGGGAGGTGATCTAGACTATGTCTCTTGGCTGGTCAGGGAACGCCTTGGGATTCCACCGGAAGAGCTGGCCCAAGTGGCTGGGGAGAGGGAAGTCTGAGCCTCTTGACTTGGGCTACTGCCCCTGTGACCTGAGTCCAGATAGGCAGAAGAAAATGGATGAATGGAAGGTTCAACAACACATAACTGCAGATAAGGGAAGATGTGCACATTTGCTGTCACTTTTCAATAATTGAGTTTTGCCCATGACTTCGTCCCAGTTTTTCATTTCGGTCTAGTGTGAATTTTAGTTTGACACCCTTGGTCTAGAAGGTGCTCATAGACCAGGACAGAGTCTGAACTGTTCCTCCAGCCTCCAGTGTTACCAGATACAACCTGATGCTACCTGAGCTCGTCTACTCCCCAGAGCCCCCACCTCATTTTCTACTGAGATAAGACAATGTGTTGCTTACATCCCGGTGACGGACAACCCAGGACACAAGACGTCTTAACAGATTAGGAGCTTTCTAAGCATAAAGCAAATAGTCATAATGTTGTGGCTGGTCTCATCTGGATGCCTCCTAATGTTTGTCAATTCATTTTTAGGTTAATGTTGGGGTAGAAGAATTTCTTGGTGTTAGGTGAAAAATGCAGAAGTCGTTATTAAAGATCAAAGAGACTCCTGCCCTCTTTTAGGATGTTGTTATTCAGCTTCTATTCTTTTTGCTTTGTTTGTCCTCTGCTGTTAGCCTCACCAAAATAGTGGCCATTGACTGTGAGATGGTGGGAGTCGGTCCTGATGGTGAGGACAGCATCCTGGCTCGAGTTTCCATCGTGAACAAGTTTGGGAAATGCATCTATGACAAATTTGTGAAACCAACAGAGAAAGTGACAGACTACAGAACTGCTGTGAGTGGTATCCGACCAGAGGACATCAAGGACGGTGAGTAGAAAAAACCTTTTTAAGTCCTCCTAGCAGGGGGGCTGCCAGAGATTTTGGGCCCCATGAAAAAATATCAAGTTGGGCCCCCTGGGGGCTCGTCCATAGCTGGAGCTGGGGTTCCACCCTCCCAGATTCGAAGGGAGAAAAAAATATAATATATATTCTTTATATTAGTGTTTCAGTTTTGCTTAATTATGTAGGTCTACATGCATTCTTACTTATTTACATATCATTTTCACCAGCTGTCTCTCATTAAACAGTGAATTTCCTTCAACAGAATCAGCAATATCACTGCTGGAAAAAGCAGGAAAAGCACATGCTGAAAGCTGTTAATCTCCTTTTCCCTATTACTCCCTTAAAATGTGTTTATTTATTCTAAAATTTTATTTGATGATAAAATTCAAATTTGGATATCTAATTAAATTTCCATGTTTTAAAGCTTTTCATAACTTCATTTTCAACTGTCTTTCCTCTTGAAATCAAGTATTTCTGTATGACTGACAAAAATTAAGGATTCACTGCTCACAAGGTGATTTCTTTGTTTTTGAACCCAGTCATTAAAATTAATGCACAACAGGGAAAATGCAGCACAGACTCCTGCAGGATATTAGCTGTAGTTCTCCATCATCAATACTAGATTTCATATTTTATTGTGTTCAATGTTATATTAAGTTTATTTCTTACAATTATTAATAGCTTTTGTTTCAGTTTTGCTCTCTGATGAATTATTTGGAAATTACTGATTTTTGGTTTGTGTTCTAAAAGCTACATAAACAAATTACATCTTGTAAAACCTCCCATAATTCAGTCAGATTCAAAACATTTCATTTCAAGGTATTTAGTAGATGAGGTTTTTTTCTTGTATGGTGCCTTCAAAAAGGTGCTTCACAGTAATAATCTCACAGTAATTTATGTTACATTAACAGACTAAATAACAATGCTTCAACCTGCCCAGCATCCAAAACAATCTATATATTTTTACTGATTTATATTTATAATTATCATTATGTGGAAAAACAATGTGTTTATCTTCAAAAATAGACTTTTTCTATTCCTTTGTAATAGTACTGATAGAGAAGAGAGCTGTAAGTGATTCCCACAGACCCCCTTAAATGAGCTGCTAGCTAGCATGCTACATTGCTCACCTTCTTGAGGTTCATTGGGTTGTGAGGGGACACCTGCTGACATATCATCAGCTGCTGATTCTGGTAGGGACAAGGACAACAACCCATTTACCATAATTAGATGAAACATAGTTCCTCTCACTGTGGATATCAGAGCTAGCAAACAGGTTGAATTTAACCACTCACTAACTAAACCCACCTTTCTTTGAGAAAAACTGTGTGACATACTGACGCCCTCTCCTTTCTGTCCTTTCTCCTTTTCTTTCCTTTTCTGTGACCCAGACTTTGTTTTTGCAGACATATTTTTACTGCAGCCTTGACGCACTCGGCTGTCTGACTGCTAGCCTCGCCTGCTACGCCGCGTGCCCCTCGGCCAGGTGGACTGTACCATTTAATGCCGTTGGGGGGGTGTTCAAATCAATTAGTCAAAATAAAGTAGGAACCTCTGAATAAATATAAATTTCATAAAGACTAAAAGATTGTTTAATGTCTTAAATGAGAAAAAATACTGCAAAGTAAAGTACTTGTGATTTTTAAACTTAATTTTATTTTTATTCGACTTTGAAACTTTTTTGGCCCCTGACAGCTGTGGGCCCTTAGAATCTTCCTAATCTTTCACCGCTTTATGGCGCCCCTGCCTCCTAGGATTAAGTAGGTTTTTTTATTTTGCTGCTGTTGCCTAAAATGTCAAAATTCTTTTGAGAGGTTTTTACATTATTATTAAAGTTCAAATGTTACGAATAAAAAGTTCAAGTAGTATTTCAAGAACAAAAGTTATTCAGAGTTTAAAAACTGAAAAAACAATGAAGCTGTAACTGACAGTCCTACAATGCCTTTGAAAGTGATGGGTCAACATTTGCAGGTGTGGCTTGACTTTGTGTTTCTAGTTGCATTATCATCATAGAGGGACTAACTATGTAAAAACGACTCATTTGTTGTTCATTATGAGTGTGTTTACTGTTCGCCTCACTGTAGGTGAGGATGTGCAGACTGTGCAGAAGGAAGTCGCAAACATCCTGCAGGGGAGGATAGTGGTGGGACATGCCATCCACAATGACCTCAAGGTGTGTGTTTGTGTGTGTGTGGTGTGCGTGCGTGTGTGTGTTGGGAGGCAGGCGTTATGGTGATTAAAAGTTATACTCGATGACAGTTATAAAGCAAAAGCGATTCTACTCCTGTGATTGGTTAATGAAAGCCAGCTGAAAAAAAAAACTCACAAGCAAGTGATTCTATTGGCTTGGAGGTGTCATTTGGGAGTGGAACCACCAAAAGAGTCCAATGGGAACCTGAGAAAATCTCACATGTAACAGACCTTCAGCCGATGCCCACACACCACGATGCAGGAAATCAAAAACGTTCAAAAAGCTTTATTTGTCACTGAATGACTTTACAATGTTAACAAAGATGGCTAGAAGGTTAGATAACCGTAACAAGTCCGTGGAAGAAACGGTATTGCATTCCAAATACACTTGGTGCAGATGTTCCATTTGAGAATGTGCTGAAGTGTCTTTAAAACATCTGTTAAGTTGTTGTTCTTCAAACTCAAATGTTGTACAGCTACTGTCAATATGTAGGGTTATGGATTTCTAGAAGTCTAAAGCTACTGCTGCATTTTTCCATAGAGTTATTCAGCCTGAAATCCATATTTTTAGGTGGCAAAGGAAAAAAAAGAAAATCTTCTTTCTTTTTCCCCCCAATGTTCCATGTCCATTTACATTAATCACATATACTAATAATTACACATCTCAACAAATCCCACAAGATTTTACATTAAAATGAGACCAAAATCAATCAATCAATCAGGCCTTGTGGTTACAGAAATACAGTGGGGCAAAAAAGTATTTAGTCAGCCACCGATTGTGCAAGTTCTCCCACTTAAAATGATGACAGAGGTCAGTAATTTACATCATAGGTACACTTCAACTGTGAGAGACTGAATGTGAAAAAAAATCCATGAATTCACATGGCAGGATTTTTAAAGAATTTATTTGTAAATCAGGGTGGAAAATAAGTATTTGGTCACTTCAAACAAGGAAAATCTCTGGCTCTCACAGACCTGTAACGTCTTCTTTAAGAAGCTTTTCTGTCCTCCACTCGTTACCTGTATTAATGGCACCTGTTTGAACACATAATCTCTATAAAAGACACCTGTCCACAGCCTCAAACATTCAGACTCCAAAATCCACTATGGCCAAGACCAAAGAGTATGGCTGTAGCGAAGCCTCGACGAAGTCGACGGCTCGATTCTAAAAATTTGTCGACGTCAGATCCGGAAGTAGACGCACCGCGCCCACTTGTTGCATCCCCAGGAGTTTGTAAATAGAGGAGGAATCTGCCTGTTTTTCCTCTAGTTTGCCCTCTTCTCCGCCTTCACTAACATCTCCGCCAAATACCGAAGACCCGGAACAACGTCCGTCCACTACTAGATTATTTTCCTGTTTTGCCCCTTCGTCTCCCGGCAACGGACAACAACTTCCAGGGTCAGATGCGCTGCTCCTTCTCTGTCGCAGATGTAGAAAATCACCGGGAGCGCTTCTCCCTTCATTAAGGAGCTTCTTTCAGACATTAGGAGAGCTGTTTTGGTGGTAGCAGTCTCTCCTCCGTGCTGGTCTGTTTGCTGCTGGGTGTTTTTGGTTTATTTAAACTTGGTAACTTGAACTTAACGTTGGTAAAGCTACTGTTAGCATCTTCGCTAACAAATTCTTGCGTTGGGATAAGCTATTACGTTTTGGTTTCAGAGTTCATCTTTTTTGTGGTGCAGATCTCCCTTTTATTACATTTAGAGTGTTATGGGTTTTCGGTTTAGTTTAAAATATCACCTGAGTTTGGTTTAACCCGTAAGACCACTCGCCTCACGCACATAAGTGACCAAAACAAAGCAGCATGGAGACACTCCATCTTCTACCACCTCTCAGGCAGCAGCCTGCACTCCCAAGTTCTACACGTCACCAGAACATAACCAACCGCAACACAATAAAAGCAGTGTTATGCAAAATGGAAGGCCTGTAGTGTTTATTCTCTTACAGTAAGAATTTATCAATTTTTTGAGGAATTTGAGATTTTCTGGTTTTTGTTAATTGTGCAATAGAAAAATAATCATTAGATAAATTTTCTAAATAGTCATTAGAATAGTCGACTATTCGATAAAATAATCGTCAGAATAATCGTTTTAAAAATAATCGTTTACCCCCAGCCCTACCAAAGAGCTTTCGAAGGACACCAGGAAAAGAATTGTAGACCTGCACCAGACTGGGAAGAGTGAATCTACAATAGGCAAGCAGCTTGGTGTGAAAAAATCAACTGTGGGAGCAATTATCAGAAAATGGAAGACATACAAGACCACTGAATCAAATCCTGCAGTGCCAGACGTGTTCCGCTGCTGAAACCAGTGAATGTCCAGGCCCGTCTGAAGTTTGCCAGAGAGCACATGGATGATACAGCAGAGGATTGGGAGAATGTCATGTGGTCAGATGAAACCAAAGTAGAACTTTTTGGTATAAACTCAACTCGTCGTGTTTGGAGGAAGAATAATACTGAGTTGCATCCCAAGAACACCATACCTACTGTGAAGCATGGGGGTGGGAACATCATGCTTTGGGGCTGTTTTTCTGCTAAGGGGACAGGACGGCTGATCCGTGTTAAGGACAGAATGAATGGGGCCATGTATCGTGAGATTCTGAGCCAAAACCTCCTTCCATCAGTGAGAGCTTTGAAGATGAAACGTGGCTGGGTCTTCCAACACGACAATGATCCCAAACACACCGCCCGGGCAACAAAGGAGTGGCTCCGTAAGAAGCATTTGAAAGTCCTGGAGTGGCCTAGCCAGTCTCCAGACCTCAACCCCATAGAACATCTGTGGAGGGATTTGAAAGTCCGTGTTGCTCGGCGACAGCCCCAAAACATCACTGCTCTCGAGAAGATCTGCATGAAGTAATGGGCCAAAATACCAGCTACTGTGTGTGCAAACCTGGTAAAGACCTATAGTAATCGTTTGACCTCTGTTATTGCCAACAAAGGTTATGTTACAAAGTACTGAGTTGAATTTTTGTTATTGACCAAATACTTATTTTCCACCCTGATTTACAAATAAATTCTTTAAAAATCCTGCCATGTGAATTCATGGATTTTTTTTCACATTCTGTCTCTCACAGTTGAAGTGTACCTATGATGAAAATTACTGACCTCTGTCATCATTTTAAGTGGGAGAACTTGCACAATCGGTGGCTGACTAAATACTTTTTTGCCCCACTGTATACTCATTAAAGTGTGGGCATGTCATTTTCAAAAGATTTTTTTTAAAAAGGCCTAGGGCTCAACATGTTAATTAGAATATCAGAATATTAGAATATATTTAAATTTTTTGCACACTTACGATAGCTTAATGAGGCGTTAGAAGAGCGATAGCACATCTTGTCCAGACAGACTGAGAACAGAAAATTGTTTCTGCCCGGACCGTTTTAGTTGTGACACATTCAGAGCCCACTTTAGAGTGTATTCATAAAACAGGATGTGAGAAGATTTTGTTACAGACACAGTGAGTTTTTATGCAATATTATTTTAAAACAGACCACTGATTATTTTAAGCATAAAGCTTCACAGCGCCATCTGGTGGGGCCCAGTCAGCTGTGCTACACTTAGCATATTTACACTGTGTGTGTGTGTGTGTGTGTGTGTGTGTGTGTGTGTGTGTGTGTGTGTGTGTGTGTGTGTGTGTGTGTGTGTGTGTGTGTGTGTGTGTGTGTGTGTGTGTGTGTGTGTGTGTCTTTTAACTGGTAGACTCTTAACAGGTTAAAATGAATTTGAAACACTTTTAAACCTTTTCCAGATTCTGTTCCTTGATCATCCAAAAAAGAACATCAGGGACACCCAGAAGTATAAACCCTTCAGGAAAATTGTTAAGGTAAAAGTATATTACAGTTAGTAAAAATTCAAAAGCTCTGACTTATTGAGGCTCCCAAATGCACATGGACCCCCAGAAGTGCACCAATGGTCCCCAATCAAATCAGGAGATTTAAATAATAATGACATGATTTTCTATCTTTAGAGTGGCCGACCAGCGCTGAGAGTCCTCTGCAAAGAAATCCTCAATGTCAAGGTCCAGCAGGGTGAACATTCCTCTGTAAGTCTTCACTCCATAGTTGCTATAAATGATTATTAGACACTGTTATATCTGAAGTGTAGCAACAGCTGAAGGAGTTCTTCCTGTGTTCTGCAGGTCCAAGATGCACAGGCCACCATGAGGCTGTACACTTTAGTCAGAAAACAGTGGGAGGCAGAAATTATAGCGAGGAAGAAAAACAAAGATCAAGACAAGAAACCCAAACGACAACCCAAGTAGGAGCGATGCCCGGCGTCTTCTGGGATTCACAGGAGGACAGAATGTCTCATGAATGGAAAGTCCTAGGATTTTGTTTTAGGAGAAGATGACACTTCAGGTGGCCCTTAGGATTAAAAATGTTTGGTGGTATAAAACGTCCCTTTCATGATCAAATGTACGTGTCACAGCAAAAATACAACTAAACATCCTGCAAAGACGAGTAAAAAAGATGTTTAAGTACAGCATTCCCACAAAGGAAAACACCTCCAGAGAGGGGTGTGTAACAAGGCTAGATTACTGCTAATGTATGTTAATCTTTAAGCCAGAGTTGTCGATGTCTTAAAGCTGGCTCTCTTTACGATGGTTGCATCACCATGGTAACCACCTGTTCTGTAGGTTCTGTTCACAGGTTTGCATTTTTCATGGGTTTTAAGTGTTGGCTGTTTATTTCCTTTAACCACTCTTCCGCTGGCTGATGGAGATAAGTGCAGCTTATTTAGTGATGATCACTTTTTGTAATATGCCACACAGAAAACCAAATAAAAGGACATAACTTCTAAATTCTGCTAAATATCCTAAGTTTTAGGATGTTTCAGTCAAATAATAAATCATGTAAATTATGGCTACACCTCTCAGACAGGAGAGTGTTGCTTTTGTTGATCATCAGAGTACTGAACTGATTTAATGACCAACCATTCACAAAAGTCACATGCTTTATTGACTTTGAACCTTTCAATCATATAAACCTTTTTCTCCCGTCTCAAAGTTTCCACAATAACAAATCTTTGTGATGTATATTTTTGTCACTATGGTCCAGTTTTATAAAAATAAACACAATGTAGAACTGTCACTTTTTTATCTATATTACGTGGATGAAGCTTATGGATAAAAACCCATAGATATGTGAGAATTTGCCTCCTTGCTGATTTCCCATCTTTTATTTTTTTATTGTCCAAAAGTAGTTTTCAAATAATGACTCATTTGGGAAAAAGTCTCAAAACCAATCTGGCCGTACGTGGAATTTTAAGAGCCTATAAACTGGTCGTGACATCTTTGGATCGAGAGAACAATCATTTAAATGGTGCCTTCTAGGGTTCCTTCAACCCCCGACGGTGCTTTACACTGCAATCAGCCATTCACATGCGGGTGGTGATGAGCTACATTGAAGCCTCAGCTGCCTTGGGGAGGACTGGCACCACCAGTCCCTCCAACCAGCAGTAAAGATGGGTGAAGTGTCTCGTATCACTCAGAATTTTTTTTCTCACTCTTTTCCCAGAACACACCAGCCCATTAGAGTCACAGTCTGTTTAAAGGTCAAAAGCCAGACATTCTCCCTCAGAATTCCTGGCTAGAGAGCAGAATTCATGGCTCCATCAGTTACAGCAGAGTGACCCCAGACCATCACACTACCACCACCATCCGTGTCTGAATGCTGATGTGATTTTAATCTGGACTTTTACTCCAGGTGGAACAAGACACGTGCCTTTAGAAAGTTCCACTTTTGTTTTATTTTGGGGGTAATCAAGTAGATTTTTGATATGTTGCTCTTTGAGAATTTTATTCAGCTTCATGTTGTTAGACAGGTTTTACCGGAGTGATTTCTTATTTTTCTACAAGTGATCCAGCCTGGGTGAAGTTAATGTGTTTAACTTGTGTGTGCATGAAAGTTGGGTTGAGACCCCCTCCCCCCAATGAATGAACTCATCATTTAGAAAGTTGGGTTATCTTTGACATAAGAATTAGTTTGATCTGTAACATTTAATTGACAAGAGAAATCTGCAAGAGGGCTAATCTTTCACAGTGCTGTAGATGCAGACTCATTTATTTATGAACGTTTCCTTTGATGCTGGAGTCCACTGAGACGGGTGGAAATTTGACCTTTGGTGCTCGGGATCCCTGGTCCATTTAATACCATTTTAAAATTTTAACTGTGCAAAATCACTGTTTTACATCTCCGTACTTCATTGGCTTATAGGATGGCTCCTCACAGCTAGAGAAAAACTGCTCAGATTGTGTCATTGATTTTGATGACATGTAAAAGTGTTTCCTGGCTCTTTGGAAATGGATAATTGTGGGAAATCCATAAGTGAAAACCAATGAAAGCAAGTCTACATTGGAGCTGCAACCTTATCCAGCCTGAGCAAACGGACCAAACAGAGTTTTATTGCTCAGAAAGATGGGAACATGTGCCAATAATAAATGGTGTGAGCTAATGCTGGTGTTTACCTGGTGGTGCGTAAAGATGCTCGTTTATCAACCTGTCATTTGGGTTTCTGGGAGGAGGGTCTGCTTTAGAGCCAGATTTCATTCAGCTGATGGAGGTTTTAGAAAAGTTTTGTCGCTTGCATGGAAGACTAAGAATCTTCTACAAGGAGGTCGTTTTAGGAAAACTCAGACATTAATCAGGGCTTTCTGTAGACTTTTAAAGATCTGACACAAAGCCCTCAAACCTGTGAGAACTCATTCATTGGATACAGTTGTAGTTTATCTTTTTTTGAAGGAAAATATTTTAAAGTTCAACAAATTCCTTGCCCCTGTAACATTTTAGGGTTTGATCCGTTCAAATCTGAGCTTCTCTTTGTTATTCTGTCTCCAAAACATGATTTTCAGGCCAGATTTGATAAAAAAATGCAGCTTGTAGAATAAAATAATATTAATGTTTTAGGATTTACAGGAGAAAAGAAATCCAAGATTTTCCAGGAATACAATAAGAAATCTGCTTCTTTTCCCAAAGCTAAACACATAGTTTTAATGTTCTTCTTAAAACCAACATCTGTTCCAATATACTGATTAGAATATTGAATAATCCTGCTCATTATGAGGTTGGTTCAGTTGCTTCCAGTATCCTCTTGTAGATTTCACATCGGCTCAACATTGGAATACAGTTGGATGCAAAAGTTTGGCCAGCCTTGTAAATCTTACAGCTCGATTATGGTACTAATAACAGATGTGGTTAGTTTTGAATGTCATAATTCATACTGCATGAATAATTTTTGTGTTTGGTCTGTCGAATTAACCGCAGATTCTTGTGAGCAAAGAGACTCACCATTTCATAAAAGACCTAAACGATCAAGATAAGAATCTGCACACTGCAATCTGCGATGTGAGAGCTTTATTAGTCGAGCTTTCGGTCAGAGACCGTCATCAGGAGTTGACAACTTGTGTAACATTGAATTTAAAACTGACTACCCTCTTGAGTCGAGGACAAAAACGTCCACTTCTAAAAACTGCTTTAAAAACAATACAGATTTTAGGGTTCTTTCGTCTTTTGTGGTTAAATCTTCATTTCTGATAAAAACTATCAAATAGTGAAATAAATTCTAGAGTTAAACCCTTTAAATGCAAACTTTATCATGTGATACTATTTTAATTAAAAGAAAAAAAGAGATATTTAACAGAAAACATGCTGGATGTATTATGCGTTAAATCTCTACCATCTTCAAAGATGCATAACAAAACTCCATACTCTGCAAACCTGATATTTATTGTGATGTTTCAGCAATTATCAGACAACTGATCTCCAGTAATTAGATCCGTCCATCTTCTGCTGCCATAGTCTTGCTCCCTTTGAGGCATCCACCAGGCTAGCTTTGAGAAAGAGAGTCCTGGGTCTGCTCTGAGGTCTTCTCCTAAGTTAGCATGTGTCTGGAACATCTCCCGGTGAAGGTGCACAGAACACATCGTCACTGGAACCCACCTCTATTGGCTCCCTTTGATGCGGAGGAGCAGCGACCTCTCTAAACTCCTCACCCTGTTGCTTAGTTCAGCTGCTCTGTGGAGAAAGCTCATTTAATGGTGATATCATCCCACCGGCCACTACCCACATCTCCTGAGCGTAGGTCAGGGCAGAAACCAGACTAACGTTCCCTCATGAACTCTGAGGTACTTGAACATCTCCACCTGGAGCTGCGGCTCCTGGAAATGGGAATCCATTTTTATTTTACTGGATGAAGTGAGGGAGATTCGGGTCTGTGGAGGAATTTTTCCCTAAAAGTTTTTTTTTTCACCTTCGAACAAAGGAGCATACTAACAGCGTTTCAGGTATTGAGTTTTTTTGATTTGCATCAACCTTTAATTCACTGTTTTATGATGACAGGGAGGATGTCAGAAACCACAAATGAAAGCCAGTGTCGCGTTGAGTCAGTGTCACACTGTCTTAGAGAAAATCTGCAGGGGTCAGAAGGTCTTCCTGGGTTATAAAAACATAACTGCTTATGTAACTGCCTGAGACCACTGCCATAGACATAAATAATACACATAAGGATGAGTTTGTTCAAATGAGATCCACTTACTGTCCTAACCACGCAGAGTGATCTGTTCTGATGTTAATTGCAACAATAAAGGGACAGACAAAACGGTAAGCTAAAGAGACAAATAAGACAGGCTATTGATACCCAAAACTGCAGTAGACGATTATTAAGTCTACATTTTGTATGTATGAATATTTGTGTGTGTGTTCTTATGTGAGCATATGTGTTTGTCAGTGTGTTTTGTGTCTGTTTCACTTTAAAGTCTCTCATGAAGCAACAATATTAAATGGTGGTGGTGGGAGAGACCTGGTGGTGTCTGGTGTGTTCTGAAGCTCCTTGGGGGTTTTAGCCGAAAGCACCCAAATGTTGTATTTTTTGCACACATGTACATCGTTCAAACTCTAAAATAACTAACATTCTCTTCGGAGAAATTCATGAAAGGGTGAAACAAAAGGTTTTGTGGATTTCCAGTTCTCTTTTGTGGTAAACAAACAAACAAACAAACAAACATGTAAAATGGGAAAATGTGAAAGAGTCTTTAATGAAGACATTTTTACAGGTGTGTCGTTTGTATTTCAATCTATTAAACCAACATCTGTGTTAGAATAAACAGAAAATTACTGATGTTCTAAGTTTAGATGGACATCATTAACTCCCATATTCCCATGTCCTCACTTGTCTGTCTTCACTTTACTCTAAAGAGCGTTTTGTGGTCAAAGCTGAATGTTCGCCGCGCCATTGAATGGCCTTTGGCTGTCATGGAATTTTTATGAGATCCTGCACTCAGATTCCATCAATATGTCCATCAGTAAAACTGCTTGCTTATCGGTGTTCGTCTTGTGGACACACACACACAGGCACATGTATATGGTTTGTTTGTAATTTAGTTCACATTGCCACATTTTCAATATTTGTTCCATTTGACTCATTTTAGTTCAGAGCTTTTTTATGGGTAACTGTAGTCTTTTCAGCCCCTTTTCTGTGCTCTACTGCTGTTGTTTAGGTCGGTTTTGACTGAAATAATATGTTGGTTTAAGTTATGTTTTTAAATGAAGTCTCTGTGAAGTCTGTTTCAAACTGATTGCAGAACAGAGGAGATCTGGTGTCTGCACGGCTTCCGGACGGACTGCCGTTCACGCCGACTGAAGGTCATGTGCTAAACGTCGCCAGATATCTGCTTCACAAGAGCACCAAATGATTACAGATGTGACAAAATATGTTTAAAGACACGTCTGTGAGAACGTGAACTATATCCCCGCCATTAAAAAGAAAACAGAAGTAGTGATTAATGCGACACAAGTTTTATTTTGAAATATACTGGATGCACCTTGCTGAAACACGCATCACTTCCTGTGTGGCTCCTGTAGTTTCTTTCATAGACATTGATTAATTGATTAATTGAAAGCCCCAGAAATGCAGGGACGCTATCATTACATTTTGAGTCTATTTTTCACACACTATGCTTCCAGTTCAGGTCAAACTCTGCTGTTTAGATCACGCCAGACAGGAAGTCATAAACAAAAGCAATGTAAAACATCAGGAAACTTTCAAAATAAACATCACATGCAGGTTAACGTGTCTTTTCTTGTTAAAGCCCCCGTAGACGATGCAAACAGTACAGAAAGTAAACCACAGACCTTTTTGGAGACATGCAGCTGTTTTTCTCCTTGCTTATTATTGTGTGTGTGGACTTTTGAAATCACACGTGGTGTTGCAATTCCCTCGTGATTTAGTGACGGGATCAGCTGTGTGGAACGCTTTCGCAGAATTGCTTTAGGTTGGGAATGAGCTTGCAGATAGAGCGCCGCTATTACGTAAGCTATCGCTTTCTTGGCCGGTGTAAAGAAGGGGTTAGGTCTGCACCTTTCTGTCTTTGGTTCGGCTTATTTTGCAGCTTTCTACTCACTCTGCACACCTGCTCCCCATCGGTTATCAGCTCATCTGTTCCAACTTTGCAGTCACATCCTTCAAAACAAAGGTGATCCTGTTCCTTCACATGTCAGATCTTCCTGTTTGTTCCTGCAGTTGAATCCGTGGGCCAGTGACTTCGGCTTATTTTATCACACATTTCTGAGTTAGGGCTGCATGGTGAAGCAGTTGGTAGCAAGGTTTCCTCACACCTAGAAGGTTGCAACTTCAAATCCTGCCTGCACTGCCATTCTGTATGAAGTTGGCATGTTCTCCTCAGGAGTGTGTGGGTTTTCTCTGAGTGCTCCGGTTTCCTCCCACAGACCAAAAACATGCTTGTCAGATTAGATGGTGACTAAATGCTCCCTGTAGGTGTGAAAAAGCGACTGGTTGTCTCTGTGTCCCTGCGATGGACTGGGTGTCCCCTGCACCTCTCACCCGATGACTGTCGGAGTTACACACCAGCTGGGACCCTAATGAGGATGAAGTGGTTAAGATGATGGATGATTTTCAAGATCACCTGCACTGTGGGTCCAACACCAAAACCCTGACACTCTGAATTTACCAAAACCATGGCTGCTCTCCATCCCACGTCCAAAGCTACAAACACACTTAAATCTTTAAGTCAGTGTAACTCATTAGGTGCTTTATTTTAACTATTTAGTTTAATCATGCGAGTGAACTTGAAAAAGAGGAGTTGGTTATGTTTTAGCTGTGACTTATTGGTTGATTTTAAGAAAAAAACCTTTGATTTTCATCAGTTTGTCAAGAACAAGCTTTCGTTTGACCATAATGCCTCCAGTAGGAGCAGAACACGGTACAATTGGTTTGCTCCAAAGCTTTTCAAAATAAATGTAAAAGTTTATCCTGAGAAAGAGAGAGAAATCAGCAGCAAGAGCTCTTACGGGGCTTTAACAGTTAATTTAAGATTAAAACATAGGTGAGAATTTAAGATAAAATGCATAAAATAGCCTTTATTCCATCAGGAGCTTACTGAGCACCGCTGCATCCAGAAACGCCAGACATAAACCAACTGCGTAATGAGATACTGGCCAGCACGTTTGACCCCAGGCGGTCCGTTAGACTCTGAACAGATTTATCAGCCGATTCAGGTCCTGATGGATCTCTAACATAACCAGTCTCCTCCAGGGTCCACTGCTGGTCCAGTCTTCTGTTCTTTAAGCCTCATTTATTCAGATCCAGTTTAGAGTCATCGTTCTGCATCAGAAGCTTTGTGACGTCTCAATATGCATTTTGACAAACCCCAATTATGCCTTTTTATGATTTGCTCCTTTGTCCTCCTTGGAGTCCACTTTGTCTCGAACAGTGACAGGTGCTTTGAACCTGGACCTTGGAGGTCACCTCTAATCTTGTAGGAAGTTACTCTGAGCTCTTTGGCTGCCGCTGGTATTATCCATCTCTCCAGCTTATCATCACCAATCCTCCCACATGTACGTCCAGAGAAGATGGTCCTGTGGACGTAAAACTCACAGGAACATCCAGATGCTTGGAGACGATCTTCTCATCTTCACCTTTAACACGCTGGTCAATAATCGTCTCACTAATCTCCAGAGACAACTCTGTCCTTGTCTTCCTGTGGTCCGTGTTCAGTGTGGTACACACCCTGATACCCAACAGCCCTGTGACTCCCGCTCACCCTTTAAACAGGCAGACTGGCTGATCACAACACTAAAAACACCTGTGATGCTAATGAAAGGGTGAAATGTAATTTCTGATTTCCATTAGTGGATTCTCTTTAGCATCACAAAGCTTTCCTCTGCTGTCACATATAATCCACCTGCCCCTCTGATACCCCATGACTGCTGATGTCAGCCGAGCCACTATCAAAGCCAGGAACCCGTAGACAAAATGGTGTTTGTGCGGGCATCCAGCAGAGAGAGAGAGAGAGAGAGAGAGAGAGAGAGAGAGAGAGAGAGAGAGAGAGAGAGAGAGAGAGAGAGAGAGAGAGAGAATCGTTTATGTGTATTTTCCTGCATGTGTGTTTATTAAGTTCAGCAGCCGTTAAAAAAACGAGTCCCTGTATTTACCGGGGTCCTCCCACCCCTTCTGTTTTCTCTCATCCGCCCACATGAATCGTCTGAGGAAAAAAAAATAGTGCAGAGGGTGACGCTCCTCCAAAGGAACAGCGCGCGGCTCAGAGAGGGAACAGGGAGAGGTGTCTACCGGCGGAAGCGTTTGGAATGGTGGCTGCACCCTGCGCCTGGGAGCGTAGAGACTCTAAACAGAGGCTGGCAGTCTCTTTTTGGCAATAACAAAGAGGTGGGAGAGAGACACAGACTCAGAGAGAGAGAGAGAGAGAGAGGAGAGAGAGAGAGAGAGAGAGAGAGAGAGAGAGAGAGAGAGAGAGAGAGAGAGAGAGAGGAGAGAGAGAGAGAGAGAGAGAGAGAGAGAGAGAGAGAGAGAGAGAGAGAGAGAGAGAGAGAGAGAGAGAGAGAGAGAGAGAGAGGAGAGAGAGAGAGGCTCTGAAATCAAGGGGGAGAAATATTCAGGTTTCTGATGGGGACTTCTGCTTCATCCCATCCCTTATTTTTGCCTCATCAGCATGACCATACGCGCTTAAAGTAACATTCGGCAATAACAGCTTTTTTTCCAGCAACAGATGCGCTCCATCCTGATTTTTGTTGTTTCCAGTAGCTGCGGAGGGAATTTAAAACGAACACAAAACAAAATATAAGCTCACCCGAATGCTGCGAGAAACTGGACTCTCTGACACCATAGAAACTACGATCTGATTGATCTTTTTTTTTTTTTTTGTAAAGCTTGATGTGCGTGTTCCTGCGCGCACTCGAAACGAACCTGAGCCAAAAGCAAGTGAGTATTAACCGTGTCTGTGTATGCGACTGTACCTGGTGGCTTCATTCTGCCTTCTGACGCTTAATTAGAGCATTTTTCCGGCCAGGGGAATAGAATAAAATACAAATGAGCGAATTTAAGCATCTACATTCAACAAGTATCGTTTTGTCCTCATTACCTGGCCTATCAGTGTGTAGTTCACTGTACGCGTGGCGATACAGTTCTAAATTGATTTATCATCACCACCGTCATCTATAAATAAGAAAAATGGTCATTTACAACCAGATTTTTAGCGTATGGTCAATCATTTTCCCGGTGCTTAAACCCTAACCCCTTCATATTGCACTAATAGTGGGTGTTTCCCCACCTCCACCGCAGATCACAGCTGTTTCACGCCTCTGGAGAGGGAAGATGTACATTCTTATACCGCCTGTCTGCACGAGTTTCCATGTGTTGCACGGTGCTTTTAATATCTCGTGTGTGTGTGTGGTGTGTGTGTGTGTGTGTGTGTGTGTGTGTGTGAGAGAGAGAGTTAGTGTCAGGGCCTGAAATGGAGGTTTGATATAGGAAGAGGGCTGACACACACACACAAAAAAAAAAATACATCGAAGGATTGGTGGTGGTGTGGTGGTGTGTGTGTGTGTGTGTGGGGGGGGGGGGGGGGGGGGGGCTACAGAAAGGACAGAATGTCACTAAGAACTGATCCAGGAAGACCTGGATTTATAAAGGGTGGGAGGCGATGCAAAACGTCTAGACTCCTGCAGCGCATCGCCTTCCTGCATTCCCCTACACCGATTCCCTGGTTTCATAACGCCTCTCCTGCCTTCCCTTTCCATCCTTTTCCCATTTTCCTTTTTTTCCCTCTCTACCCATGGCTCCAGCGTGCCCCCCTCCTAATGGGAACTCTGCCTCTTTTCCTCCATTTGCTTCTCCTCTTCCACTCCCCTTCTCACTCCTGCATTTTAATTCTACAGCTGATGCTATTTTTAGACAGAGGGTAACCCAGAATACACCCCTTAGATTTATTTTTTTCGCTTTTTGCAAAAAGCATCAAATAAAGCTGTCAGCGGCTGATGCCTGAGAGGAGTGCACGGCCGTTTGAGCAACAATTTCAGAGATCTGGTCTGCTCTGATTGTGAGACAAGCTTTAGCCTAGACAACTTTCTAACTCTCACTTCTCTAGACCTTGAGGTCCCACATCTCCTCTTTGTTTTTCTCACATCTCTTCTGCATCTAATCCGTCACTTTCCTCCGCCAATTGTGGGCCGGGTCACGCGGGTCAGGAGTCGGTGTTATAATACTGCTTCCCCTGTGCCGTCTTGTCTGTCTGGGTCCACGTAGCGCATCACTGCCTGCTGGATAATAACATCCTAATCATGCAGGGAGGGCAGAGTCATTAATTAGGAGCAGGCAGGTTTAAATGACTAAAGAGTCAGGGGAGCTGGGCTTAGAGCGATCTGCTCCTTACCAAGCCTGGTTCTCAAGTTCTGTGGGATATTAGGTCAGATTTAAGCAGGTCTAAAAATAGAGTTTCTTCTACCCAACATGACACACTATCCTGTCCCTGTTTCTGTCTGACTTTTCATTCCCCGGTAATTATCACCCCAAATCTCTTCTCTTCCTGCCCGAGGCTTCTGCTGATCAACAAACTCTCAGTGTGAAGAACAGAAAGGATTTTTTTCATCTTCGTTGTTTCCAGAAAATAGCCAAACCATTCCCAGAAAAAAGGAAAAAAGGCAGCCTGCTTCTGGGAAGGGTGAGCGTCCAATGTGGACCAGAGTTAGGACCCCTGAGGTGTGTGTGTGTTGTGTGTATTGGTCGGCCCTGAAGAGCTCCACGGCGATGTTGCTGAGTAAAGGAGCTGCCGTAGATTGGCCATTTCCTCTTTCCTCACCTAATTGATTGGCTTCTAAACCGGCGCTCTGGGATTTGGCCACCGGCATGTTTTCATTTCTTATTTTCATCGCAAATCTTTTTCTCCCTCTTCATAATTTGTTTTTCAGCAGTCAGAAATGAGCTTTTGCAACTTCTCCTTCATGTCATTTTGATCTATTTCACACACACACACACACACACACACACACACACACACACACACACACACACACACACACACACACACACACACACACAACACACACACACACACACACACACACACACACACACACACACACACACACACACACACACACACACACACCACAACACACACTACCTCGCTTCTCCTCACCTGACAGAACAGATTTAGACCATCAAGTTCAGAGAGGGGAGGGAGAGAGGGAAGAGAGGCGCATGTTGTGGTGTGGACACCGCACTAAAAGGAGGAAGAGGAGGAGGAGAACGGAGGAGGAGGAGGCGAGGGTAACCGCAGTTCTTTCGGCGTGGCTGCAGCTGCTCTCTCTGCCGGGGTCTCCACGACACTGGGTTAGGAACCATAAGTATGTGAAGGGGAGAGGAGTGAGGAAGGGATGGGAACGAGGGAGGAGATGAGGATGGAACAGTGTGAAGCCTTGTGGTTACATCCTTTGATGAGGTACAGTAGGGTGGGGGTGGGGGAACTGTGCACCAGAAGTGTTGTTTTTGCATAAATACACCCCCTCCCTCCAGCTAAACTTATCCTCTTTCCTCTCCTCTTTTTTCTGAATAAATCTCTTGTTATTGGAGATACATCCTTTCTTTCACCTTCACAAGTCCCCTCCAACACCCGTCTTTCTCTCCTCCGGGTATCTCGTCCACCTATCTGTTCTGTCCTCTCCTACTTCCCCCTCCTCCCCCTGAGATTGGTAAAGGATTTTGCTTTTTCTGCCAACTGCTGCTTCTGTTCCGCATAGTCAGCACTCCTCCAAATTCCTCCCTCCCCATCTCTTGTGCCCCCCCCCACACACACACCTTCCCGGCCACTGCTGCTGGTACCTCACAGTCAATGCATCCCATAATCTGGTGCTCTCTCCCCCCTCTTGCTGCAGTATTTCTGCTAATATATATTAGCGTCAGTGCAGTGAGCTCTGTACTCGCTCCTTTTTTCCTCTCCGATTCTCTCAATCCATAACTCCGCTGCACAAAGGATCGCTTGGTTTCAGGCATTATTTTTCCTCTTTTTAGCTTTTCAGTTTCTTCCTTTGTAGCCAGGTGAGCACCCCCTCCTTCCTGCCTCCGTTCTTCTCGCTTGCTTTCCTTGGCGTATCAGTGCAGTGGTGAGGCAGTGGTAGCAGGGTGGCGTAGGACATGGTGGCCATGGCAGGAAATGCTGCAGGAAGGAATCCCCCCCAAAGAGTTTCTTTGCCCCTGAAATAGCTAAACAGCCACTAAGTTCTTTTTCCTCATTAAAACACACATTACAACATTTTAATTAGTGCTAATGACTGAATCCAGCCTCTCCCTTGACCCCTACTTTAGTAAAGGAGTTCATAATCATGCAAGACTTCGGATGAACAAGCCAACACTAGACCGCAGTTTCAGAGTTGGGGCTGTCCATCAATAAAATATTCATTAGCCAACCCATAAGGCTGCAGCTATGGAGTACAGGCAGAAGTAAAAGTTACTTTTAAAAGTTACTTAAAGTTTCACAGAAGCTGCTTCAGGAAAAGTTAGTTCCATGCAGGGAAAGGAGGGAGCGCTGTCCGTGGTGCTGAAATCTGTCCCATACATTCTCCCTGCAGGACAAATACTGACTCTGGTGTGGATCCTTCCTCACTTCCTCTGTCTAAACCCCACATTTATAAAAAGAAATAATGTAAATCTGTTAAATGCTTTACAGCCAAACTAGAGAAGTGTGGCATCAAGCTGCAGTGCTCAGACTCTCAAACTCACAGTTTTCCTTGATGCTCCTGCAGCAAAACACTTTAAAGAACTTATGTTTTTGTTGTTTTGTTCTAGTTTGTGATTTGATTTTCAACCCATGCAGTAGCCTTACTGTTAGTTCAACTTACCTGTTTGTGGTTAAATCTTTTTCCTTCTCCTGGATCACAAAAAACCTTAAAACTCATCCAAAAAGTATACAAACAACAAAAAACAAACTTTTCATTCGATAAAAATCAACAAAAAATGTGAAATGACATGAAACAAGAGAAATTTTAAATAAAAGCATGAGAAGAAAAGAAGAAAGTAAAGCAAGCTCAGTTAGGGAAGTACAAAAGAGCTGGACAAGGGGGAAAGGGAGGATGGAGAGAGCAGAAGTGAGGAGGAAGAAAGAGGGAGACGTGGGGAAAAAGAGGTAAAGCTTTTCCCCTCTTCTTCTGTGAAATGGGACTCCTTTATGCGAAATATAAGAGTGAAAGGAAGGATGGAGGGGGGAGGGGAGAGCTCACCAGAGAGGAGGGGCAGCAGCGGGAGAAGGAGGAGGAAGATAGTGGTGCATTACTTTGAATAGAGAAAAAGGTTAACAACATAAATACAGTGTGTGCATGAGCTTTCTTCTTCTTCTGCATGCGTGTCTTTTCTGAAGCCCCTCTGGATGGTAGAGCAGCCCACAGGCAAACAGTCTGACCTCACTACCAGCACAGAGAGATGGGGTGGTGGAGGGGGGTGCAATAACTCAGGCTTTTTACTGCAGCAGAATTCATTCACTTTTATAGTGCACTCTCCTTTATCATGCTGCCCCCCCCCCCTCGCATTTTCCTTCCATTACTAGACAAGAGGCAGCATCATGCTGCAACTGCTCTCATGTGATACATCACTTCTTTAAGGTTGCTCGACTGCTCTTTTCCCCCCATCCGAACCCAGATTTCATTTTCTCCCCCACACTTCCCTTTCCTTCTCAACTGCCTCTCTTCTCCGCACACCCCTCATGCATGGGAAAAGTGGTGGGGAGAGAGAGAGAGAGAGAGAGAGAGAGAGAGAGAGAGAGAGAGAGAGAGAGAGAGAGAGAGATACAGCATAATTGTGCATCACATGAATCTCTGTGCGGATGGAGGGGGCTGCAGCAGTTTGTAGCTCACACATAAGCTGATTGAGGAGATCTAACATTAGTACGGACACCACACTCTCGGGAGGCAATTAACACACACACACACACACACACACACACACACACACACACACACACACACACACACACACACACACACACACACACACACACACACACACACACACACACACACACACACACACACACACACTGCTCTGCACCACAGCGTCATAGAGGTATTCTCTGAGTAGATCCACACATTTCCAGTCCCCCCCCCCCCCCCCCCTCCCCTACATCCTGGTGTTTTTACTGATTCTGGTTCTCATGTGAGAAATAATGTGAGTTTCTGTCAGAGGGGTGATGCTGAGTGTGCTGGCCTAATTAGGGGCTGGAGCTTTAGCTAGATGCAGAATGTAGAGGTTGCTGAATGTGTCAAGACAGTTGGAGGGGGAAGTCAGGGAGGGAATCAGACATCCTATCATCATCCTAATCTTCATCACTGTAGATTCTGACTCATGCAGTGTGTTCTGATTCACCTGTGTTAATGATCCTGTGACCCCCCCCCCCCCCCCCACACACACACACACACCTCGCAATCAGCTGATCTTCATGTGAATAAACGGCACACACAACTTCTAGCGTTGATAAAACAGTTTTTTCCCTTAATTTCTTCCCTCTTCTCTCCCCGCAGACTCCTCCTCCCTTCGGTTTCTCTCATCCTCTCCCTCCTCCCCCCCGGTCCTCTATGCTCAGTTCGGTGTGTGTATCCTCTTTCAAAGGGCGCAAGGGTGGGAACAAGTCGTCCAACAAAGCATGTTACAGCGCAGACATGACTTGTCCGTCGGAAAGCGAGAAAATCGTGATAAACTGCGGGGGGGTGCGGCATGAGACCTATCGGAGCACCCTGAAGACGCTCCCCGGGACCCGCTTGTCGTGGCTCACCGAGCCGGACGCCTTCAGCAACTTCGACTACGACCCCAAACTGGACGAGTTCTTCTTCGACCGCCACCCGTCGGTGTTCTCCTTCATCCTCAACTACTACCGCACCGGGAAGTTGCACTGTCCCAACGACGTGTGCGGGCCCCTGTTCGAGGAGGAGCTGGCCTTCTGGGGCATCGATGAGACGGACGTGGAGGCGTGCTGCTGGATGAACTACCGGCAGCATCGGGATGCGGAGGAGGCGCTGGACAGCTTCGAGACCCCGGAGCGGACGCGCCGGACGACGATCCGGCTCTGGGGGGTGCGGACGGGGACTTGAAAAGACTGTGTATGCAGGAGGACGCTCGGAGAGCTGGGTGGTGGAAAACCTGGCAGCCCAGGATATGGGCTCTGTTTGAGGACCCTTATTCCTCCAAATACGCCCGGGTGAGTCTCTATTTTCCTGCAACTTGTTTGCATCTTTCATTTGTTTACTTTTTTGTTAATCTGCAGACTAATCACACAATGTATCCATGTAATCTCTGTCTGATGATGAATTATTAATGATAACTTAAAAAAGGAGCCGTGATCCTATAGATGTGTAGCCTGCTGCATCTCCTTCCATCAAAGCTGTTTTTCATCCTTATTGTTGCGTCTTTCACCCTCATCTGCCCTTGGTTTAAAGCAGCTGATGTGTTATCCTGTCCCAGCTGCACACCTTCACACACTTCAGACCTGTCCTGATGAGACAACCTGTATCGATTTCATGGAGGTGCTCAGATTTTGTTTAGAGGCTCTTAATCATACAGGTGTATGAGTAACAAGTACTCCCTCTCTCGGTCATTCCCTCACTCCTTCCTGTTACAGATAAATCCAGCTGTTTGATCACACCTGCTTTGATTGTTAGAGCTTCATCCCAAGTTGCAGCTTGATCACCCTCATCTTTTATTTATTGTCTTTGCTGTCACAAGAACCTGTTAGATGCTTCTTGATCAAACAGAAAGATGAACTGATGTAAAAAAATTAATGGATTCATGCAGTCAGCAAATTGTCCTGGATCTATAATCAGATAATTTTACACACACACACACACACACACACACACACACACACACACACACACACACACACACACACACACACACACACACACACACACACACACACACACACACACACACACACATACACACACTGAGCAGCTACTAGCTTCTCCTCATTGGAACCTACCTGGATTTCGATCCCTCCAGAGGAAAAGGGAAAGTGCCGAGCTGTTGCGGACACCTAGTCTGGCTTAGGCCACCTGATCTGCCCGTTTGGAAGAAGTGCTTCTCTAAACTGTCACTCCCATCCCAATACCATTGATTTCTCACCACTCCAGCCTTCTTTTCATGCAACAAAAAACATCTGCTTTCCTTATAGATAATGGCTCTGTAATGGTGCAGCTTCACAGCTTGCATTTCCCACCAGACCAAAGATGCTCGATAAAGTTTTTCATTTATTCCATCTTAATTGCAAATGCACCTCCAAACATCTGCATTAGGATCTCAGTGAAACAAGCTGGTATTTGTTGCAGGGCTGCAGAAAGTGGTGCTTTGCGACACCACATTGGGACTGTGGAGAGTGCAGAGCAGGTAGTAGGTGGATTTCATTTCAGATCTGCACCGGTTCCTTTTATGGAGGGGTTTGGGGAGGGGGCTAGCCTCATTTTGCTGTGCAGGTTTACTGTGCTGATGTGAGGCATTGACATGTCCCAGATCACTGGTTTTCAATAAGATTCTCCCCACAATTTGGTGTTTTAGGAAAAGAAAAGGTTGATTGAGGCAAAAAATATGTAAAATACTTGGAGGCGGATGAAGAGAAGAGAGAGAGATTAGGGGGGATACAGAAAAAAGATGGTGTGTGTGTGTGTCAAGCTGAAATCATTTAAAGAGGGGGTTTGTTTGCATGGCTGTGATGAAATGCACCAGCAATCAGTGATTTGATCAGAACATTCGACACACACACACACACACACACACACACACACACACACACACACACACACACACACACACACACACACACACACACACACACACACACACACACACACACACACACACACACACACACACACACACACACACGAGCTTGAAAAAAAATAGTTTTCCTAATTCCGCCGTCGTTGCTCTTGCGAGGCTCACTCGTGGATTTTACCGTAGTAGCGCACACATGTACCGAACACACACACACATCCTGGAGTCTGTGCTGGCGTTTCTGCTGCAGTAGACACGGGAGAGAGGGGAGAGACTGCTAGAGGAAGAGAGCTGGGGGGGGGGGGGGGGGGGGGGGCACAAGAGGGAAATGGAGAAGGGGACAGAAATGGAGGGAAAACGGGAGAGCGAGCTTTAGCCTTAGTGGGATTTAAGGGAGGAAGAGAAGACAGAAAAAGAGGGGTGTATTGAGATGAACAGCGAGGGTGACAACTAGAGAGAAAAAGAGAAAAGGCAGAAAGACGTCAAGCGGTGGGGGTGGTGTCTCTTGTCTTAGCATCATTATCTGTGAAGGATTGAACCATCCAATCTTCCACCCCTCCTCCCAGTGTATTGATTGATATTTCATCGACTATCTTCTCCTTTCGTCTGTGTCGTCTCTGTTTCCGTCATCTCATGAAAAATACGAGAGACCATACAGGTGCTTGGATTCGTGCTGCACACCCTGAATTTAAACTGTGACAAAATGCATTCCATCCCTTGGAATGTGGTGTCCTACGGTAGGATTTGCATCTGATTTCCGCATTAATTGGAGCCTGGGTGACACAGATCTGGCAGGAGGGTTAAAGCAACGTGAAGGTCTTAACCTTGGATCCTTCATCTCCCGTGTTTAGGCGTTTAAAACCATTTTAATCTTGTCTTTGCTGGTCTGAAAGCTGCACCATGTGTGCTGTCACTTTTGCATTATGATTGAAAATTTTGAATTAATGAAGCATTTACAAAAATAAACCAAAAGCCACTCCTGTTTTATGATCATCCCACAGCTTTATTGCCTTGGTTCTGGCTCCTTTGCAGAAGCCTCAGTCAGAAATATGATGACAAAGCACCATTTGCAACTCAGTATGTGCGAAATGCACCCTATGCCCCTTCTTTTAAAACCGGACATTGTGTCCCCAAATCAGACTTGTTTCTGGTGGGGGTGCACTATCCAGAGCCCCACTTGTACCTGAAGGTCATATCTCACAGTCCAGTTGTTTGCTGATTCTTTTCCACTGTGTTCGGCACCAGAGCGTACATTGCTGTCATAAACACAAATGTGACCCACCAGAATGCCAAACGGCCTCGGCTCAGGTCATGTCCAGGTGGAAAATTACAGCATCGGATGGAGAAAAGTGCTTTGAGGGATACATGTTACCTTCTAAAAAGGGTCTGGTCACCATTTAGCAGATCACTTAGTCCTTATATCTAATAGAAGCATGCTCTGAAGTTAGCTTAAAAAACTAAAAACAACAAAAAATGTATAAAATCGTACAAAAATTATAAAAATGTATAAAATTCACTTGTAAGTCGCTTTCGACAAAAACATCTGCTAAATACATAAACATAAACATAAACATAAACATAAACATTAAATGTGAATAAAATATTAAAAGAGAACTAGGCAGTTTTGGCTTGCCTTTAGCACCCTCTAGTGTTCATTTGTTGGACCAAAAGCAAAACTTATCTCCTCGCTGTGCTTTCGCCTTTCTAACACCTTAATCTAACAGCTAAAATTACTCCCCAGCCATCCTTATTGTCTACAGGAGTGGTTCATCACTAAATTAAACAAATTAGCTGTGTTCATGATTTTAAACATGCAGGAAACGTGCTGGAAGCAGACTGCAGCGACAGAAATGTCAGCTAATTTTTTCCCAGCAGAGCGCTCGCCAGTCTGAAGTTGCAAGTGGGATATTCTGGCCATAGGGGGCGATAGGAGCAGGGCGGCCTTTCATTAACCCTTTAAAGGATTGTTTTAGCACATACTGGCTCAAGAAAATAATTTAAAAACATGAAAAAGTTGCAAAGTATTCCTTTAAACATTGTTACCGCAGATCAGGGCTGCTTAATTATGGAAAAAAATTAGAGATCATAATTATTTTGGCCAGTGCTAAAATATTTAACGTTATTCAGTGTGCAGATGGCTGATTTGTGATGTTTTAAATTAATACACCAATAAATACATATGCTGACAATCAAGAGGTTGTCTTTCAACACTGTTGGAAATCCATTTCAGGCGACTACCTCTTGAAGCTCATCAAGAGAATGCCAAGAGAGTGCAAAGCAGTAATCGTAGGAAAGGGTGGCCTTTCTGAGGAAAATAGAATATAAAACATGTTTCAGTTATTTCACCATTTTGGTTAAGTACATAACTCCACATCTGTTCATTCATAGTTTTGATGCCTTCAATGAAATCTACTAATGTAAATGGTCACGAAAATAAAGACAGCACATTGAATGAGAAGGTGTGTCCAAACCTTATGCCTGTACTGTACATAAAAACAAACAAAAACATGAAACAAAAGCAAAGAATGTCAGTAAAAATCAAGATAAAATAATTTTAATACAAATGGATAAAAATGAGCTAAGTTGTCTAAAATTGTCTAAAAATATAGCTAACTCATGTGCTGAGGGAACACCACCTAAAATGAGTCTTCATCCGACTCTTAAAAACCAGCAGTGAGGGTGTTTGACCGTGAGTGGAAGGTCATTGCACAGCTTGGGGGTCAAAACTGAGAAAGCCCTACCTCCTCTAGTGGAGCATTTTACTCGCGAAACGACTATGAAGTCTTGCTGTGATTACCTAAGTGCCCGTGTAGCGGGCGAATAGACACGGGAGACAGATCTGCTGGAGCACTGCCCTGCAGAGACTTAAAAACAAGAACAAGTATCTTGAACCTGACTCTCAAAGATACTGGAAGCCAGTGCAGACTGGCCAAAAAGGATGTGTTCCTGCTTTCTGGTGCTGGTCAGGAATCTAGCTGCAGCATTTGGAGCAAGCTGGAGCCGTGCAAGTGCAGCCTTGCTACCTCCAGAGTAAAGAGAGTTGCAATACTTGAGCCGAGAAGTAATAAAAGCATGGACTACGGTCTCGGGGAGGGCTTGCGTCACTAGTGGCATGATCCTGGATAGGCGGCGAAGATGGAAAAAGCAAGAGTGTACCACTCCATTAATGTGAGTCTCTAGCTTTAATGACGCATTTACACCCAGGTCAGTAACTAGCTCCTCGGAGGCCAGTGAGGAGAGGTCAACTTCCTGCTTAGCAACACAACTAGCACTTAGACTAAAAACAATTACCTCTGTTTTACCCTCATTAAAACTTAAGAAGCTAGAGGCCATCCATTCTCTTACTTTGTCTAGGCAATAATAATAATAATAAAGTGGTTTAGGGCTGCACGATATTAGGAAAACCTGCAATATGCGATAACAGTGATT